CGTTCACCGTAATGCTAATAAATACGAGAAATCTCGTAACATTTACCCTCAAAAGTTGACTGTTGAACTTTCTTGTGCCTTCAAATAAGCGGTAAGCATGAAAGATTTCTCAATATGTACCTTCGTCTTTATGCTGAAGGATTTCTTTCTAGACGGAGGGGATTGAAGAAAACAATGATTTGTTAAAGTCCATACGCTATTCTATAGAATGGTAATATATGAGGTGTATGCCACGATACTGTGTGTGCCACGGGTATCATTTTTTTTTCTTCCGTTATTTTCCAGAGAGGACCATCACTATGTTCACAAAGATCATTAACCTGGAACTTCATGCTTTTACCTCGTGCAACGAGAATGTGCTTCTCATTATCGAGAATCATATCAATAAAAAGATCAATAGATTCAAATTTAAGAGCATTAGGAAAAACCCACCTGAAAAAAAACAGCATATAACATAATTTTTACAAATTCAAACCTTAAAACTTATCTTATAGAAATTTTACTTTGGTCTAGAAACATACCTTGAAAGAAGACTACTCATAGTTGGAAACTGTGTATTTCATAGATGTGCCCATCACGACCAGCCAAGAAAATCTGCTCCTTATCTGTACAAATAATTCAAGTCATAGTAATTTCATCAGATGAGTATGTGTACTTAGCTAAGGGTTGCAATGAAATATCTGCATACGGATTTGTTCCATCACCCCTTCTTGAGTAGAATACTTTAACAAGAATTAGCTATCATCAAAAGGAGCAACAAGTTTTCTAAATAATATAACACAATGGTACTAAAATAGAAAAAAATCAACGTCGATAGGTTGAAGTAGAAACCACATATAGAGTAAAACATATGCAAGATCAAAATCATCAAAATATAATACCAACAATAGAAACATGTGAAACGAGAACCAAAGCATTTTGACCTTTGTATGATGCGAAATCAGCAAAAAGCTTTTATGCATGAAGGTGGCCACAGATTTGAACCATAAATCTACAAGCAATCATGCTTCATCAGACCTGATGCCCATCGGTAAGCGTTAACTGTACAACAAAACTCTCAGCCATATCATGAGCCAAGAAAAACTGGACACTTGAAAGTCACGTATAGATTTTAACCCCAAAGGCCTGAAAAGAATTACTCATTCTTTGTTTAACCCACTAAAACCAATACAATACTCCACGGGATCCTCCATGGGATCAAGGAGGAGAAGGATCGTACCCCAGCCCTCGAAGGAAATAGGGCAGCAGGAGCTCCTCTCAATATCCCGTCTCAACTCGCCATCTACCCTACTGTTCGTGTTTCCACCAATTTTAATCGGCATGACCCCTCCACTTCTTAGACTCTTCCTAGGTCGAAGAAAAGTTTTCTTTTAGGATTGGTTTGAAGAAATTGTACCCAATATCTCTAGTTTAAACCCAAGTATTGTGGTAATGTGTAATTTTAGCGATCAAGTTTTTAGCAGTCGAGTTTTCTCCAGGTGACATATGAAGATAAGTGAGGTGATGCAAGGGGGAGTTTGAGAATGTGATTTGAACTTAAATTGTGTTATATATTTTTTTTATTCTGATTGTGTGGGTGACAGGCACATAACAGGATTTGACTTTCTCCCATTTGTTTATTTTTTTATTTCGCTGATTTTCTCTTCAGTTTTCGTTTAACAACCGTTTTTTCATCCTTGGGTGACAGAAAGGGATGATTTTCATTCCAATTTCGCGTTTAGCTGTTCTTTTTTATGATTTGAATGTTTTCTGTGAATGTTTCCTAGTTTGTCACCATTGGAATCTTCGTAAATTTACTGAAGTTTTGTTAGGTTTTGTCAAAAAACCTTTACCCATTTTATCACCAAATGTGTTAAATTACTCTTTCCTTCTATCCAATCACGTACTCAGTCTCTAGTTTCGTCTATTCTTTTCTTTTCCTTAGGATCTTTTGTTGTTAGTTCATGCCCAATATTTTTCAGGTTCTACTCGTTGCAGTGGATCTTCAGATGGTTGCGAGTCGTGGGTAGAAACTCTAGGGTGCACAAAACTATTGGTGATGGCATGGAGCAATAAGAGAAACCAAGAAATAGAGAGGATGATTTTTCCTTTGTTCCTCATTCTCATTTTTGCTTAAATGAGGGAGCAGAATAGAATTGGTTTTGAAGTTGATTGCCATCCCCATGAATTAACTTGGATTCACTAAATTTTTGAGTTTGATTTTTTATTTTGAAGCAAGTTACAAGTATTTAAATTTGACGTATTTTGCACACAATGATTAGAGCATAACATATATCAGATTGATGATCACTAATTAGGAGACCTCATGTTCACAGGTTATGATGATACTAGTCGAGAGAAAAAAAGACTTTACATGTTTGATTGGAGAGAGAGAGAGAGAAAAAGAACATTTTTATTATATTCACACAAAATCACTTGGAAACCCAACACGAGGCCCTCTATGGCCCATCAATCCATAGCATTGACATATTGGATAAATACATCCCTCTAATCCTTTCATTTCAAAATTTCTCTACAGAAACAGAATGATTTTCGCGCTAAGAAAAATTCCTATGGAATGCGAAATTCCAATGGTTGAAGTTATACTTAAGGATTTAAATAAAAATTTTTATCTCAGATAGTATTATCATATGGGGGAATATCATTACCATCCTAATGGAGAAATGATGATCGTAAGTCTCCGGCAATCAATTTTTATTTTACTTATGGAAAATTTCTAATTTTTAATTGAATGTGAATTGATCATTTTAAAAAAATCCAGATACTGACCATTGTGCTGGCTTTTTCAAATAACAAGACTTTAGTTAATGAAAGCCCTCACAGGACGAGTGCAGCTAGCTATCAGGCAGTCCAAGGTTCTTTTCTGGAATGGCTATGTTTTTCCACAATTTGTTTTCAAGCAAACTGATTTCTTCTGTACTCTATTGTGTAACAAGCGCGGAAGCAACTGCATTTCTTGATCCTGAGCCGTAGGAAAGAAGTCTCAAAACAGGTACACCCCTTAAGAAAGGATTGATTGAATTTTTTCCTCTACTCTTCGATGCCCTTCTTTGCCATCAAATGAGCTATGTCCCTCATGAACATTACTGACCAAAAATTCAGGATCTCCATCAAATATTTCCGAGAAACATTGCAAACCAAAAAAAAATCTTTAGCTGCTTTTTGACATTAATGGAAAGTCCCCTAAGTGTCTCAGCATCTCCAGAAGTAATCCTTGACGCTTCAGTCGAGTGAAGAGTCGTTCTTTTCATTCGAGTCCTACAATAATCTTCGAAATGTCTGTATTTGATGTAAAAATCCAAAATAAGAAGTCTTCAAGGAACCCGAAAAATAGCTTCGAGCTGTTTCTGACAAGCCGCAGAGATCAACACTAGGGCTTTAGTGTTTCATTTTAGTCGTACTACTATTTGTTGCGTCTCTGTAGGGTTGGATCTTCGAGAGAGTAAAAAGCCCCTTGTGGACGATCCTTTCTTTTTTTTTATTTTACTTTGGATGGCCCTAGATCAGGTCTTATATACCTGCGATGAACCCGGGACTTCCCGGACCAGTCCATTCGATATCTCTTGAATATCTGTTCGTTGATTAATGAAATCACGGTGGAATATACAAGTTGCAAAAAACCCACACTCATCCAAACCCAAACCCACACGAGGGAGTTGACGAAGACAGCCCTCCCCTCAAAGATGACTAGTCCATCCTCGGGGTTCTCACTCTTGATTATGACGGTGGCGCTGCTCCCTGGGTCTTCGACGAACTCCGACCGCGATCTCGTCCATTCACACCCTCTGACATGAGAATATATTAATTTTTGGTTAAATTAGTCCATGGAATGGCTAATGGTGGTTAGGAGTAGTTACGGGCTGAAGGGGAAACAGCTGGTTTCTCGAAGCTTTTTCACCCGCCAATTTCGTGCTTCGATATCCTCATCCTTTTGTCTGCATTTCCTGGGAACAAAACTGTGATAGGATGCGTGTGCGTGAGGATTCTTGCAGTATTGATCATAGATCTGTGGAAAGTTGACAAAGTTTGACCATCGACGGGGTCTCTCAGGGGTCGCCTGGTCCTGGAACTCCAATTGAGAGAAATGGGACCTTCATTAGGTGGGGATTATCACAGAGAATTTCTCAGGGTGGATCCAACCCCGTGTTTCCTATTCGATACCATCTGGAGGTGAAGGATGTCCTTTTTCCTTGATGGAACTGTTACAAAAGCCAAATAACGGCGGAATGTTGACAGAAGCGTACGAACGAAGACAAAAGGAATCTCCAAAGAAAAATGCTCAACTAAAATAAACCTCTCAATCGGAGAGAGTTCACAACAGAACTAGAGAACAGACAACGAAAGTGAAACGCAGAACAAGATCAAGAAGGAAGAAGAGAAAAAAATGGCAATGCCGATCCGTGTGCCTTCTACTCTATTTGTAACTATTACGATCAGCGTCAAAGACGGAAACTTCCCGTCCTTTGCTCCGATGATGGTACTCCGCAGGAAACGGTCAAATTTGACCGAGTTTAACAGGAACTCTATCCAAAGGCGCTCCCATCAGCGGGACTAGCCCATCGTAGTGACGGCTCTTCGAATGAGGGCGAGCATCCGTTAAACAAAGATTAACCCGTTCGCAACGGTTGGTGACGCAGGATTTGTGGGTCATAAGTGCACTTGAATGGAGGAAGTTAATTTATAGTGGCATTGGTCAGAAATTTCTTATTATTCTACTCCTTGAGAGACATGAAGTTGAAATCTGCATCAAACTGAATCGTATTAATCCTATTTCTTTTACACAACAATATTCCCTTCCATTTGGGCTGGTCGGTAACCTGTGATTCGAAAGCTTCCCTGGTTTTGTAATCTGGACAACGCTCCTGAGGTACATGTCGGAATATGAGCCTTCTTTTATTCTAATTCATAAGAAACATCATAGGCCCAAGTGTTCCAACTGGATTTCCTGCTTTATTCACCAATCATCGTTTCGTTACAACTATCATCCGTTGTGCATTGTCCTAGCCGATCTTTGGTGTTTCTGCAACGATGCCGCAGTCATCAACCCACACCCGCACCCTGTCAGTTCTTAAGTCGTCTGTAACTGCTGTCCCCACCTTCACTACAATGGCATGAACGAGAGGGTTCTCCTTCTCGATTATCGCTGCGGCGGTTTTACCCTCTTTTCCGACGAGTTCTGGCCACGAGCTCTTCGCTGCAAAAGAACGTTGAGATTGTTTTCATAATGATCGATGGAAAGGCTTTTCTTGAAAGTAAATCACTTTATCACTCTGAGGGTTCTCCTTGACGATTATCTAGATGCTAATAAATACGAGAAACGTCCAAACACTAATCCACGAAAGTTGACTGTTGAAATTTGGTGTGGACACTTCACATAAATGGTGTGCGTGAGTAGAAAAACTATCAACCCACGCTAAAACTTTGAAAAAATCTCAATTAGTACGTTTCCCTTTATAAGGAAATATTTATTTTTTTGACAATCAATATTGAATTATCAGCTAAATATGGGGATTTCAATGAACCTATAGAATCAAATCCATGACCAGAAAACAGGCTGCAGCAACACAGATCGGGGAAGCAGAAGCTCAAACGTACCTTCGGGAGTCGTACTAGTCTCCGCCATTCTTCTCTCCTCTGGTTCCAAGTAAGTAGAAAACCTGATTGCCCTTTCTGTATTTATAGACGGTGGATGGGCAGAGAAGTCCTAGTATGATTTCACCAGCAAGAGCCTCAATCTCTAGGACTCTTAGCCCTTCAAACTCCACGTGAAGAAAGATGGAAACAGCTGACCTGTGGGGTTATCCAACAACTTTTAATATATTTTTATACATGAATATTGAAAGGATAAGTTCTGGAAGTAGCCAGATCGATCGGAGCAGGAAACACCACATATTCGTCGTAAACGGTCAACATAACACTGCTAGGAATATCCGCATATAAATAATGAACTGGCACAACAAACGTTGACTATAATGGGCTCAACACGTGTTCAATAAAAGAAAGGACTAACATATTCCAAAATTCTGGGCAAATTTATCCTGGGGCCCATTGATGAGGATAACGTAGGCTTTTGACAATTACTATGTTTTTAACATGTAGACATTTCAAGGTAGACTATTTCTTCGTTGAGCATGCTGGGATCTTGTTGACAGACAGAACTGCAATGGCAAGGGACGAGGTAAGGTGATGGAGATGATCTCAACGCATATAAGAGGATTATGGTGGGTCAGACCAGTTAACTCTTGGACACTAATCTTGGGCTTTCGACCTTGCAGCTAAACGCCGATTTTGGGCTTCGATAAATACTATTTAGAATGTCTAAGCAGTTAAGATTACCTTTCGGAGTTGAAAATAGTGTATATACGTATAAGTGCTCATTCTGTTCTCTAAAATAGGAACATTCGACTTCTGCTTATATATGTCGTGCTGAATTCTTTTGCAGTACATCGAAACTTTGATTCATTCCATAAGATAAATGTCGGAAAGATATTGAGTCAACGTATAAAAATAATATTTCTTGTAAATATGATACCTAGTCGAACAAATCTAGCCACCTCACTTCATTCGATGATCCAGAAATCTACGCAACTCGAACTCCCTTAAACAGAGGAAATGGTGTAGATATGGGAAAGAGCACTGAGGGTTTTTGCAACTCCAGCTTTTAGCTGTCTAATCGGACGGAAAAAGAGAACCTTTATCAGTTAGGATTTAACCCATTACTCTACCATCAAACTTCACTTCTTTACCAAACTTACTCTTATTCCATAATTTTTTTTCTTTCTATCTTAAACTCGAGGTAGTGGAGAAAAGATTACAATGAGAGACATTTTATCAGAAGACCACCAACAGCCGTCATTGTTAGTACACTAATTTCATGAATAAGTTGATTTCTTGTGGATTTTATGTGCCTAGCCAAAACAAATTGGTTATAAGGCTGTTTCATAGTGGACATGTATGAATGCCATTGTCCGTTACACCAACAAGTTTGTCTAGGTTCTGAGGAAAAAATTGAGGATTGATCTCTTGTCAGATAGCTTATCCAGATATCATTAGTAGTACGAATGCGCCCATTTATCATCAGTCTTGGTTCATCCCACGTAGAACCGCTGGAGTTATGTGGAGACTGATCTAGGGTTTGGGCTAAATTGAGGAGGGGGGGTTGGCATTATTTTAATATCCCAAAAGTTGTCCTAAGCCCTTAATATAAAAAACTAGGCCGCCGTCTTTTGGGACAAGGACAAAAAGAAAAGGAGATAGGGACTCGTGGGTGTTGGAACAGGCTGATCCCTTTTCCATCATCTTACGAGGGACTCGATTTATCGTCCTCTTGTATTGTGAGAGAGATTCTCTCTCTTGAAGGAAGATTAAGTGGGCATGTGCGACTAGGAGGATTAATCACGTAAACCCTGGTGTTTCCTCTTTTTGTTCCTCTCTTCGTCTTATTCTCTCATGGTACATTTATTCCGCTGTCCAGAGCAAGACTGTTCCCCAATAAGAACAGTTTCTCAGATGTGAATTTCCGCAGTTTCATACTTGAGAGGAATCATCTGTCCGTTTCCCCCCACGCTGTAAACCCATTAAAGGATTTATCTGACAAGGGTAACAAAGTGTAAAATATCTTAATTGGATCAAAATCAATACACCTTGTTGCCGTCGAAAGTCTCCATTATGCTCATAAAATACGCTCCACGAAAAAGCTGAAAGGAATTGAGGTATATGTGGCGTCTTTATCTGTAGATAACGTGTGGAGGTCATATGAGTCAAAGTTTGAACCCCTTTTTTTATTGAAGGGCTGATCCTATTACTCATTGTCTACTACCTTTCGGTTGACCGTCTATCGAGGATTATTTGTTCTTACATGTTCTCATTTGTTCTCACGTGGAATTCCGAGGGCAGGGAGCCCTCGAGATCGGAAACTCTGATGGGCAAACCATGCGAGACTCGGGTCCATTCCTGTCGTCGTTAGGTACCGAAAAGATCTCTCAGCGATTCCATGCATTGCATGCAAAACATGGAAAGAATTGCGGAGAGAAGAAAGATGTGAAAAGGTTCAATTAAGCTTGTATTTCTCTGGACTAGATTACCGTGAAGCTCCAATTAAGTTCCAGGTTTTCCCATCAACTAAACTACCATATTTGTCTCTAATATGATAACTGGGGTTGATGGTTTACTCTTTCCCTAAATTTCTGATGTGGCAAAAATATTAAGACTCTTGAATTTGTTAGCACTAAAAGCAAAAGAATATGGCTACCGCACTCATTTTGTCGTATGTTTTGTACATGACATCCTTGAACAAGCACAACATATCGGGAAGCAGAAGGGACTAAATAAATTATGACCACATTGTGGATGAGCGAAGTAGCGTTTTTAATTTACTCGGGATTATAATTGCCAGCTTGCTCTCTCTGTCTGCGCAAATCCCAATCTTATAGAAAGAAGCATAACGGTCGCAGATTATCAACGCCGGCAATACAAGGGGACATTATTCTGTAAACGACGTATATAGGATTCATACACCATCCAATTAAGCGGAGATTCATATTAAATATCAATCAAGAGGAAGAATAACTTGCACAGTCTCTGACGAATGACATTTTAGGACTAATTCGTGACCTCTTCTGTTAGATCTAGTTTAATCCACCAACCACTACTTACCATCCACGGCGAATAGCTCAATCTCCGTCTAATTATTACTGGCGATGGCCATTGCGCATACGTACACCAGAAAACCGATCCCGTCAGCCAGAAGCGGACGGAATGAAACTAGACTTTCAACGACCAGCTATTGAGCGAAACATTATCATCCTCCAAATTAGTTACTTTCACAAGATTTGTATTACCAACAGAAATGAATAGTAAATTACATGACGAGAAAGAGGTCCCAAGGAGTCTAGTACTGCCTCCCGCAGCATCACGTTCTAGCCGATCCGGGGAGTTTTTGCCACGATTCCATAATCGTCAACACGCACCCTGACCCGGTCGCAACGGTACTCCATGGTTGTTATCGCGTCCTTATGCAAGACAATGGCGTCCACATGAGGGTTCTCCTTTTCGATTATCGCTGCGGCGGCACTGCCCTCAGCTCCGAGTAGTTCTGGCCACGACTCCTTTCCTACACACACCATCCGCACAGTAGTTAGAATTGATGGGCGGCAGTGCTATTTTACCAGTTTCACATGATGTACGTTGATTCTAAACGGTTTATGTAATGTGTCCCTTGGCGTCCGTATAAAAAGTCATGACGCATCCATTACACTTTAATCCCAATAGTAGTCTCATTTAAGATTACCGATGATGTTATCGCACAAAAGAAATAAATCTACTCTGCTGAAGGAAAGAGAATCGGAGAAACGAGGCCAACAAAAAATGTTCCTTCAGATGTAGAACATAAACATTACTCCTTACCTTTGCAATCCGACATTTTCTCCGCGAATCTGCAGTTCACGTGTTAGTAGAACAGAAGTGGAATAAGACGAAGCCCAAGGCACCTTGGGGTATTTATAGACGGTCATGTGCATCCAAGCTCAGGAAGATTGTCGGAAGACCGACCTAGCAAAGTCAAATATGTCTTCTATTTAGGCTTTGCGCGGCAAATCAAATGGGGAACCGCCCCCCCCCCACTTGTAGCGGAGAATACCCACTCAACGTGAAAAAGTCTGTTTTGCTCTCCCTAGGCTTGCACACTATCCTTGATTTTTTTCATCGAAGTTTAATCATTACGAGCATATAGTTGAAATAGTCAGGTTTGATGCAAGATAAGGAATGTCGTGCCTTTCTCATGTGGGGCCTTTGTGGTTCGGCTCTGTTCGGACAATCCAACAACCGCGACGTTTCAAATGGAGACCGGTTCTGGGAAGCTGGCATACAGCTTGCAGGCCACCAAATGTCTTTTGCTTTTAGTACGGCAGAAGCCTTTCTTGACTTGAGAGTAAAATAAAGTGTCCCGCGTTTATACTAGCGCAACGGCTCCCGCGCATAAATCGTACAGTAGAGGATGATGACCAAGTGGGCCCCGTGCGTCGAATATAACCGTAGTCTCTTCCCGTCTGCATTCAGACGGCAAGATAATTGGCATCTGGCCCAGGCCAAATCTGACTTCGTAGGCTGAGTTAGACGTCCGGGCTCAGGCAGAGTCCACGGCTCCAAAATATACCTATTTCCCGTCCATAAAAGAACGTCCCAGCTTATGCTTTTCGCTGGATGTGACCCAAATACAAGGAAATGATTCATTCTAGAAACGTGAAAAAAGAGATCCGAAACATGATCCGATCTGGCATGCGGTCATAGCCTTTGGATGTTCAAGCACTACAATTTATTAAAATGAAATTCTATGATTGCACGTCAATCTATGATTTTTTTGAAATTTGAGTACACTTTTCAATTCAATTTAGTGGCTGTTATTTGTTTTTAAAAGTTACCAAGTTTCAAGGAATTTGATTATTAAGACCAAAATTGGACTTATTATTTCCGAATCTGATTTCAAATGGCAAATCATGTCCCCTAACAAAAAGTAAGGAAATAAATCTACTAGCTTGATTGACCATGCTGAGTATATTAAAGGTTGCCACTAAAGAAGGAAAACATAGGATGATTTATATAAAGTCTATTTCAAGTAGCATTTTCCCTCTATGATACTATTTTGGAATCACTACAATTATGTTGCTTAATTAATCTGAATGGATCATTTTGCAACATTACATTGGGTCATGTAAAATTTAGGAAGCTAGTGAAGCTCTAATTTCATTTAGGGTAAAAAGAAGACTAGGCCTTCAATGATCTACCCCTAGTCAAGTAAGAATAAAAATGTGCAGATGAATTATCAGGGATGTGCTTCTAGAAGAGGACATTAGCATGACTGAATGAATTTAAATGTATGAAAGTTTTCTTTCCCAGGTTTTAGTTGATAATTTTCTAAGATATGAACATGTGTTTCTTCATCACTTTCTATTAATACGGAAGTTAGAATCCTCATTAAACTATCATAGATATTTAGGTTTTATCTTAGACCTTTCTAGATACATATTTTGTGAAGACAAATGATTTGTGAAGGCATACTTTTCTTAAAGGACTCAACTGCAATAATTGGAATCTATATTACTAACACTACATATGATTAAACACTGCCATTGAATAAATACATCTCACTCATCCTTCCACTCTAATTTTTCTCTTAGGGCAACAGAATGATTATGGCATCTAGAGAATTGCCCATGTGAACTGATTCTATTATTTAGTAATGAAGACAAGAAATTACTAAACATTTACTTTCTAGATGTTGATAATGCATCATACAGGATTTATTGCCATCATAATTAAGAAATAAAGATCATGAGTTCCCTTAAAATTAACTTTTATTTAATTCTATGGAAAATTTACTTACTCTTGGAAGTGTGATACTATAATCATATTGAGTCATATTGATTATTATGTTTATATCCTTTTTATTTTGTATCTTTGTCCTTCTTTGTTTGCATGTGTATAAGATCTAGTTTGACATAATGAAACTTGATTAACTAGATCTGATCTTCTCAGTCTAATTTAGTGTAAATATGTGTATTTAGTTTCTCATTAAATAACATATTTTATTTTGCCTTTTTCTTTCTCTCACCTCTATTGCGAGCCAACTTCTCTCATCACCATGAGGACCTCCTTGGATGACCAACAATCACAACAACTTTGACATGGCATTAGAGAAACTCATGTGAGATCATTCTAACCTGTTATGACTTCTCAAAGTTTCCTTTTGCCATCTTACAACCTCCTAGTCAATTGCATTGATTTGATCTGCCTTTGTTCAATTGAGTTTACCAATTTCTTTCTCTATTATTCACAAGATATTTTTTGTTATTTAAGGCTATCCTCAACCCCTGTACCTCTTCTCACCAGTCTATAGGTGAGAAAACTTACTGATCCATCATGAGAAGATGCATTTATATTTTTCCATCAAAATGACCTTACTTGTTTCTAGTTGGCCACATATCTCTTTAAGAGAGCTGCAATACAACAATACATGACCAAGAAAAGAATTTTTAATCTCGAAAATAATCAACATGGCATCTTTGTTATCAGTTTCTTCCAAAACACTCTCAAATATATTTAGAGCTATTAGATATTTCAAAAAAAAAAACTAAGTTGAATGAAATCAATTTATTGTAGTTGAGTTGATTTACTAAAGTTATTTTTACAAGTAGAAGAAAATTCAATTAGTAATTTGGCCTAGCACTTGAATCAATAGATCATCAACTTAAGATTTGGACAGATGAACATTTAACTATTAGAAAATGACTTTAGAATATTATGATCCAAAAGTCAATGATGTTATTTGTCTCTTCTTGTAATTGAAGATATTTAATGAAGAAAAAATAAGGTTTTTTTCAGAAAATCACGATTTGAGCTCAGATCTATCAAGTCACTAAAAAGACAATGGTCATAACACAAGGAAACAAATCACTAATAGTATGAAAAATGAGTTAGACTCATTTTGGTAGAAAAATGATAAAATTAAATCTATCACAAAAAACAATCTTGAGGATATATTTTACTTCAAATAATATATTCAGATATACAAAATTTATAAAAATTTTAAGTTCAATAGTGAATATGGTCATTGTTACAACCCAAATTTTGAGAAAAGAAATGACTCCAGATTTTGAAGCAGTAATAATTCTGATTGTAGGAAATGAAGAGAATTAAGGGAGACTTTTCTAGAGCCATAAGATTTTAACAATTTGGTAGTAGTAATTAAACATAAGGAAGGTAAAGGTCCACTTCAACAACAAGCTATGAATAAAGACAAGAAGCATTAAAAAATAATAAAATGTGAGAAATAATTAAGTTACCACATGAAAAAAATAATTTAACTGTAAATAGATATATATTGTTAAGTAAAATGTCAATTGAATGATAAAAAGATATAAAAACAGATGAATAGCTAAGGGTTATACCCAAACTTATGAGACATATTCTTTATAGATATTTACTCTATTTATAAAACTAGATACCATTAGAATCTTATTTTTGATATGTTAGCAATGATGACTAGGAGATACAACAATGTAATGTAATTAATATACTTTTACATGAATAACTTGATAAAGAAAACTATATGAATCTTCCTCAAAGATATCCAACCAATGCTAAGATAGATGTACAGTGTAAGTCAAACAAAACCTTATATAGACTAAAACAATCACCAAGAACTCAATTTGAGAGATTCGTAGAGATTATATGAGACATCAATTATATACCTAGTAATAGAGCTTAGACGTTTTTCATTACATATTAAATCATCAAGAGGAACTATAGCTCAACTAGTTTATGTAGACGAGATAGTAATGATAAAAATTGGTGAGAGAGAAATAAAAATATTAATTAATCACTAAATAAATTCAATATTAAGATGTTGAGAAAATTAAAATATTTTACTAATATTGAAATGGGTAACTCAAAATATGAAATATTTATTCCTTAACAAGAGTAAATTACTCATCTTCTAAAAGATAGTAGAAAATTAGGTTGTAAGCTCAAAATACTCCTATAAATTTGAATCATAAACTTGTAAATACAAAAGAAAGTTGTCATGTAGACAGAATGATATATCAACATCTTGAGAGAAGGTTGATTTGCTTTTCTCACACTAGATATTGCCTATTCAATGGGTATCCTTTGTCTACTCATGTTTGACACGAGTGAAGTTCATGTCTTAACAATCAATAAAGCTTTAGAATACTTAAATAAGACTATAAGGTTTTTATTTAAGAATAATAATAATATAGATGTAAACAATTATATTAGTATTAACTATAGAAGTTCAATTGCTAACGGAAAATCAACTTATTTTTACTAAATCTTTGGAGACAACCTAATAACATAAAGGAGCAAGAAGTAACTAGTGGTGGCCAAATTCAATATGGAATCAGAATTTAGAGTCTTGCCCCAAGAGATATGTCTGGCCATATAAGTTAAAGATATCTTAGAAGACTTCATAATTAAATAACATGATCTAATGAGACTATATTGTAGCAAAAAATCCATTAATATATTAAAATTAATAGGGACTTCATCAAGTAGTTTCATGGTGATATCATTTGCACACACTGTCTCAACTGAAGATTAATTGATACCTATTCTTACAAAAAAATTGAATGGATCAATATTTTAGAGGCTACAACTAAGTTAGGACTAGATGACATTCAGTCACTAACTTGAGATGAAATGGAGAGTGAGATATTATAATCATACAAGAGTCATTGTTGTCCTTTTATATTTTATAATTTTATCTTTCTTTATCTACAAGTATATGAGATCTGGTTTGACACAAGTTAAAATCAATTAACTCGATATGATGCACTAGTTTTGGTTCAACATAAATAAATATATATATATATATATCTACTTTCAAATGAGATATTTAATTTCACCTTTCCCTTTCTCTCTCATATCTCATGAACCAATGGCTCTCTCACTAATGGCAGTGCCGCTTCGGTAAACCCCTTCTGCAGCCACGCTGAACATTCGCCTGTCTTGGCTGAGGACTGAAATTAGAAGATGATAGAGACGAGGACAATGACAGTTCAGAGGCTCGCTTGGTAACAAAAAGGTGATTCAATATATCTTTTGTCGTTCGTTAGTCTTACAAACGGCATGCTTATAAAAAAAATTATTCACCATAACATACAGATGTACAACACTTCCTCATCCCAAGGAAGGCCCTATATTTAACATCAATAAAATGCTTCCAGCCGCACCCTCAGGCTGAATTAACGTGCTGATGATTGGAGTTTCGACGACAATGCCCCTCTTGTTCACCCAAATCCACCCCCTGTCGCAGCGGTAGTCTGAAGTAAAGCCCGACCCTTCCTCAACGATTATGGGCGTCGACGTGAGGGTTCTGGTTCTCGATTATTGCAGCGGCGTCGCTTCCCTATAACCGACGAGTTCCGGCCACGAGCTCTTCCCTTCGCAGTTTAGACATGACACACGCAGCAATATAGGATAAGTAGAGTTATTTCAGGGAAGACATGATACATATGACGACCCTTAACGTTGATGTGGTCGAGACAAGACATGATGACCCCTAAGTTGTGTTCAAAGTAGAGTGTTGATACAAGTACCACAACTTTCTGTAAGAAAATCAGGAGGCGGACTCCTGGAAATAGTTTGGTTGAATTAAAGAAGATAAATACATTCCTTTCTTATCTTCGCAGTCCCCCATTCTTCGCTTCGTCTTTGAAAATGCAGGTGTGAATGCTAACGAATCAGAGGTGACTTGTAGTATTTATAGACCGCCATCAATAAGAAGAGCCCAAAAGGTTTGACGAGAATACCACTACGTGTGAAATCTATTCTCCTTGGATCTCCGTTTTTGAGACTGCATGGGGCAGGAGACAACCCGTGCAAGAAAAAGTTTCTGGAAGTGGCCTATATTAAAGTTTTTTGTCTTGTGCAAGAAAAATAGAATATGGCCTTTAGGAGGTAGACTGGTGAAAAACGGTTTAGCTTAAATCTTCAAGCTTATCTGATCTTTGCGCCGTCAAAGTTGACGAATGAATCAGTGCTTCTTGTTCGAATAACAGTTTCTCAGGGTGGAGCTATTACCAATAACTAAACTCATGGGAGAGAGGAACTTCATCTCCATTGATCACCATGATTCAAAAAGACGAGCAAAGAGATGGCATGCACCATGTTTGAACAATTTAATCGCTCAACAAGATGGGTTGGAATTTCTTCCATTCTAAATTTCACGTCAGGTGACGAATAGATCAGTCAGTCGATCTTGCTCTCAATTTCTTCCACAAGAACCAGCGCAGGAAACTTTTGGCAAGCAAATTCGCCATTTCTGAAATCTGTCTGGTTCGAAATCGCTACCCTGTCTGAAAACTTGGCTTGAGTTTACTGCTATCATACTTTGACGAGAACTTTTGTCTGAAACGGAATTCCTAGAACGTTTTTAAGGTCAGGTGACAAAAATAATCCGATCCAAAGAAATTGGTAAGTTTCAAGCTAGAATTTCCTCTGTTCAAAACCATACGATTTGCCCAGATTCAACGTGGAAGTATTCCTCGATTTTGTCTTCTAAACTTATTGGAACTTATGCGAACTTATTAGATCCTCGTCTGGCAAGAAGTTATTGTGGGAGGAAGAGCGGCTGATCGCGAAATATTGACTATCTTCCCATCTTTTCAGATCCGGATGTCAATATGTGTCTCCAGGTCGGAATCGATACAACTTGTTCGCGAGAAATTGCTTATTTGATCAACTCGGATTTTTTCGAAGAGTTAGCGGAGTGTCGGCGACAGGGACCACACAATTTGTCAAATTATGTCCCCACACCCGGGTGAGAAGCAAATTGTTCTCCATCGTATTGTCGTAACCGGGAAACAACGAGAAGTATAATGACGGTAACCTTAAGACAGAAGAGAAACGTTTCACTATTAAAGGTATGGGGGTACTTACTAGGCCTACGTTTCTTTAGTAGACAAGTAGCTCAGCCTAACCCTCGGTTGAGAACGGCGATTGTCTGGGTTTCACGCGGCGGATGTTTATACACAAATGCATACCCACCCATTCAACACCGTAATAAAGAGCATCGGTTTTCAACCTGGTTCTGAAATTCTCGTTCTCTATCGAAAGCAAAGACGCGCAAACGGGCGACGAAGAGGCTATTCAGTCAACATCCATACTTCCCTATTGTTACACAGAAAAAGCACCAGCTCACTTCATCTAGACCCACATGCTAACCGATTCGAGGAACCCGAACAATTCTGTCATGCTCGTTCACCCAAAGCCTTACCCTGTTACACCGGTAGTCCTTGGTGACGGGCGTCCCTTCCCTAACGATGATAACATTAACAAGAGGGTTCTGGTCCTCGATTATCGCCGCGGCATCATCCGCCAGGTATCCGACAAGCTCTGGCCACGAACTTTTCCCTTCACAGCGTCGCCATCACACGAATCAGGCGAATCAGTGGAAATGAGCCAATAGATTAAAGGATAGATTGCTTGGAATGTCATCCGATTTCCGGTTCCCCGCAGAGATGACTGAGTTTTTCTTCTTAAACTTGTTGTTTGAGATTTAGAAAGTTTTCCCAGTGCGAGCCTGAAAAGTTCTCTCATATTAAAGGACTGTCGGCACAAATTTCTTGAGTTAATACATGTATTGTCGTCATATCAAGGAAGATTCTGGTTGTATGAAGCCTTTCTTACACTCTGGCTTAATCACAAAGATTATGCAAGAAATTTTTGCAAAATGTTAACATAGGGCATTCAGAAATCGAGATTGTCTATAAAGGAAGAAAAAATTTGGAACTATGGTGAACAAGAGTAGCTCGTACCTCCGCATCTCAGGCCTTGTTCCGCCATTGTTTCTACGTGAACTGGTTGTGAATGGAGAAGAGGGTCTTGGCAGTATTTATAGAACGGTTGGGCCCAAGAGGTTTGAAAAGTCATAGTGGTATATCGGCCTCATCGTAGACTTATTTGCTTTGTTCAGACCTCAATGGGAGAATGTGGGGCTCTCTGATAGCGAAAGGAAGCTGGGTGAGGTCTTCCGTGCCAGACTGCCATCTACTTCAACACAGCTGCTCATTTGACTTCCGGAAATTAAGACCGGAATTTTATCCCGCAGTCTTTATTAACATTAATGCTACATAGCGGCAAATACAGCGCTTTAGTCTGACAACATTCAATACCAATTTTTTATCCCCTAGGCGTTTCGTTCAGAACTGAAGGTAGAATTTCGATCTTTCATGTGGACGGATACCGAGAACCGTTGAGTATTATAATAGCCACATTAAATATTTATCTTCAAGCTCATTTGATACACGTATGAACTCAGGAAAAGTACAAGATAACCTGAGGGACTCATGTTTGGCGAGATTAGCTCGCAGAACAGTATGTGCGAAAGAAGACTACACACTGATTACAATAATAGGTAATAGTTTTTGGAAAATCAATACATGGGTCATTCGAATATTTGGACGTGTTCACTCTGAAGCGATCTTTCTTGTCCCAACAAAATGTTGTACACAGTGATTCTCAACCATCATCAGCAACTAAACACAAGTAATTGAATAAATTCCATGTAATGTAATACTGTGCTCAACCCTACATCACTTTTATGCTTCAGCATGGTGTGCATGGTGTGGATTGACAATCTTCTGGGGGCTAACGATCTTTGTCCTGTAGATTCCTCAGGTTGGAAAAAGCTACCAAGGCTTTCACACTTTCACACTCATGGCGCTGAATTGTGGTATATATCACATCTTTATTCCTGAAAAACGTGTGGAGCAGGTGTGAGTCGACGTTTGAACCACTTTTGGTTATTGATCCTGCGAAGCCTACCCCAAGGTTCAGGCCAGATTGTAGGAAGTGGGTGATACGTTTTTGTTTCTTATTGGTGTTGGAGGAAAGATCAAAGAGAGAGAAGAAAAAATATGGCTCAATGACAGCTGCTCCCCCGTTTAGGTTTAAGTAGACTTATGCACAAAGGGGGTAATTACAACATGGGCCACTGACTAGTCCTGAGATGGGCTGAGATGGGCTGCTAAATAGGCTACTGACTAGTCTGACCTCAACAGAAGGAATGATCCTGTCATTCAGTACCTACTAACTGGGTGTAGACAGGGAAGGTATTAAGAGTAGTTTTTAATTTGAAAGCATTAAAACAAAGTTAACGATATTGCTAATGCACCCATTTTTTCATTTATATTTGTAGATGGTATCGTCACAGAAACACCATAGACTGCCAAGAAAAATGGACTAAAACAATTTACACATTATGGTTCAGTGAAGGAACCTTTATAATTAACTAGGGCTTACAATTCTCAGCTTGTTTCTTGTGTATAAGCAAGTCTAATTTTATAGGATTAAAATTTGTACATAGATGAGTAGTGTGGATGCTTCTCTTGTATTGATTGAATACATGATTTTTTATATTGATTACTTCAAGTTGGCTTCTCATATCTTGGAGAATAGAGAGGAGCTTCCAAATCGCAAATTACAATCCTAGGCAGTGGAAGGGAGCATTGTTTTCTATACTGCATTTTCAGTGCGGACAGAATAACACTGCATTTTCAATTACCACTTATTGATCAAATCATTATTATCCTCCACAATATATTATTTCGTAAAAAAACAGCAAAGAATCATAAATCAAATGGTGAGGCTATGCATCATCACATGCTAGTCACTCGTGGGAGTGTTGGCCACAATGCCACACCCACCCTGTCTCAATCACAAAAATACTCCATGTCCCTCATCAAGTCCTTATAAATCATAGTGACGTGAACGTGAGGGTTCTCCTCAATTATTGTTGCAGCAGTGCTGCCCTTATCCCCAAATACTTTTGGCCACGATTTCTTTCCTTCACATGCCATCCATGCGGTAAATTAAAATTGATGGTTGGTAGTTCTACATCACCAGGTTCATTTGATATTTGATGATTATAAACTGTATGCATAAGCTATATCTTGCCATTCATAGGAATAGTGATGATGTATCCATTAAGCTTTTATCCAAATAGTAGTCTCATTTAAGATTAAACATATGACGTTAAGGTAGAAAATAAATAATTCTACTGTCCTGAAAGAACAGATAATGGGGTAAAGGAATCCAACCAAAAGTATTCCTTCAAATGAACACCAAGAATTGTGCTACTCGAGATTCTGACATTTTTTTTCTTGCCTGTACAAGTTGAAGTCTGTGTGAAATAGAGATGGAGTAAGATGAAGCCCAAGCCACCTTGGGGTATTTATAGAGAATCATGGATCATACAAGTATGGAATGATTGTATAAAAACCTCACAAAGTTATATGTATGTGCCATTTGGATCGAGCTTAGCATATGAGAGGGGGAAGTGAGTCCCCACTTTTAAGGAAATGGGTGAACAACTTCAATCTTAAGAGGCCTATTTCTCTCTCATCAATCATGCTTATATAAATAGTGCCTTTCTTATGTGGTCTTAATAGAGGCTTCATGGAAGGATTCAACTTTGTATGGAATATCTAACTATAAGATAAGGCTAGGGAACAACCAATAGAGTTATAGATTAATTTAATATTTCTTTAAGTTTTTTAAAAGTTACTTTGAAATCATGAAATGATGATACTACATTAGAAATTGATTGGATGATAGTGAGACATATTGAAGGGCATTGCAAAAACTTCACATGATATTCTTAACTCAAGAAATATCTTGAACCAACTCAATTCTCATAAGGGATACAAACACAATACTTATAGATATGAATACAATAAGAAGTATGTGCAATGTAAATCTATCATCATTCTTTGTGAAAGTATGTTATTCTACTTCACTCTCAAATATTATTTATATTCGTTGTATACAAGAAATTGTGTTGTGCTAAATGCCAAGTCCAACACCTATGGCATGCATGAAAAATCCTTGATTGCCTTGATTAACAATGGTACACTTGATCAAAGGACCAATTTCTATTGTGAGCTTGATCAATACCTAATCACTTGGAGCACGTTAGAGCACTCCACTTACACATGTGGTGTGATTGAGTGCAAGACCCACATGAATGGTGGGGGGAAGGGGGAATCTATGTCGTGTAAAATCATTTTTAATTTTTTTAAAACTCCTTTAGTTCAAATTTTGATGAGCAGATTTTTACTATGGCTTCTTCGATGTAAAATCAGCACTATCATATATATGCCATACTTTCTCAAATAAAAATTATTTTAGTCATATAGGTTCACTTTTTGGACTATTTTTTCATTGATCAAAAATATAATTTTGGTAATGTTATCAATTAAATATTTTATATGATTTATTACATTTGACTCACTATTTAGAGATATTTCAAATACTTACAGACCTATAATAGTGTAGACAATTGGTACAAAAAATCAAAAATATCAATTCTCATACATATGATAATGATTTTTGTACATGACACATTCTTCTTATTACGCTTATACTCAAATAATTTATCATTTCTTCTCATGATGAGAATTAAATGAAAAGTAAGATTTCCTTTTATTTCCACTAATCAAGATCATAAATAAAATCATTCTACATATGCCATGTTATTGAAATCCTCTTCTTTATATATAGTCATCATAGAGACTCTTTATAATTGTAAAAGACTTTAATCTACTTGAATCATAATTAGGCAAAATGAATATTATATGTCCTCAATTTCATCATTTTAGATAAGAGTTATCTCTATGTGAATCTCTTCATAAAACATGAAAATATGATTAGTTCATTCATAATTTAACACTTTTATCAACTGATATATTTCTATTCTCAATCGAGTCATCCACACCTTGAAGCTCAAGAGAATGACGGTCAAGTCATAAAGAAGATATCCTACAGAACATAGAAAAATTACATGGAAACTATTGTTCAACAATTAGAAATACGAGCAATGATATTTAAAAAATGCACCCTCACTTGAATGAGATATGGAATAAAGTCATGATCCACAACAATCAAAACATATGGGAAGGCAATGACTTATTATAGATTACAACACAATATCTAATAATCTCTAAAGGTGATTGTGATAAAACAACTTGTATGATCACGGATTATTCTTATTGATCCACAACTAGTATGTTGGAATGTCCACATGGTCTGTACCCCTATTAACATAACATTTTTAATAAAGCCTATGCACGTTTAGACACATACATGAAATGAGAGATGGTGTACTATTATCTGGTAATACAGCATCAGCTTATCAGCCCTTTTACAATTGTATGTCTACTTGATTCTAGGAACTTTGACAACATTGTCATCGTCATCTATTCAGAACTTCACCTACTAGTAGCTGAGATCTTTTGTGACGAACATCCCCAACCTAATGGTCTTAATATTAATCAAGAGGAGAACTCTCATGAGTTCCGATCACAAGCGTTGATACAGATGAAATTTACATAGTAAAACTCAATTGATGATTATTAGGGGATTCACGAGGAGAGGAAGGGCATTTGGAATGATCAAACTTCAACTACAAAGGAGACAACAAGGATCTGATAGCTTAGAAAGACCACCAAGTAGGATACTTTCTTTTTAATACATCAAAAAGAAAATATCACACGATATGATCAGCGAATATGTTAGCTATCCTATGGTTCTCTAGCAACCACAGCAAGAAACTATATTAAATGAACATGATTCAAGGGAGTGCAATGTAATACCTGAGCACAAGAAGGTCGTCGGCATTGAGAGACCTTATGATTACATTCTAGGGTCAATGAAGCTTTAAAGATATCAATTCCCTTAGACTGGTGTGAAGACGGCGTCTTTATAGGAAATGGTGAAGAGAGAAGGCCGGAGGAGAAAGGAAGGAGAGAAGGGAAAGAAGGGGTGGAGGTGTGAGATAAGTCGTCCTCACCACCAGCTCTAACAAGGAGCACAGGGTCTTCGTGACCAACCCAATCATTGAGACGGGATCAAACCTGATGCAGCAAAGTATTCACTCATAGATAGTCTCCTAGAGACAACGTTCAAGGTCTATTTAGCAGGTCCAAATAGACAAAGAGAGGTTTAGAAGATAAAGAAACCCTCAAAAGCAGGCATATTTGCTAGATGTGGGACGGTTATGATGGCAACGCGATCAACGGATAATGTCCAGTTCCAGTTCCACTGTTTGACTTTGTCCTGTACCTCTTATGAGCTGTCTTTTGGACGACTATAAGCTGGTGAGAGTTGCATAACCTCAGGTCTTGCGTCCGCATCGTTTCCCTACTGGGCTGCGAGTGCGTCAGTTTGTTGTTGTCCAAGAGTCCTCACTAGCCATTCGTTGGCTAGTGCTGCATGAACTACCCTTCAAACCAAACAAGGGTACTATTCCCAAATGGACAATAAAGTAAAGTATTGCAGCTCAATGGTTCTGACGAAACTCCATTATTCCTCCCTCTTGCGCAAAAATCTCTGGCAACAGTAACGATGAGCGATATCTCCAAGCAGCAGTGTTTATGGAGGGAGGGCTTTAGTAAATTTGACCACCAACATCATCTATTCATAAACACTGAAGATCCCTAGATCTTTGGTATATTATCTTGAAATGAGAGTATCAACGGTTGACTATAAAGGAATACGTTGGAAATCTGAAGATCATCAAATTCCCTCGTGGTCATCAATGCGAAGAGAACGACTGATATGACGTAATCATCATCCTATTCATAGCATTCGCTCGATTCCAAAATAGTGGGTGGTAGTGATGTTATTCGAGGCTTGCTTGAAACTCATACATTGGCTAGTAGCTTGCTTCATTTGCAGCAAGAACAATGGGAAAAAATAACATAGTTCAACAAAACCTTGGAAAAACCTAAAGCATTCATGAGTACAAGGAGAGCGGGAGAACAGCTGATCAATCTTGAGCATTCTTCACCAGATCGCTAGTAGGGAATGTCCAATTAAAATGTCTAATATATCATCCTTCATGAGCATGGATTGTAATATCATTGAATGAAAACCTCAAATGATCAAATGACATTGTTATCTTAATTAATATTCTTATCTTCTCCTAACTGTCCAAAGATCAAATGATAACATGTCCCTAGATATAGTGAAGATAACCTAGCACATCAAATAATTCTCACATTTTTTAATGAATTTTTAAAAAAAATCCCACATTTTTAGATGATGTTCCAAATCAAATGAAACTAGATATTGTGCTATTTGATTGGCTTGATAATGCTATGTATCCAATATTAGGCCTCATGAAATAGAGATTATCCTAGTAAATAAATCAAGTCCAGATTCACACAAATTTAGGTGAGTTTCTCAAGTATTCTCTCTTTTATTTAATGTGACTCGACTTTTCTGATGTCTTATTAAATGTCTACATTAAATGCAGGAGTGAGGAGGCTTCAGAAGGAAAAGTGGTTGGTTCTCGGATCGATTCCCACAGACGAGAGTGTCATTTGTGGGTGAACCGAGTGAAATGAAACCACCTCATAATGGCCAAATTGGTTTGGGCAGACAGGAAACAACCAATGTCTGACACACTTGACAAGCTCAATAACTGTCACATGTTTCCCGAGGTCGACCTACTTATAAATAGGTCTCTCCCCCCATTTGGATCATCTTCATGGTATCCATTAGAGATAGGTTGAGAGGGTTTCCAAGGGGAAATCTTCTGCTAGGTGGTGAATGAGTGGAGGGCTAAGATCAGAGATATATTCTCTGGATTCTTGGTGAGTAATTTGAGGGTGAAGATAAGGAATCTATTCTTTGGGTTTCTTAATGAGAGTACTTCTATATTGCTATCTCATCTTGTGGAGTTTTGGTCGTCATATGTGGACGTAAGATGCAGACCTCCAAACCATGTAAATTCTTTGTCTTAATACTTTTGTTGTGAGTTTATTATTTTCTTATTTCCTAATTTACGTTGTATGTATTCTGCGAGTAGTGTTCGGCAAGCCTATATTCAGTTTACTCCAGCAAATTGGTATCATAGTTTTTGGTTTTGTGTCCAATCTGTGTTCAGAGTTGATGACACTTTCCCCTCTCTCTCTTTATTTCCCTCCCTCTCTCCCTCTCCCTCTCCCTCTCTCTCTCTCTCTCTCTCTCTCTCTCTACTCTGCAGTAGGTGCATATGGAATGCCTTTACAAAGGCGTAGCTGAACCACCTTTGCCAGGCTATTTTAGGACGTACAATCGTAGGTAAAAGTGATTAAAGGAAGTAATAAACTGAATAAAAATCTGAGGGAGATGGAAATCAGAGGGCCAACTTTCTTTATTGACTGATAAAAATGACCGTTTTTGTAAAACGAACCATGGAATCCTTATGTAGCGTCAGATTTTATTGTTCATTGTTGACCAATTTTAACATGCCCATGCTTTGACTCTTGAACGGCCCCGCGTACTGTGTTCCTTTCCAAGGTACTGAAATTCTCCGAAGTGTGCGTTGTGGAAGTGAGAAGAGAGTCTGTTGTCGGTGGGTATTCAAAGGTTGACTACGCGAGGTCAAGAGTTGAATAGGCGAGTTCAAAAGGGTTGAATGTTGTCTCAAAAAGTCCTCTCCACCAACAGTCGAGATCACCCGGCAGGATCCATACCGTGTGAGTTCATGCGATCATTCGCCGTCGATCAAACACGGCAGACGACCGTTGATCAAATCCAACTGCTCGACGACCTTCTCGCGTGAAAATTGGTAGGGTGCAACCTCGGCCACGCCTCTTAGAGGGTGCAACCCCTTCCCGTTACCGAAGAACAAACACCCGATGAAGACCTTAGAACATGCCCTCTTCTCTTAAGACTCGGGAAAGCGCCGGCACCTCAGGGAATCCGACTTACCTGCCCTGGAAGTCCTTCCAGTTGACCGCTTCCCTAAGGCGTAAAAGTCAGCCACCGGACATCTCCCGTTCTCCAAGAAATCGCGTTGAATAGGGTCGATTCTCACACTCACGACCCTTTCAAATTTAACCAGTAGGTCCGATCCGTTACTCGTTCCTCCTGCGAGTCTGGATATATACGCTCCATCCTCCTCTCACCCCTCTCCCATCCTACCAAACTGGAGCTCAGCAAGCAGACCCAGAAGACTGCAGGGGGCAGCCACCATTAAACAAGTTCCAGTCGGCGGTGACGGGCTTGGCGTCATGAGCTCCGGCTCGAGGAAAGGCCCAACTGAAGCAACCGTTCTGTGCATGGCTGCACTGGTGACGCTCCTTCTACTAACCTCGTCGTCCGCCGCCGCGGGGAGAGTTCTGACGGAGGGGCGGGGACCGGCCGGCGGCTACGTCGGCTCCCTGTTGACACTCCTGCAGAAGGGTGGCTCGGGGCCAGGGCCTTCCGGCTGCACCGGCGGGCCCGTCAACAATGGTGGAACCTGCCCGTAGTCCGTGACTGTCTTCCAACGGCCTGCCCTCCGTAAACCCGGCGAGGGAGCGGCTGCGCATTGTTCTGTAATGATGTCAATTCTCTTACTGTATGAAACTGGCGGGCAAGGAGCCGCCGTTACATGTTCATTTTTTTTATGCTTTAATAACACGATTGCAGTGGAGTCTTCGTGATTCGACGAACACTAGCTGATGCCCTGAGCAATGGGCACCTTTATAGAGATCCCGAATTGGACGAGGTCACTGTAGTAAAATTTTGCGAATTGAAGTGGATCAGGTGGATCTTGTTTCGGACCGAAGGAGATGGCTGTTTGATAGCCAGCGAAATCGATGTTTATTTATAAAGGAAATTCTTCAAAAACTCCTTGGTCTTAGTTTAAAAATTCGCGGGGATATCAAGAGTCAAATGAGAGAGGGAGAGAGAGAGAGTAGGGCCGATCTCTTTATTATAAGCAATAGGTAGGCACAAAAGGTCCTGGAGAATGTTGTCCCAACAGAATGTTGTAAACCGTGATTATAAACCGTCGTCAGCAGCTAAACACAAGTAATTGAATAAATTCCATGTAATGTAATACTGTGCTCAACCCTACATCACTTTTATGCTTCAGCATGGTGTGCATGGTGTGCATGGTGTGGATTTACAATCTTCTGAGGGCTAACGATCTTTGTCGTGTAGGGGCATGCCATCATAACAAGGTTTTCACACTCATAGTGCTGAATTGCAGTATATATCACACCTTTATTCCTGAAGAACGTGTGAAGCTGGTGTGAGTCCACGTTTGAATCACTTTTTTTATTCGTCTTGGGGGCAAGATCAAAGAGAGAGAGAAGAAAAAATATGGCTCAATGACAGCTGCTCCCCCGTTTAGGTTTAAGTAGACTTATGCACAAAGGGGGTAATTACAACATGGGCCACTGACTAGTCCTGAGATGGGCTGAGATGGGCTGCTAAATAGGCTACTGACTAGTCTGACCTCAACAGAAGGAATGATCCTGTCATTCAGTACCTACTAACTGGGTGTAGACAGGGAAGGTATTAAGAGTAGTTTTTAATTTGAAAGCATTAAAACAAAGTTAACGATATTGCTAATGCACCCATTTTTTCATTTATATTTGTAGATGGTATCGTCACAGAAACACCATAGACTGCCAAGAAAAATGGACTAAAACAATTTACACATTATGGTTCAGTGAAGGAACCTTTATAATTAACTAGGGCTTACAATTCTCAGCTTGTTTCTTGTGTATAAGCAAGTCTAATTTTATAGGATTAAAATTTGTACATAGATGAGTAGTGTGGATGCTTCTCTTGTATTGATTGAATACATGATTTTTTATATTGATTACTTCAAGTTGGCTTCTCATATCTTGGAGAATAGAGAGGAGCTTCCAAATCGCAAATTACAATCCTAGGTAGTGGAAGGGAGCATTGTTTTCTATACTGCATTTTCAGTGCGGACAGAATAACACTGCATTTTCAATTACCACTTATTGATCAAATCATTATTATCCTCCACAATATATTATTTCGTAAAAAAACAGCAAAGAATCATAAATCAAATGGTGAGGCTATGCATCATCACATGCTAGTCACTCGTGGGAGTGTTGGCCACAATGCCACACCCACCCTGTCTCAATCACAAAAATACTCCATGTCCCTCATCAAGTCCTTATAAATCATAGTGACGTGAACGTGAGGGTTCTCCTCAATTATTGTTGCAGCAGTGCTGCCCTTATCCCCAAATACTTTTGGCCACGATTTCTTTCCTTCACATGCCATCCATGCGGTAAATTAAAATTGATGGTTGGTAGTTCTACATCACCAGGTTCATTTGATATTTGATGATTATAAACTGTATGCATAAGCTATATCTTGCCATTCATAGGAATAGTGATGATGTATCCATTAAGCTTTTATCCAAATAGTAGTCTCATTTAAGATTAAACATATGACGTTAAGGTAGAAAATAAATAATTCTACTGTCCTGAAAGAACAGATAATGGGGTAAAGGAATCCAACCAAAAGTATTCCTTCAAATGAACACCAAGAATTGTGCTACTCGAGATTCTGACATTTTTTTTCTTGCCTGTACAAGTTGAAGTCTGTGTGAAATAGAGATGGAGTAAGATGAAGCCCAAGCCACCTTGGGGTATTTATAGAGAATCATGGATCATACAAGTATGGAATGATTGTATAAAAACCTCACAAAGTTATATGTATGTGCCATTTGGATCGAGCTTAGCATATGAGAGGGGGAAGTGAGTCCCCACTTTTAAGGAAATGGGTGAACAACTTCAATCCTAAGAGGCCTATTTCTCTCTCATCAATCATGCTTATATAAATAGTGCCTTTCTTATGTGGTCTTAATAGAGGCTTCATGGAAGGATTCAGCTTTGTATGGAATATCTAACTATAAGATAAGGCTAGGGAACAACCAATAGAGTTATAGATTAATTTAATATTTCTTTAAGTTTTTTAAAAGTTACTTTGAAATCATGAAATGATGATACTACGTTAGAAATTGATTGGAGAAGCCACATAAATGTTGTCATGGTGGAGGGGGGAGGGGGGGGAATATTTATGGTTTAAAATCATTTATAAAATTTTAACCTCCTTGAGTAGTTAAAATTTTGATGAGGAAATTTTTGTATTGGCTCTTCTATGAATGATTTTTTAAGTAAAATCCTATAGTTATGGCAGATTTTCTCAAATAAAAATTATTTTAGAGATCTTTCAAATGGTTACTTATAAACCTATAGTTGTGCAGTTGATTGGGACAAAATATCAAAACTCATATGTATGATTATTTTACTTTTTACACAAACTTCTTATTATACTTATACTCAAATAATTTTATCATTTCTTCTCATTATTAGAATTAAATGGTAAGTAAGATTTCCTTTATTTCCACCAATCAACATCATCAATTAAATCATTCTACACCATGCCAAGTTACTGAAATGGCCTTTTTATATATAATCATCATAGAGACTATTTAGACTTGCAAAACTCTTCAATCTACTTTAATCATATTTAGGAAAAATGATTATTATATGTTATCAATTTCATAGTTTTATCTAAAAATTACGTTGATAAGATTTTTGTTGATGATTAAGCAAATCTAGCAGCTTAGTCCTTCACTGATGATCTGTAGAAAAAGTATGATTTAAATAAATAAAAAATATGAGTTTTGGCTCTGATAGGATTTGAACTTACACCAATTGAATACCTACATGAGAAAAAGAAAAATAAGTTCTCGAATACCCTTATATAGTGATGTCATCATGATATCTCATTGTTATACATAAGGGGTATTTTCAATATTAAAATTATCAAAAATATTATGTGAAAGGTGTGACTCGGGTTTAGTTCCACATCAATTATATGCTAAATTTTGAGACGAATATAAAGTAATATGAGATTTAAGAATCAATGAGTCCCTTTCTCGCATATGTACGATCACTCCTTGCCTCACGCCTAGGTTACCACCAGTGACGTAGAAGAAGAGTGATGCACATGTACCTCTATTCGGTCACCCTTAGCTACTCGAGCCCCTACTCACAACTTTGTACAACTGTGCTTCCGACCTACTTGCGTGCCTAGTTGACTAGCGGGTTCCCCCCTTTGTCTATCTTTTTATTTTAATTTATTTTTCTTTATTTATTTTAAAAATAAGATTATAAAAATTATATAAATTCACATAAAATCAAATAATTAGCTAAAAAATCACATTAATCAACTAAAAATTATTTTTCATAATTTAACATAAATATAAGTCTATTTATCATGAGTTAAGGCTAAAATTATATTATTTATTAATTATTAACTTATGATAATGAAGATTTATCAAGGGTCAAGATGAGAAATCTATTCTTTAGGTTTCTTATGAAGAGTTTTTCTATATTTTGTCTCATCTAGTGGAGTTTTCATTGTCAAGTGCCAATACTTTTATTGTGAGTTGATTATTTTCTTATTTCCTAATTTACATTGTATGAATCATATGAGTAGCGCTCCACAATTCTATATTGAGTTTACTCTAGAAAATTGGTATCATAGCTTTTCATTTTAGTCTTGGCTTTGTGCTCAATCTATGTTCATAGTTGATGGTAGTCAAGTCAACATCAATAGTCATAGTTGATGACATTCTCCCCTCTCTCTCTCCCTCTCTCTCCCTCTCTACATCTACAGTAGGTGCATATGGAATGCCAACCCAAGTTTACAAGGGCCTAGCTGAACCACCTTTGCCGGGCTATTTCAGATCGTACAACCTTAGGTAAAAGTGATCTAAGGAAGTAAAAAATTGATTAAAAATCTGAGGGAGACGGAAATCAGAGGCCCTACATTCTTTATTTACTGGTAAAAATGACCGTTTTTGTAAAACGAACCATGGAATCCATATGTAAGGTCAGATTTTATTATTAATTGTTGACCAATTTTAACATGCCCATGCTTTGACTCTTGAACGGCCCCGCGTACTGTGTTCCTTTCCAAGGTACTGAAATTCTCAAAAGTGTGCGTTGTAAAAGTGAGAAGAGGGTCTGTTGTCGGTGGGCATTAAAAGATTGAATACGCGAGGTCAAGAGCTTTGAATTGGCTAAAACATTCAAAGGTTTACCAACGGCCCATACCATGTGGGTTCATGCGATCATTCACCCTCGATCAAGCCTTACACCATGCCCTCTTCTCTCAAGGCTCGGGAAAAACCGGTACCTCAGCGGATCTGACTTCCCTGCCCTGGAAGTCCTTCCAGTTGACTTCGTCCGTGACTACCTACCACGGAGGCACTGTGCATTTGTGAAAGTCAGCCACACGGGATCCCCCGTTCTACAAGAAATCGCGTGGAGCAGGGCCGATTCTCAAACTGAGACCATTTCAAATTCAAGCGGTTGATCTGAACCCCGACTTGATCATCCAGCCAGTCTATATATATGCCTCCCATCCTCCTCTCTCACCTCTCCCATCCTACGAAACCCAAGCACAGCAGTCAGACCCAGTAGACTGCAGCGGTCGCCACCATCATACAAGTTCCAGTCGGCAGTAACGGGCTCGGCGTCATGAGTTCCGGCACGAGGAAAGGCCCAACTGAGGCCACGGTTCTGTGCATGGCTGCACTGGTGGCGCTCCTTCTACTAACCTCGCCTTCCGCCGCCGCGGGGAGAGTTCTGACGGAGGGGCGGGGACCGGCCGGCGGCTACGTCGGCTCCCTTTTGGCACTCCTGCAAAAGGGTGGTTCGGGACCAGGGCCTTCCGGCTGCACTGGCGGGTCCGTCAACAATGGTGGAACCTGCCCGTAGTCCGTGACTGCCTTCCAACGGCCTGCCCTCCGTAAACCCGGCGAGGGAGCGGCTGCGCATTGTTCTGTAATGATGTCAATTCTCTTTCATGTATGAAACCTGGCCGACAAGGGGCCGCCGTTATGTATTCATTCTTTTCTTCTTGTTGTAATAAAACGATTGCACTGGAGTTTTCGTGATTCGGCGAGCATGAGCTAATGGGCCCTTCAGAGAGATCCCAGATGGGACGAGGTCGCTATTAGTAAGATTGTGCGAATTGAAGTGGGTCCGGTGGAACTTGTTTCGAACCCAAGGAGATGGCTGCTTGATAGCCAACTAAGTCGCAAGTTACTTTAAAAAGTAAATTCTTAAAAAAAATTCCTAGGTCTTACTTTAAAAATTCGTAGGATATCAACGAGTCAAATGAGAGAGAGAGAGAAAGAGAGAGAGTGGGGGCCGGAGTCTTTATTATAAGCAGGAGCTAGCCACAGGTCCTGGTGAATACGACTGGGCCGTGGGCGACGGGCATCCCCAACAACAACTTGGCGTCAGGGGACGGGGTTTGGAGGGGTTTGGTGAGTAGGTGGTCAAGGGTGAGATGAGACCATTAAAGATATATAAACCCCAGATTTTGAGTAGGTGGTCAAGGGTGACTATTAAAGATATATATGGACCCCAAATTTTAAAAAATTTGGGGTTTTTTTTTATATATTGAAATAATTTCTGAATTCTACGTATGTCGACCTTAAATTGGGTTTTTTTTTAATTTGTCCTCGTGAAATCTTTTTCTTTTGCTACAGTTCAAGATAGCGGTTCTTTAGAGGACGATTAGGAGCCCTATTTTTCCATTAAATTGTGAACTATTTGCATTTTTATTTTATAATTATGTCCCCCTTTAAGAAAATTCGTTCATACGTAAAAGTATATACGTAATTATAATACTTTTAAGAGGACGGATTATTATATGCCTTAAATAGTAAGAGTATATATATGGAGAAGAATAATGAGGACGCTGGCACCCGGCCTTCTCTCGATCCCGCTCGCTAAGTCAGTCTCCTTCTCTCTTCCTGTTTGAAATTTCGGGTTCGCTTCCTCCGACAACGGCGAGCTGTGTCGGGGGAGATGAGCGGGGCGAGGCTGTGCGGACTTCTGGAGGCGCTAGGTTTCGATGGCTACGATCTACTCGATCCAGACAGCTTCGAGTGGCCCTTCCAATACGAGGAGGCGGGCGCCGTTCTCGAGTGGATGTGCTCTAACCTCCGCCCGTCGAACGTTCTCTCCCCAGCGGAGCTCTCCCAGTTGCGTATAATGACTCTCTTTGGACTTCCCAACCCTGGTTCACTTTGAATTACGAATGGTCATCTGCGATAACTTTTTACTTGATGTTTATTTCATCGCTGACTTGGGTGAACAATGCGGGTGGACGTATCAGGTACGAGCAACTCCTGCACGAAGGGAAGCTGCTAGAGGTATGTTCGTCCTATTTCTAATGCCATCAGGACAACATTGTTTGGCGGTTGAACGATGTTCATTTCATGCTTTTTAATGTTCTAGTTGAAAGAACTAGAATATCTGTCCCAGGAAATCGATGATTGATTCATAGAAAAATATTTTTTCTGAAAAATTAGATATGTACCGAAAGTAATCTTGGGACAGACTCCAGGGTATATAAATACCTAAAGATGAACTTTAGGTAAATGCTAGTTATAGAATTGAGATTACCCGAAGATGAAAAGAAATATGCATATTTTTTCCGTCATCTTGTATTTCACATGATTGTAGAACTGTAACCCATTCATGTATTGTTATCAACTCAGAACATTTTTGTCTCACTATAAAAGTTCTTGTTTTGTGTATGGATTCACTTTCCAGGGAGAGGATTTAAATTCTGCATATGATAGCATTTCTGCTTTTTCAAGTAGGAAAGACAGCCAAGATGCAGTTTTTGGAACTGAAGAGAGATTAATTGATATCAGGTAATAACGTTCTCTGGTGTCATTGCCATTTATAATCTCTGTCATAACCTTACTATCTAGTATATACCTATGTTGGAGTGTGGAGGTCCTATCTGGTGCACATTAAACTATTGTAGTCCTTTGTACAGTGTGTAGCTTGAAGCTTATTGTGGTTTTATGTTGAATTACTGATGGAAGATATGTTGTAGTGATGTAAGTGTATATTTGTTCATATGGTACTTCACTTTCGATTTTCAGAAAGGAAAAACATGCACGCAGGATCTTATCGGACTAATAATTTTATAAATATCCTTTTTCTTACTCTAATCTTGTCTCCCTTATCAAGTTTTTCTTCATGTTCTTGATTTTCTTTGTTGCCATGTTTGTCAGCATACTTTTGCATTTATGTTTCACGGAAAGCTTCCAAGCTATTTTGGATGTGTTATTATCAGCTGCCCAACTTATTTGTCACCCTGTGTGATTTATATTTCCCTCGTTTTTTTTATGTACCTTTATTCCTCAGTTTTACTGTAATCTGCCATGTTGATTTCCCATCCTGAGAACTTATATGTACAGCATCAAAGATAACACCTTCCCCAGTTTCTTTCTTTTATATAAATGAAGATACGAGGCAATGCTGGTGTTTATATTCTGAATTTACACTATTCTACCATAATTGCCTTTTGTCTGTGCTTTTTATTTCAATCAATGTGACCTTTCTTCTCCTTTTAGGGAGGCAAAACTGGCCTATAAAGCGGAAATTTTGGAGCTTCAAAAACAACTTTCACGTATTCAGACACAGTTCGATTTGTTAGCTGGTCAGGCTTCATCATTGATCCAAGGAAGGAGAACGCGAGTTACTGCAACATCTTCAGTCAATGCACACCTTGAAGCTTTAGAAGAGAAGCTCTCTGCTAGGAATTTAGAGGTAGATGGATGGCTTCTATGTGGGAAGTAATTTTTCTGATGTGATGAAAAACTTATGCATCTAGTTTCCTAAGGTCTTATTGAGTTCACCACGAAGCTTATTTCGTATATTTTCCTTGAATAGTATGCCTAGCCTTCGCCTGTTCCTACATATTCTGGGTCTAATTCGTTTGGATTCTGATCACATCTCCTTCTGTATGATTCCTAAGGTGCTTCTTTGTTACAAAGCACAGCATTAGTTTCTCTCTCCAAAGGATAAGTCTTTCTTCTTGAAAACGTTTTATCTTCTGAATACCAAGAATAATCTTCCTTTCCTCTTCTTTTGATCCTTTTAAGGTTGTCTGACAGGATTATTCACCTTGAGGATCGTATAATCATGCATGTAGAGTCAATGAGAAACGATTTGCGATTAGTAATTGCTTGTATTTTTAAAAATTATTTTTCAAAATGGGGACAGGGGAGACAAATAGTTTTTCTGTCTACTATTGGTTACTAGAACATACGCGTTAGGGAAATAGTTGGTTTTAGTCAGACTCATATTCAAATATGTTTCTTTTGAATTCTGATCCCTGTGATAGTGCCTTTTAACTCCGACTAGATTACCTATGCGGAGGTTATAATTAGTTAAAAAACTATTTTGATTGTAAGGAAGGTTCCTTGAGATGCCTTTGAATGAACTTATTCCATTACAGTATTTTAATCTCTGCCTTCATTTTTTCCCTGTAGATGAATGCAGTTCTTGGGAAAATCGCATCTACTGCTGAGGAGTTAGCACGGTACCACAAAAGGACAGGTATGTCTTTCTGCCACGTCATCTGTAGCATAGAGGTATAATTATTATTTCAAGGACTACTCTGCTGACATATGTTGACAAACATTTGGCAGACAATTTAATCTGTTACGCATTTAATTTCTTTAGTTTGATTCTGGAGCACATATTACCCTGCCCGTTGTATCATGATTTAGATACTCTCATAAGCAGATTCCTTGGTTGGTGAAGTGTGTACTCTATTTCACTTTTTATCAATTTTCGTATGTAAGCAACTTTGTCTTATTTATGTTTTTCGGCATCTGAATGACTATTTTGTATATTTTTATGTGCAGTGGATGGAATATACTTGTCCTACTCTAACTTTGAACCATATCGTGTTTGTGATGAAGCTTGTGCAAAAGAACTGAAGCAATGGTTTGTTAAACAATTTGATATGGTATGTATGCAACTTTCAGAACCATTATGTTGTTCTCATATGCCAACGTCATTGGTTTCACTATTCAAAGCGTCCGCTTTAAACTCTTAACTGTCATGATGTAGAAACTGAGACAGAAGTAATTAAATTAACATAATAGATTTAGAGTCATACTTAGTACTTTAAAAAAATCCACTTGGTTTTAACTTCTTTTCCTAGTTGTGCTATGCTCAAGCTTTTTGTTGTGCGGAAGATTATGGTTTAATTTTTGTCACACAATGTGGTTTAGAGTTTATGTACTTTGGTAGGCATTCAGTTATTTTCTCACTCTCTGAATCAGGGACCATTCAGACTGATTGCTGAGGAGGGCAGGTCTAAGTGCTCATGGGTGAGCCTTGATGATATTACGACTTGCTTAGTTCCAGGTGATTTCTCCCATTAGACTTAATCCTATTTATGTTCAATTGGCTATTTATACTTTAGGTATCTCCCTGAATTCTGAATGTATTTTATGTTTGGTGTGTACTCATCACATGTGATCTTATTTTCAAAACTGCTGCTTCGTGGAGTTATCTAGTTAATCTGGAAAGATGCAACATCCATTCTTAATTTAGACATTTAAAATAAAAATAATTAGGACATGAGAATCAGTCATGCACCGTGAATACCTAGACTTGAAGCACATGGCCGGACCAATTTCACAACAAGAATGACATCTTATGGACTTGGTGAATGACGTAATAGGGACTTCTTGGCTGATTTATTTTACAATTAGTATCATGCATGGCCTTTCCTGCATCAAGAAAATTCGTATTTTCAGTGAAAAATAATCCTATATTCACAAATGGTTTGTTAAATACCAATTTTCCTAGAAATTTTAAATAAGGTGTTGGCACTGTGTCACGAGGAGACAAACCCCAAACTCTAACTCATCGAAAAAAGGGAGGAAACAATAACGTGTGCTGACTGATTAATGCTTGGGTCTCGTATTCAAACCAGACCTACAGTACAGAGGTTGAACTGGACCGGACCAGATCAGAACGGTTCGACACTTAAGTAATAAAGAAAAGGATACAATGAAAGAAGGAAAAAGTACTACTCATTTCTATATAAGTCATAATAAATTATTGGAATTTCAAATTTCATGGAAGTATTGAATGGTTTAAACATCAGTTTATTACTAAATTTGATATGGTTTGAGCAGTTCTTAGCCATTTTGAATTTCTTTTCATCTATAGGGTAGAAGATGACTTTTACTGAACCGTTTAAAATAGTGGGCTCGTGGATGATAATTGTTGAAAATGCATATGGAATGAGCAGCTGCTCTTTAGACTATTACATTACAAGGTCAGTAATTAATATTCAAATGAGAAAGACTAAAGGTCTGACATTCTGGAGGATTGAAGGACATGAACAGCAAGGTAGGAAATAGATCAATGGTTTTTTGCTTTTCGTTTATTGATATTTTTCTTGTGCGTCTCACTGCAAATAAGTTGCATATTGGTGTTTAAAAAAAGTTTATTGGCTTGGCATCAGTACGTATTTGACTTCAACTGACTTTTTCAACATTAAATATTTTATCGTTTACGGCCTACTATTTGTTATTTTCTATCATTTAGGGGAGCAAGTAAACATTTATCTTTGAGAAGGGGATTTTAAAGATTTGAGTGTCTTGTTTTCGTGAATTTCGTTTTTTTATGTAGGGAACTCAGAGAAGCCTCATCATCATCGTATAGCTGAACTACAGAGACTTCGATCTATGTTAGTCGTTTTTATTCTTCTCTTTTGCATTTATTTCTTAAGCAGATAATGTTTCTCCTACTAGATTACTTCTATACTTTTTAGATGGATTGAAAATCAAAGATGAATTTGATAAAGCAATTACTCTCTATGCTTTATGAAATTTTTGTCTCGTTGTTTCATCCCATTGGATGATACGTGGATGGAATTTAGGAACGATAGATTTAGAGAACTGAGTTTGGCTTTCTTGATTTTCATTCGTTGTAAGCTCCAAAGAATATAGTCCTACTATTGTAACGTCCAGATCAGTAATTTCAAAGCTATCCAACTGCTCCATTTATCTAGGGGGATGTGTTTAGTGAAATATTGGCGTCATATACGACTTCAGACATGCTATATAATATGCACTATCATTATTGGTATCATGCTACTTAATGTGCGTAGCAGGTAAGTTTGTGAAATTTTTAATAATCATTTCCAGGTTGGCCCTATCTATTCTCCCTGACTTGTTAAATATGCAGATTTGGAATAAGTGAAAAACAGCTGGTAGAAGCCCAGGCTGAGAACGCTAGGCAGCAAGCAGTTCTCTCTATGCTGAAGACACAGATATCATCTGATGAGGCTCACATTCATCGTGATAATCATTTTCTCCGGTATGTTTGTTGATTAATGATATACATCTGTTGACCTAATTAGTTTTATGTTGAAATAGTCATGCATCTTTAATATTTTCCATTCTGTGGTTCCTTTGTTACACTAAGTGGCTTCACTTTGTAATGGGAAACACGTCTGACCTTGATGTCACTTCTGAACTGTTGTCCAATCACCTAGCCAACTATTCAATATAGGAGAGGGTGTTTTTCATTCCTTGTTTGATGGAGAACCGTGCATTCTAATTTGGCATCGATAAATAGAGAACCCTGTGTTAGTTTCTGATGATAAGGATCCATATACTGCGAAACTTCCCAATTGATGACACCTGGCCTCTTAATAATGTGTGCTTCTTAAAAAAAAAAATCTCTGTGACATCCTTGTTGCTCTTTCTGAGGGATTTATCTTTGTTTTTGTTTCTCTGTGGGCGCCAATGGTTTTCTTGCATCTAACTCGTTATAATAATCTTGACTCTTATGTATATTTCTTAGATCCTTTGAGAAGAATTTCCAATCATGAAGGATGAGACAATCAGATCACTGAGCTAGTGGTAGAATGCTTTGCCAAAGGACCAAGGAAAGAGCACTGAACTTTCTGGTCTCTGTTGGGTTATGGACAATTTGGGGTTGAAAGAAGTAATTGAACATTGCAAAAAAAATTATTCGACTTACCATTGTTCCCAGGATCGTAGCTAGATGTTTTATTCTCTAATTTGCTGCAAGTGTCATTGGAAGCCCTTGATGAACTTTAGCAGGGATAAAATTATCACTTCATGATTACCTGCAAAAGGCATCATTCTATTCTATCAAACACTGCGTTCAACTCAATATGTCACCTTGTCTTGTGCCCCAGGGTCGATCCTTAAAGTGTGTATGTTTCTTTTTTGGGTTTGGGGGTTGGAAAAGGGGTAAGGGCTGTAATGTAAGTCCTGTATGTTTATGTTAATGGATGGAATGTCTTTATCATCAGAATTTCAAAACCAATTATGGAGGATACCGATGGACAAAACTGAGTATTCCTGCGAACATGGAGTGTAGGAAGTAGCAGAACCTGGCAACGCTTTCCATATGAATTATTATTTTCGTTACTATCACGTGTTGGTCAGTTATTTCCTGTAAGATAACGTAAATAACTTTCAAGTTGGTCCTTGTTTCCCCTGCTCTCCTAAAAAAAGGTTATAGAATCCAGTGGAAACCTATGACTTGCATAGTGTAAGGCAGGTTCGCTGATGAAAGAGCTTGACCATTGAAACACCACTCACATCCATTGAGTGCTACGTGTTGATTGGCGCTCCTTGTTCACGAATTATTCATCAAAAAGAGCCATATTATGTTTTGACAATTTCTTAGTTTGCTCGTTGTTTTTATTTTTCCTGAGGGAGGGAGGGGCGTTTTGAAAATATCAAGCTCAACAGTTTCTTCTTTGTTCTCTGATAGATTGTAATCAGACATAGCTTATCTCACCATGTCTTTCGTTATCTAAACTTATGATTCGCTATCTCAAACTTATGCTGCGATTATCACTATTGTTATCTTTTCAATAAAGCTTCTGTTTTTTGTCAAGACACCTTAGTTTTAAGTTAACGTTTTTCCTTTCTCTTCATGCTGCTTTTGCCTTCATTATGAATTATTTACAAAACACCTGACAACTTAATTTACCTGCAGGAGAAAACATTCTGAATTAACAGCAGAACTTTCAGAGCTTTCCCGCAAGGAGCAACAATTACTATCTGAGGTTTGTGCAACAGTTTGACCATCAGACAGTCATGTAGTTAGAATGTTCATGGAAAATTCCCTAATGAAAAAATATTTACACTTAATCTTGGATATCTCAGGTACTTAGTTGCTTTAATTGGGAAACTACGGTTAATGAAAGTGCCATATCTTCATGGTGATTATTTGAATTTTTCTTTTCTTCAGACTATTCCACATCTGTGTTCCGAACTGGCGCAGCTTCAAGAGACATACATACTCCAAGGCTTGTTGAAAATGACCATTTCCATGTTTTCTTTATGAACTTTCGCTCCCACTTATTCGTACTCATTCACGCCTACATTCTTGACCTCACAGGTGACTATGATCTGAAGGTTACGCGCCAGGAAACCTATATTGCTCGGCAAAAAATAGTATGCACATAGTTCTTCTTCTTTGATATTTCAACCACGACAGTTTCATAGCCATGAATCGTAATTTATTTCATATTCCAAAACAATAATTACATTATGCAATATTTTTATGTCATTATTACTTATTTGACGCTGGAAATATCCAGACTGACTTTCTTATGGAATCTCTCTCTCTCTCTCTCTCTCTCTCTCTCTCTCTCTCTCTCTCTCTCTCTCTCTGTCCAAGACATAAACTCGCTCTTTCAAAACAAAAATTGCTCTAGTGAACTGGAATCATTGCGTACATGATAATGAAACTGGATCAGCTTTTTCCATGAATGTTGGCATTGAAAATATTATTTCGCTTTGTCAAAGGGAACAGTTCCAGAATAGATTTCCACTGTTAAAGAGGTTACTCTTCATGGCTCAGATTTCTCTTCTATGTTTGTGCAGTACATCAACCATCTGGTTAATCAGCTTGCTAGGCAATGTTTTCTGAAGATAACTTGTGAACTGGAGCGGAAAAATATTTTGAGAGCCTATTCTCTCCTTAGAGTTATCAAACTTGAATTGCAAAGCTATCTGATGGCAGCCAACTGCCGAGTGGTATGTTATGACCTTTAATCATCTTTATCATTATGTATCCTGTAGAATTGCGACATAGGCATAAAATTGGCGTTCCTTGCCATTTCGTTCGTCCAGTTTGTGGTTTATGTAATAAGACTATTAGGCATTAATCTTTTTCATTCTAAAACTGCTGCAGGAACATTGCTCAACTCTTATTCAGATTTCTTCTGAAAAACATGAGCAGGGAGCAGTTGATGATCGTGATATTTTTCTGCATGGTGTTAGGGACCTTTTGTCCATTCACTCAAGTAAACGTGTAGTATTGTTGAGTGATAGCAAAAAAAAATCCTTGTTTATGCATGTATATCAGTTGTTCTCTTTTTCGCAGACACTCAAGGTGGGGCACCATCATATGTCTCAGCACCTGGCATTGTTCAACAGATATCTGGTCTCCAATCTGACTTGCTTTCGCTTCAATTTGAACTCGATAGTTCCCTCCCTGAAGACAGAAGAAGATGTATAAATGAGCTGTAAGTGGTTCTTACGATTCTAAGATAATTTTCTCGGATGAATATGTTGACTGTACATTCTGCTAATAAATTATCGTGACTGGGATTCGTTAGCACAACTCACGCGGAACCGAGTATCTTTTGGTTTTTATCGGGTTGTTCAAGTGAGTATAATGCATCAGTGCTCTCGATTTGTGTTTCGAGTAAGGTTTATTTACAAAAATATCTCAAACCGTATAAATAGTATGAAAGTAGTAAATATCTGTATGAACTAAAATTGCATTGGGATAGGTTTTTCAGAAATCCGTGTGCATGCATTCTCTGAGAAGCTTGGTCTAAAAGTAGTACATTGGTATTCCCCCCAAATCGGTCGGTGCAGAGGATTACACTCATAGGATAAAGTGATTTTTACAACACTTAAATTTGTGGAAATCCAGAAAGAACAAACTTTGTTTCTGGCTTGAAAAACATAGAGTCATATGATGTGTTAATATGTTAGAGAAATCTGTGTTAAGTCCAGAACGAACAGACATTGTTTTTTTCCCAGTATTCATTGTGGGTTCTATTCGCAGTTGATAACAGTTCCTAAGTGCATTTTCCAGTTTTAGTTGTTTTCTTCTCATTTATCGGCGCCCCCTGCCCTCGTTTTTCTTTCCCTAACAAGTTAAGTGATGAATCCTTGTTATTGCGGAACAACTGTAGTCTATTTTGAGGGCATGGGTCAGTCACCGGGAAATTTTCATTGAATCCAATGTCCGTATACGGTCAGGGCAGGACGTTTCACCAACTCAAGGGTAAAAGCGAACATTGATAACTCAACTTAAAATCTCATCGACATGCGAAATTGGGAAAATGAGAAAAGAACTTTGAATCGTTCTACGCTAGACTTTGATATCCGAGTCCAACTACTATTTCTCATAGCCTATCTTATGTTTCAGATGCATTCTTATGCAAAGTCTGGAGCAACTTCTTTATTCGTCGTCTTCAGAACCAATATTGACATCCAGGGTAACGTGTCTGCTCCAATGTCTTCTTGTTCTTGCCTTTTTTTCACATCTATCTGCTCCATTCTGTGAGATGAGAAAAATAACTGGTCTGCAACATACGATTAGGTGCTTGATTGGATTTCAGGATTATATCGCCTGGTATTCCTTTTACAGTTTTCCATTCTTCTTGTTATTGTCGCACTTAATATAAATGTGATATTAGGAGTGGAAAATATTAGGAGTTATGTATTATGTCGGTTAATCTAGGTGGCTGAGTCTTAGTTTAGTCGCTTGCCAGCGAGTCATCCTGTCTAAACTATCCTCTAATGAGCATTGTCAGGTATTCGCAACTTCGTGTTAACTCGTGCTTTTATGTATAATTCAGCCATTGACCAGAGCACTGGATGACATGGAAAAGGTCAACTCCCAGCTTTCTGCATCTGTCGAGGAAGTAACCAATGCACATAGCCAGAAAGCAGAGGTAACCTTCGTCTTTTGCTTCAGTTTTTCTTGGTGGGCCATGAAAATAAGCATATTCAGAATTAAGTCGAAGAATCCCATTGTTCTCCGTCATTTGGCTTTTATCAGAATTATCAGATACTCGACAAGAAACTCCCCATGAATTCTTATCGTTTGGCTTTTATCAGAATTATCAGATACCCAACAAGAAACTGCCCATGAATTCCTATCATTTGACTTTTATCAGAATTATAAGATAACGATAAATTCCCCACTAATTCTTATGGTTTGGCTTTTATCAGAATTATCAGATACTCAACAAGAAACTCTCCATGAATTCTTATCGTTTGACTTTTATCAGAATTATCAGATACTCAACAATGAACTCCCCATGAGTTCTTATCTTAAACGAAAATTATATTTTCCGTAATGCCCATTTATATTATTTTTAAACACATAAGGACCAACCCCACGGTAACGGTAACTTCCTTTCGACCTGGCGCAGATAATCAAACATCATCGCGTGGAAGTGGGACGGGAAAGGCAGGTTTTTGTTGACTTTTTCTGCAATCCTGATCGACTAAGGAGCCAAGTGAGAGAGCTTGCTGCCTGCGTCAAAGCTCTCCAAGAGTAGCTTCCCTTTGCGTGACCGTAGACATGAAAACTCATCAACATGCACTCACAGTATAGTTTCCCGTGGACGGCTCTTATGCTCAGCAGCCAAGGTGAATGAGCCACTATGTTCCACACTCCACCGCTCTCCTATACTTCCAACAGCATTTCTTCCATCATTGCTTAATGTTTTGCCGTCTTTCAGTCGACTAACGGGCCCCCTCTGCCGGTACTCCACGTTGGCTTGCATCGTAGGATTCCTGGATCCCGGTACGTGTGAGTCTGTAAAAATGTATTTTCCCATTGTCTCAAATTCTCCGTGTATTTATGGCCCCTTGATGTAATTAGAACCCTTGGATGCTGGCTTTAACGCATTGCTCTTAGGATGCGAATTTCCATGGGCTCATTTCTCGGATTCCTCATCGTTTTTTTCTTTGTTAGTCATGTTTGAAGATTCGTAAGAGAGATCACAGCAGTTGAGTTCAGTCGAAGGAAGCGACTTAGAAGAAGTCAGATTATCGATAATGGCATGAAAATAAATTCCCCCGTAACTTTCATCTTCTATGGTTCGGCCAGGCGAGGCAGTGGAAGGAACACCGAAGGGCTTAGCATCGCTTCCAAACGAAGAAATCAAGCCCTCACAGAGCCACTTAGTTGCATGCGCACGCATTGATATATATGACTTGGAAATCATATCATCGTCGCCGTAGAGGCAGTGTACCCCCCCGCTGGGGCCGCTGCCGCCCTGGACTGGGCTGTGGCGTGGAGGTACTCGACGAACTCGCCGAGGTTCCGATCGGAGCTGCCCCCGCTCCGCACCGCTTCCCTCGCTGCCGCCTTCCATTTCACAGCGTTCGCCCTGATGCGCCGAGCCCCCGGCCCGTCCATGACCTCTCTCACGCAGCGAGAGATCTCCGCCCTCACGATCACAGCGCCGCCGCCGCCGCCAGTGGCGGGCCTGGCACGTACGCCGACGCCCCAGGCGTCCTCGACGAGCCTGGCGTTGGTGGGCTGGTCCGTCCACTGCGGCATAGCCACCATGGGCACCCCCAGGCTGAGAGCCTCCAGCGTCGAGTTCCAGCCGCAGTGGGTGACGAAGCACCCCACTGCCGGGTGCGCCAGCACCGCCAATTGCGGGCACCACGCCACCACCACGCCTCCGGCCTCCTCCCTGAAGCCCGCCGGCAGCTTCCCCTGCTCGGAACCTCTCACCACCCACAGGAACTCGTGCCGGGAATCCCTCAGCCCGTGCGCTATCTCCGCCGTCTGCTCCGCCGAGAGGCACGCGAAGCTGCCGAAGGAGACATACACGACGGACGCCGCCGGCTTGCCGTCCAGCCACCGTAGGCAGGCGGCGTCCGCTCTCAGCAGGTCCATCCCGTGCCGGCCGTCCCCCTCCGGCACCGTCGGTCCCACCGTCAGAGCCTTCATGTGGAGCTTCAACCCATCCACCACCTTGCGCCACCAAAAAAGATTTTTCACTCGATCAGTCGTCTAGCCATTGGAGACGGCCATTGAAGAGCTCACTCACCTGGGGCTCCAGCTCCTCGAAGCTGTTGACGAGGACCCAGTCGGTCTTCCCCAGGCGACTAAACTGGCTCAGGGACAGCGCGGCGAGCATCGGATAGGCGCCGCTGCCGCTGCCACCGGCGGCGAGCGACGGGAGCTCTGACTTGCACAGAGACGGCAAGCCCTCGGCAGAGATCACGGCGGAGCCGTCCTCTGGGACCTGCAGCAGCCCACCTCCGACGTAGCAGTAGACGGCGCTGGCGGTGCAGGACTGAGTGGAGAAGGCGACGGCCGGCAGGGCCAGCCGGCTCGCCACCGCCGCCGCCCACGGCGCGTAGGTGTCGTAGACGACGCAGGTGAAGGGGCCATCGCCGGCGCCGGCGCCGCGGTGATGCTCGATAAGGGCTGCGAGGGTCTGGGAGCCGACGGCGTCTAGGCTTCGGAGGTAGTCGTCCAAGGAGGGGGCTTCCGCGACGCCACCGCGGTCATAGCCGTCGGAGATGGCGACGAGGCCGACGGAGGCGTCGGCTGTTGCGGCGGGATCGAGGGAGAGGAGGATGAAGCGGGTGGTGACGAGAGTGACCCTGGGGCCTCCTCTCGAGGCGAGGCGCTTGGCGAACTGCAGCATGGGGTTGATGTGCCCCTGGCTCGGGTAAGGAACGATGAGCGCGTGGGCGTGGGGAGGCGGCGCCGCTGCTGCCAAGCCCAACTCTGCCGCCTCTCCCATTCCTCCTCTGCTGCTGCTGCTGTTCTTCTTCTTCTTCTGACCTGCATCAACGTCGGAGAAAGACCAGGGTATATATTAGGAATAGTGGTGATCTTTCGTTCATTCATGTTTTTCAGTCAAATGCACGCCCAGAGAGGAAAGAAGTGCCCCCAACGACGTATGGAGAGAGAGAGAGAGAGAGAGAGAGTGAACCTTGACGACTCGATGGGGAGCCGTTACTCGGGCCGAGTGGCTGGACGATGATTAATGCCCTCCGCCGTCGTGCATGGCGAGAAGACCGGGCGGGTGGCTGCCGGTGGATAGAGCCTGTGACGAGGCCAGGACACGTGACAGGCCGCCACGGCGGGCCGGGAAAGACCCAAATATTTCTCCTTTCTCATTCCTGGGGGCTCAGGCCACGCGGCCACCTACAATCTCCCACGTGGGGGTAGACAGAGAATGGGCCTTGGATGGGCCCGGAGCCGGGCCGGCCCGCCGGCATCCTGGGTCATACTTTTTCTGTTTTTTGCTAATATTGAAAGTCCACAACATCATTCCCTGCTAGATTTCTGGTTTTTCTCTAAAAATCCGAGCCAAGGAGCTCGATGGCTCCGATAAAACCGCAAACAGAAACAGATTAGATAATATTTGGGTCGACAAGGTACGGCCAAAGCGAAAAATATATTAATGATCTCATATCCTTCTCAAGCTAGGTGGACAGCTTCATCTTCAGCAGACATACGAACAAAAAGGAAAAAGCATGCCTTTGAGCATCCCCACCCACACTGTACATTCATCCCCGCAAAAATGGGAAGGTGAGAGCTGGTATTAAGTCACTTACTTCCCCAGGTGGCTCAAGATCCTGCTGATTAAGGCCTCCTTCTTGCCCGCCAGGGGAAGGTTGTGAGCAGTCAGGTAGTACTTCAACTCGACCACGGTCAGATCTTTCAGCTGGAAAACAAATTCAGAGGAAGAACAAATACAATATTTAGTGGAATCGCAACTAATAATAATTACGGGGAAAATAATTAAATTCGGTGAGAGCTTCAGGAAGAATCCATCATTTCCGTCCGTAAAAAAATAATTCAGAGGTTTACCGAACATGCTTTCTACCCTGTTTGCTTTACGATTCAGAAATGGAAAAATTTTCAGCACGGGGGAAGGAACGTGAAGACGGAGTTCATCAGAAGTAAATGGTTGTTTTCACCGGTGACGGTGATGATTGGAATCACCTTTCCATTGTCTGCCAGGTCAACCCAGTTATAGTTCGCGCTCTCCTGAGTGGCAGCATCCGCGATAGCTTTACGCTTCTTCGAAGCCAGACCTGCAGAGGCTTCTTTGGAAGCGATGGAAGCAGCCTCTTCCTGATCATGATTTTCACCGTACACAGCCGCTTTGAAATCCTCAAGAGCTCTGACGATTCCTGGTCTGTAGAATGAATACCCAGAAGTGGCGCATCGTTAATCGTCTATTTCTTCAAACGTTCTTCATGGAAGAAAATTGGTAAATAGCTTAGGCGCATACCTAGCCATGCCTTCCTCATCAGGAAGCGTTTCATCTTTTACCTCCGGCATCTCATCTTCGTCCAAAGCTATGGCTTGCAATATACTGTAGTGCCTCTGCAACGCTGACAGTACAGAAGAAAGGCAAAGGAAAATGGAAGATAAACAACCTCGTCGCCTCAGTCTTATTGCCTAAAAAGAAAGGTTTGGAAAAGCTGTGACCACATGATACGTATATCCTCTCTAATAGAAGTTCTAAGGGGCCAGATGTTCTCTGGTGGCCAAGAACGCGAATGGAAGTTCTACGACGCTTCAATTCATCACCCTCCATTTAACCCACAGCAATAGTTCATTGACTTGGGAGGAAAGCGTGTTCTTTTCTGAATGCCATCATCTTGCACGTTGCTATTGGCGGAAATGGGTAATTAGCTCTTCTTATGGAGGTAGAAAAGTTAACAGACTTCAATAAAAGAAAATAAACCGCATTTTATGCAAGATGAAGTCGTGTGAATATTCACCTGCTGACCTAAATAAAATGAAGGGCCACCTGCTGCTATTGGGGTATCAATCCAGATCAGCCAGATTCAAGGCTGAAAAAAAATTGGACTGATTTTAAAAAGGATATTGAACGGGTGGTAATTTTATACAGCATGGGTTCTTCATTTCTAATAAATTTATTCATATGAGTTAAGAAAAACACTAAGCAATTGGAGAAAATAGATCCTAATTAAATAAATCCTAGAATGAAGTTGGTACACCTACACCATGCGTTCTATAGTTGCGCTTAACATATACAGCATCTAAGAGCTCCTTCAGCATCCGAGATTCTTGTGTAACCGAGAACCATAAAATCAACCGAACTCTGGACTGGGTTCACAATAAAGTACAATGCGAAGTAATTATTGGGCATGCCTACTCTCAGGCTGTTCCTTCTATGAAGGTGTGGGTTTGATCTTGGCCAATCAGGCCAAAAATTTCAAAATAAAATATTCTGCGACAATTTCACACCTCCTTTGGGAAAATATCAGAGGACAACATAGACATCGTTCTTAGCTATCTTTAGAAAAAACTGGTCTTTATGGTCCTAATATTCATCGTTTTGTTAAAGAACAAAAGGCTGATACGTATAACAAATTGAAGTTGAAAAAATATGTTACGTTTGTCACATAAATATTGAATAGCATCAAATACAAGAGAGGATACATATAATGTATTTTATTTCAAATGAAAAGGCCAGTCGAGAGTGCATTATGTTTTTCAATGGCTGTAGCACATATCTAGTTTGAATGTTACTCTTTTCTAAAAAAAGGAAATTGGGGAAAAAATGGCTAAAACTATAAAAATAGATACTCCAGATTCAGTAATTAGTTAGCAGACTACGGGCACAAAAGAGGCATGATATTCCCTTCCAAGTAAAAAGAATACGGTTATTAAAGGCAAAGAAGAAATATACCAGGATTGGAAAATTGGCAGACCGAAAAGTTTTTCAGGTCTATGCGTTTTAGAAGAGCAGAGGCTTTCCTAATTTGATCATCTGTAGGCCGAGATGCGATGGCATCATCATTCAAGTAATGCTGCAAGCAAACGGAGTTAGCACTTTGATCTATTAATGAGAAATGAAAGAAGAAACCTGCACAAGTTTCTTGCCTCTTCTGGGTATCTGATATCATCAGAATATGGAAGGTAAATCATGTGCATTCCAGGAGGCTCAACTTGCCCACTAGAATTACTGATCTCCTCCTGTGCGTATGAATAATAAAAAGAGTCAAAACCAGGGGTATCCTAACTGTCATCATTTTGCATGTTCAAGCATATTTAATAGATACAAAAGACAAAATAATGCACTTCTGCATAACTGATGACCGAAAGGGTAACAGAATAGCTAACGCAATTAACAACATGCAATGACTGGAAATTCAAATAGGACATGATAAATACTTCAGAAATTTCATCGAATTATAAGAATAAAGCTTATAAATACTTAATCATGTGTGTAAACTTGTCAAAATGTGAATCATTGAATTTATTTTCCCATCAAATATGTTGCCCACAAGCTAAAGCATTGAAAAATGTAAGCAAACAGTAGAGAAGTTTAAGCGAGGGAGTAATCATCATACCTGCGCGATTAAGGCAACCAACTGAGGTCGAGCTGAACTACCGCAAAATGCAACAGCAAACCTGATCATAGCATAACTAACCAAGCTAAGAAAAGTGATCTCAGAGCAATGCATGAGGATTAAAAAGTAATATTCCTGCATGTTTGATTTATTGATCGTGGAAGATTAAACAGAAATTAAAAAAAGGAATCAAAAAGTAACAAGAAATTTATTATAATGTTGATGCCGGTTATACAAAGAAAGAAGAGTACTCGACCGTGCAAAAGAAACGATTGGAACACAGCAGGAGAAAGAATGATGCAGAAAAATTACTACGAATTACTAAATCCGAAAACCGGAGAGAGGATTTTGGCTCACAGACGCAGGCGCAGCATTACTAAATCCGAAAACTGGAGAGAGGATTTTGGCTCACCGACGCAGGCGCAGCATGGAACGGTGTAAAGCAATGAAAATGCGAGTACTCCCAAATATTTCCTGAGCCAGAAAAACTCAAAGGCTGAGTAAGAGAAGTGAGACCACAGAGATTATGCAGGAAATTAATGAAAAACACACGCTGAAGATGATAATGATCAATCACAGTCACCATAGTCCCTGGTCCATTAAATCACAGTCACCATTAAATGGATCAATATATCATTCAGAAAAATGATTGCCTTTCTGTGTTCTTTAGTGGCAAATCAACATTTATCTATTTTTCAGTGCGACCTCAACAGATAGTAACCATCCTGATTTACTTATGATACTATGGTAATGTCCTCCACAAACTTTCCAAGGATTCTTCATTCAAACTTAGTTAATTTCAGAGTTTGACGTCACAAGCAATGCCATGATTGCCCAAATACAAGACAAATACTAGGCTTTTCGTTCATAAAAAAAAAGATTATCACCCCTAAAAAATGTATTCACACAAAAGGTAAATCAAATACGCAATACAACCAAACACACTTGTTTGAGAACATAGAAACGAAACTTTCTATAGCATCTTCAAGATTTTAACAGTATTACCTCGTCACTTGGAAAAATAAACGTTGATGGCCTCAGGTTGTGATAATCCTTCAAATAATCTAATGGCTTGAATCCTAAAAGACGAAGACAATTGGGTGCAAGTCTCTTTATTTCCGATAACTCATCAACCGAAAATAGAACCTTTTCTCTGCAATTAAAGACCATCGGGCAGCAGTAAGTGATGTGAATATACTCCAAGCACAAAACAACTCTCAGTTTTTCCTAAAATGGAATTAATGAAAAGTTATAATCTGGAAAACTTAGAAGGGATTCCGTAACAACAGATTTGAGGTTAACACCAAGAGAAAGTTTGTGGACATGATAAATCGTTTTCAGGGGAACACCTAGGGATTAGAGAAATCACTTCCAGTCCCTAATTCTGAATTATGGGATTTATGGTTACAGAGGAAGTTTGTTAAAACGAATTGGGTTAGTGCCAAACTTGCCATCGCTAATTCCAGGCACTACCCTTGGACTCCTGATCAGCACACACGGAGGATGCACACTAACTTCCCTTAGCAATCCTTAAAAGCGCAATGAGACCCCACAGCCAACTTGACATATGAAGCAAATGGAATTAGGGAAAGTTGAAGATGGGTACCACTTCCCAAGGTGAGCTCTATGTACTAACTGAGACCTCCACCGTGTAGGAAGAAGAATAGTTATGATACTGAAGTCCACAACAAATGCGAAAGATGTAGGGCTATGGCGACATCTATCAGAGTTTTGTTATCTGTAGGCATTATTAATGGAAATTGTTTTTTAGAAAGTGTTACCAACTAAAAGTAGATCAAAGAAACAAGGAATGAAACTATAGAGAAAAACAGAAAAAACAGGTAGATACCCTACCCCAGTACACTTACAAGTAAAACACAGTGACAAGTTTCCTGGTTATAGCTCAAAAAGAAATGCCCACAACCATGAAACTAAAAAATAATTTTTTTCTGTCAAGACATTGATAATAGGTGCAATGAAAGAACAGAAAATAGATACCTATCAACATCACATAAAGAAAAGAACAGAAGGGCACGAATTATGAATAGAAGGCTAACTAACACTGAGTGTGGATACTAACCCTTTGTACGTAAAGAAACGTTTCGCTGGCTCCTGTAGTAGAGCACCAGTGTCGTCACAAATAAATGACCTTTCTGGCTACACAACGAAACGATATATTTTTCAAATCAAAATCTATTTCCAACATACTAGGAACATATTTGATGATGAAACGAATTTACAACGTTGAGAACCCTCAAGCAATACAAGCTCAAAGGAACCATTGCTGGTGAAAATCGGGTAAACAAATGTCACCATTTATTCATAGATGCAAGGAAAAGTAGAGTGCTTAGCAGGACAAAAGCCAAATCAATGCCATATTTTTCCCATCCTGCTTGTGATAGAAAATATTAATGATCCCAATTCAAGGAAATGAAGAGTCTTATTCATTTTTTTCAGGCATAAACTTCGTTGCTAGTCAGACCGAAATCCGCAGTATAGGAACCCTATCGTGGATGTTTTTCCTTTTCTTCATTCTATTTTCATAGAAAATGGGGTCTTGTCAAAGTGGATCTGTTTGTTCCTACTGTGATTTTAGACTGGAATTGAAGTTGGTTTACCTTTAGGGGTAGATTAGAAACAGAATCAAGCCAAGTAACTGCCCCTGCCAAAACCAAAAGGCTTCCACTTAGACAAAACTCATGAATTCCATTGCATACTAGATATTGACGATAGATGATAGTACAAGAAAATATCTGACTAACAATATACCTGGTACCGTGGGACGAATCAAAGCATATGAGTTCACTTCTATAGAGATTCCGTCAGATATTAAAAATGCTAATGTTTTGACTTTGCGCTTATTAAACATTCGCTTTTTCAACTGATCTTTCATATCTTCTAACCTGAAGTTCGGAATAACATGTGATTAATTTTCTCCAACACATCATCGGCATGTGAAGAAAAATTAAAAACACAGATAAATAATACGAAAAAATGGAAAAAGAGATCAATAGGCAAGTCTTGGATTACAAAATACGAGGTAGAGCACAACAGGTAAGAATGAATGTTGATGATAACACTTTCCCAATGAATGTGGGTAAAAAGGTAAATTTACCGTGCTTCTTCATATGTGATGAAAAAACTAAGAGACAAAAAATTAAAGATTTCAAGAGAGTGCTTAAGAGTGTGTCAGACATACACCTGCCATATAGGCGCTAGTTGTCAGGGAACCTTACTTGTCAGGTAAGAATAGCAATAGCAGCTGCCCTAAAAGATATTGTAGACAGATAAATTATGACCAATAATTTTTAACATTACATTACACGTTTTTTTTTTCAGCAAGTTTAATCTCATGGCATGCTACAAAAAATTCTTGCATAAATAAATTTAAAAACTAAAAATATTCCTACTATGAGTAACATCAAAGAAAAAAGGCGTTATAGGAGCCCCTTCTGGTAACTAAATAAAAAATGAGCATTTTCATCTAGAAGATGATAAAGGAATGCTACAGAGGTCTAAGAGCAAAAATCCAAACCTTTCTCCGGCAGATGACACAAAATGAGAAATCTCCTTGCTCTCCAACCCAAGAAGTCCCTGAAGCTCACACGTTTAAGCATTTACTACGAAATCGTTTTGATCTGACAATCGCATGTGATAAATCCAGAAAAACATGAGCATACAACATAAAACTTGGAAACATCGAATTTTCCATCTGGCCTGCTCAAAGGAAGAAGCTCGATGGATATACCAAGGTCTTGTGCATCCTTGCAAAAATCATAAAACCAAGGAAATACTTTGAAATTGGAAGTCCCATCATATCAATGAAAACAAGAAAATGAAATAAAGTCCGAACATACTTTTGCACGTTGCGTAGTAGTTTTGATCATATCTCTATGTAATACCCCTGAAATACTACCAAAAGGATCATCTTCATTTGTGAACATGAGTATTCTCTTGCTTGCTGTTTTTAAAGACCTGGAAGTAAAAATAAAAATTAATAGAAAAGACCCAACGTCAAACAAAAAACTACAGGCTATAGATACTACTGAATCAGGTTGAAACAGCCAGAGAGTAGGCAAATGTGGCAGAAAAAAATGATGGCGCATCGCTTTTTACTATGAAGTACCCTTTCCGCAGTAAAGCCTGTGCTACCCAAAGAGAGTTGTATATTGTATTCTCCTTAGAACCAGGAAAAATACTATAGCAGCTTCCGATCTTGTTTAGAAAGGATTCTGAAATTGGCACATATCGAGAACAAAAAGTTAAATATGGCTGATTAATATAAAATAAGAAAGAAGAATTTTTAACTGAGAGAAGTTAAAATTTGAGGCATGCAGTATCCGGCGACCAAGGTACTCAAAATAAGATTTTGATAAAGGATAAAACTCTAGAAAAATTTGCAGTACAACAAAACAATACACTGATAAGAACATGTCTAAGGGAATCCATATTATCCTGATGCTCCAGAGACATAGAAGCTGAAGCACTAAATAGAAGCAAAATTATGATAACTTTTCGAACAAATTCACTACAAAGATTAAATATAAAACTCCATACGTGCATATGATACCAATTCACCAGCATTATTTTGAAGTATCTGTAAGGAAATCCTTCGAAATTCCACCTTAAGTCCATGAGTCGTGTGATTTTTTCGATAATTTGAAGATGTGAAAACCATTAAGCATCGTAAAGATCTTACCCTCCATTATACTGAACTCCTTAATTAATCCTGCTGTGGCCCTATCAAGCGATTCACGGTCCACCACATTGAATACATACACCCCAGTTAAGTCCTGCAAGTTTTTCTTTTCTTTCTGAAAGGTTCAAACAATAACAAACAAATATTTTAGGAATATTGTGAGATTCAACGTTTAAAATACCAACTAGATTACAATGTTTCATCACAGCAGCAGTTGAAAAGCTGGTGGCAGATTGCCACGAGTTGGTATACAAGCCAGACATTCAGTTTGGTTCTTCAAAGATAAATCATTTGGTGAAAATAGGAAAATGTAATCAATATCTGAAATATCCTTGAGACTGGTAACGGTACTAACATACAGGAACCACCATCAACAAAAAAAAAAAACTGCTACACCTTAGGGGAAAAAATGGCGTTCACCAAGCAGCCAAAGTGGTCAAAGGGACTGCACAAAATCTGGGGATTTTCAAAATAAAAGATAACTGCAATTAAATACCATCTGAAGATTCGCTGCAATTAAACTTCCATACATGTATTACATTAAAATAATGTTTCATTGTTTAAAAATTATATGATAAAAATTTTATTTATTCTACACTGACTAACTAGGCACCATTGAACGGATTGATTATAATATTACTCACTTTATTTCAAAATAAAATTTTTGATAATTTCAGTTTCAATGTCAAATTTGGAAAATATAACATGATAGCTATGCAATCCGTCCTTTACATTGACCGAAATTCTGTTCCAGTTTTTCTAGAACTTTTGGAAAATTTTATTTTTTACGTAGCAAATCAATTAAATGTATCATTAACATTTCCGGATTCCGACGTGATAGTGATTAAAAATAAATTAGCATTTGTTTTTAGTCTAAACGATCGAATCATATTGTACAGCTAAAATTCCCTCCCCCAAATGAAAAATCCACAGTCATAGCAAGTAGCTTTCAACTCGAGGAAAACAACATGAAAATAGATAAACCATAGGATTTGAATTTCAAGACGTCATCAAACTTTCAACTATATTCCTCCCTGCAATAGAAGTGTAGTAAAAATATAACTTACAGTGTTGAAGAAACAAATCGCGACTTCATCATATGATCTACTGATAATTTGAGTCTTCAAGGACTGTAAAACGCAATTTACAGCAATATGAAAATGTGTCTCCCCTTTTTCGTCTTCCTGAAATGAACCAAACACCAAGCGAACTTCATCATGTAAGGGCATTAATTAAAGAGGTATATTTATAATAAGTATCAGGAGTTTTATAACTTGAAAACGTAAACTCTAGACCATGGCTGCTGATCATGATTAATAAATGTAAGCACATTTAAATATTAATATAACTTTAACAGGCATAATTGATGAAGAAAACATATTCAACTAGAAAGAATTCAAACCGAATAAGCTCCGGGTCAAGATGGTAAAACGGAGGATATTTTGGGTCAAAAACATGCTCTAATCCTGCCTTCTAGTTTCATACCCATTCTGAGAGGGTTGAATACCAAGTTCTTACACATGAACTATTTTATCCAGGTAGTATAGGGAATGTATCAAGATAAAAACACCACAGAAAAGCGGTGATCAACTAAAGTATCTCCGCCTCATGCGCCATGCTTGCTTTGAAACTTATATATGGATGAGAAACGAATAAGCATAACCTAAAACCTAAGCAAAATTCGATGATTGGCTTGCAATGAGAATTGGTCCGACATTTAAAGAAAATTTAAAATGTTTCCGAACAAAGAAAAAGAACAGGATAAATAATAATGCATCGCACCTTATGACTCTAGAAAAAAAAATCGTATGGATCGAAGGCCATAATTTATTTTAATTACTCTAGTTAAAATAAAATACATGCAAAAGTAGAAAGGCAATTCCTCATAAATATAGGTATTGCATAGCCTATCAAACTTTGAATGTGTTCGAATTTACGACCTGTGTTTACTATTTGAGGGATATTTTACGATTGAGAAAAGAACTATACACTTTCGAAATCGAATTCGGAAAATTCTAACCATAGAATGAAAGAAAAAAGCCGCACGTACACAGAAACAGGGAGTTAAAAAGCAATAGATACATCATAGAACGAGCTAGTATCTCCCAAAACCTTTGACGAACAAAATCTGGACTTACACTACAACAAAGAGAAGAAGAAAAATTCCGTAAGTTCTACTCACCACGGCAGCAGTTAGGATAAAAATTCCAACAATCTAAACCTCGGTAACAAAAATGATGACAATGTTGAGCATCACAAGCTCGACAACGAGGTTTCTTCCCACCGAAGGAAGCATACACAAAGAGAATGAAAATCTAGCTGACGGCGCATAGGATCGGGACATTTTCCGCATAATACAGAATTTTCAAAGGAATCAATGAAATTCTGAAGAAATCCCCACATGCTGACTGAAGGGAACGAACATCCGGGGAGACGCGTCGATGAGGTAGACTACGAGCTCTTTGTTCGCCTCCCTCTCCTACAAACCAAAAAACAACATGCCTGAAACGTACAGAACCGAGAGAGAGCTGGGACCTAAAAAGCACGAAGAAAAAGAAGAAGCGAGAAGCACGCTCACTAACGCACCTGGAAGAGCTCGCTGTCGGAGTCCGAGTCGTCCCGGAAGAGGTCTTCCGGGTCGATATCCATGGCCAGATGAGGTGACCCCCCCTTCTCTCCCTACTTGGGGAAAACAGAGGAAGCTTACTACCTTCCTCTTTCCCGCGCTCTGGAAGAGACGATTGCGCAGTCTACCCCACCCAGGAAGAGTGACGGCAGGCGGGAAAACTCATCCGGCGTTTCGTTTCTTCTTCCGGAAGCCACACTCCTAGCAGCGCCAGAAAGGGACACGTACCCCCCTGGGACTTTCCTTCGATCTTGTCTAATTAATCCCTTGGGGCCCAACTCCCAAATAAATATATAATTAATCATATAATCATCAAAATAGTAAAATACGGAGAAACAATACCAAAAATCCGGTTATAGTAGAGAGATTCTTATTTATGACCGAATCGATAATAATTCCCAAATTTCGCCAAAGTGGAACGTGAATAGATGGGAAATTAGTTAGTGGGCCGGGCCCAAAATTGGGCCCACGTTTCTTGTATTAGTAGCAAAAAAGACCCACTAGGCCCATAGAGAGCACCAAGAAAATTCTATTGCTAATACGGCCTCCGAGAAGAGCCCACGAGGAACAAACTGGCTGTCCATAGAGCCGATACCCATCATTTTCATCTTTAGGGAAACTAGACAAAAAGACTTCAATTTTCTACTACGATGAGCATGAAAATAGAGAGCCGGGTGAGAGAAATAAAAGAGGGGCTTTTAGTCCCACAAGAGGTCGATCTGAACATCCCTAACCCATCATCATCATCATCTGCATCTTCATCTTCCCTGCCGATCTGGGCAAGCTGGCAGAACAGGTGCTCTACCGGGTTTCACTGGATTAGTATCCATAGCTGGCCCCGTATGCAGAGCCATAGCTCCCGCCACCGTGGGCGGTGGGGCCGTGCGGCTGGTAGGAGCCATAACCCGGCTCGCTGGGCGCCGCCTTCTGAGCCGAGCCTGCCGCCTCGGCCATGAAATTCTGCAAAAGGAGCGGATCCGATCAGAGAGAGAAGCAAGCACGGCACAGAACAAAATACCTGGTATGATGCGGGGTGACCCACCTGGATCAGCTGCTGGGCGGTCTGCACCTGGCTCGCGCTGCCATTGATCTCCACGGTCATCTCCCCCGGCACGCCTCTCGTCTCCTGTATCGTGATGGTGGCGCCGCTGGCTCGGCGGATGTAGCTGATGCTGGCGCCCGCAGTCCCTATCACGGCGTCAGCATAAGAGAGCGGAATCTGCATCCGCTGGGTCACCTGCAGAGAATAATTCACCAAAACTACCATATATCCAGTGCACACCAGACTTACCCCCCCCCCCCCTTTTTTTTTTTTTACTGGGTAATCAAATTTCTATATTTGGGAAGAAGAAGCAGACCTGGGTTATGAGTGAGGATTGCGGAGGCGCCATTGGCGGCCCTTCCCGTCCGTAAGCAGAGAGGCCATGGTAAGACTGCTTATCCATGGGGGAGAGGTCCGATGATGAATAGAACTTGTCGTGGCCCCTTGGCGGCAAGAAGGGGGGATTGCTGCCATAACCCGCACCGCCGCCGGCACTCGGCGGGAGGCCCTGGGAGTGGCCCCAGGGTTGGGGCGGCAGGGAACTCTGCTCCGCACGCACACTGGACATAGAAATCTGCCACAGAAGATGGAGAATTATTTAAGCAATGTATCTTCTACTAACGGAAGCTGGTGCAGGGTACCTACATGCATCTCAAAGAGGGGGAGCACGCTCCGGTCGACCAGAAATTTCCTCAATTGCCCAGCGACGAGCTCCACCGCCTTGTGGACGCCACCGGGTTCCCCTTGTATCTCCACAACTCTGTCCTCTTGCAAGGCAAATGCCGGGATGTCTTCTGCTATCAGAGGACTATTAGAGATCGGAATGAGGGATGGGGATGGATGGGGATCAGAATCAGAACATGAAACGAACTCCCCACCATCCGATCAAGAGACCCAAGCAAGAGGTTTGACCGAGAGGTGGGTTTGTTCATACCAAGGACGCGGACGACAGAATTAGAGGTCTCTTGGATCGATTTTATGGTGGCGCCCTGCCTGCCGATCAAGCTCCCGCCTTGCGTGGCAGCGACCAGCAGCCGGGTTGTAACGTTCCCACCAGAGGCACTGCCAGGTTCACTGTCCAAGCCATCAACAATGCGTTTATGCACCCGCAGCAGGCCGTCAATAGCTGGAGGAAGGGAGGCATCTGGCTCCTCCTTTGCAGAGACCATGACCTGTGAAAAGGATCATAAAATACCAAAGATTAATAGTTTATATGAAATGCCCGCAGAATAATTAAAGACAAAGGGAAGAACCACCGATGCCAGAGAAAGTCGAGAAGAATCGGTAATGAATCCCATTTTATATATAACACAAAATCAGATGCTTTCTCGTGCTTTAAATAAAAGAGAAATACAGGATGAACCAACTACACGGAGTTATTGGCATGGCTATCACTTCCAGAGTTCAACAGTAAAGACTTCTTTTTTAACTGTCAACAATTGAATTTTTTTTCAGTCCATTACTTACAAATGGTGAGATTTGTATGAAACCAAGTTCTTCAGGATTGACAAATAACAATGAAATAGTATAAGCTAAAAAACATTTGGTGGCACAATGGGGATGTAAACCCACATAACCTGGGCCTCTTATTTAAGTAGATTCTTGAATCGAACCAAAGCCAAAGAACACCCTGACATGCTGGCAGCGATGTGATACAAGATTTTCTTAAACCATAGCCACTTGCCATGAATTGTTTGACCCATGCCCCCCCCTCCCAACTCCATGCTCCTGCACTGGGCCAAAATTCAACGGGATTTTGAGCATGCTGGTGGATTCATGATGAAACTTTTGCATAAAGGATATAATTGTCAGATGATGGTCTCTGTCAACAGGGGAAGCGAAAGGCGACAATCAGTGCGACTCAGCCTAAATCTTAAGTCTTGGATGATGAAACTTTGGGAAGGTAAGGGAATGCAAGCATCGAACCTAATTACCGAAGGCAAAATTATCTTTGAAAGCATAAGAGGCGATGCACCCTTCATCTTGCTTTCAAAATTTTCTTTCCACAAGGAATAAAAAAGAACAGTCATAAAAGATGAACCCCCTCCTCTCTATGAACAGAAAGAAGAACACTCCTCTGAATATCCTAATACTCTCATCTCCCATGAAGAATGTAACTGGACTGCATAATTCCCAAGAATATGTTATCATAATTAGGAAGAATCAATTTCAAACATATAATCTACTTAATGAAGAGAAGATGCAATATGAAGATCAAGGTACAGTTCACAGTCCAAACGTTTCCACATGGCACCTAAAATTACTCAAACAGCTATATTACATCAAAAACAAAAAAAATATTTGCTTTACCCTGAGTAGCACAACATGGTTGCATTTTTTGTAAAAGTAATGCAACATCTATGAGCTGACTGTAAGAACAGTCAAGTTTACCCTATAAACTTATCTGATGATTTTCATTTCTCTAAAGAAGAACATTCAATTATGTCGGTTTCAAGTTTCGTTTTTTTTTGTTATTACGTACTACAGAGGACAGAACTTGCATGCTTGATTCAGCTATTTCATTAAGCGGCAAGATCCAGACTAGACTCTCACCTGGAAACGATATTTCACAAGAAACTGCAAGAGTATATTATTTGCTGCCATAAAGAGATCAACAGCAGTTGATGTTAAGCACCTAGGTTTTCTTCTCAGACAAACTCGGAATTTGCAAAAGAATTTAACACACAAGTCAACAGTGTCCCACATGCTTGGCAAGCTACTTGCTCTGATTAAAGGCGTAGCAATAGCCACTGCACAAATAAATGGCGCAAAATAAGGACAAAGAGAAAAAATGTACAACTATACCACATCGGTCGCAAAAGGATAAAACCTTAGTGCGAGAGTCCTCTATAAAGTGAATCCTCCTCCCCCTCCCACTCTAGCAGATAGATGCTTGCTCAACACACGTTGCTCTGCAATCAAAATTTACTTTTTCAATATCACATCGTTGCTAAATTTTTAACGTGTATTATTTCCCTTTTCAGATTCAATTGTGAGTTCTAGCCCTCTACTAACACTTATGTACGGTCAATTAGGATATTATCCTTTTGTGTGATAATATTTTGCTTCAAACAAGCCATCTAGTCTCTTTTACTTCTCTTAGTTCCCAATGAACAGCTGTTGTCCAATGCAACAACTAGATGACCATGATATGGATTAGCCCATGAGATCAAGACGTTGTTTCAAAAATGCCACATCACACAGTTTGATGGAATTACATTTTACAACCCTTAACTTGATCTGAGGCTGATCCTGAGAAAGAAGATATATGGGCAAACAGTTGTTACAAATGCTGGTGAAACAAGTAACATATGACAACAGCTAGATTTCAATCAGAACATTCTCCTTCTTTATAATTAAGACATTATCCTTTAGTGTGATAATATTTTGCTTCAAACAAGCCATCTAGCCTCTGTCTTTTACTTCCCTTAGTTCCCAATGAACAGCTGTTGTCCAATGCAAAAACTAGATGACCATGATATGGATTAGCCCATGAAATCAAGATGTTGGTTCAAAAATACCACATCACACAGTTTGATGGAATTACTTTACAACCCTTAACTTGTTGATCTGAGGCTGATGCTGAGAAAGAAGATATCTGAGCCAACAGTTAGTTAAAAATGCAGGTGAAAGAAGTAACATATGGCAACAGCTACATTCCAAGAGGGGAGCAAATGAAACGTGAATCCCACAGTGAAAACTTCCGAAGCAAGTTAAACCAACCAGACACAATTCACACTGGCAAGCACTTCCAAAGCATGACAAGAATGCAATCTGGCAAAGTTTTTTTAAAAAAACCAAACTAAAATTACATCTTGTAAGATTTAGTAGGAGAAATAAGCCATATAAATAATTTAATCTGGATATTTCCCGAAAATATTGAATGATCAAAGAACTCACAATTCTTTCTTGAGCACCCGGAGGAGCATCAAGAACCTTAATTCGAGATCTAGATTCCTCACACATTTTCTTAACAAACTCTCCTTTGCGACCAATGATACTGCCAACCTTCTGTGCAGGGACCAGTACTCGAAAAACACTCTCCCCAGGCCACCCCGGCCACTTCTTTTCTCCAGCCGCAACATCTGAGCCATCAATATGACCTCCTTTCGGTGGAGATTCTGAGTTTGGCTCTGCAGCCACGTCATGTTCAGAAGCATTTTCCGCAGATCCAGACATGATACCGTCTGAGAGAAGATAAATCAAATAAATAACAGATAAAAAAGGTCATAAAATTAATAAATTGAGAACCACGATAGATGTGACTCCTCCATTAACATCTCTTATCTAATATAACAAACCTCCAGTCAAAAGTATTATACCAGCATCCACACACGCAGTATATTCAAAGATCATAAGAAGAACGCAACGAAGAGGTCATAATAACACTAGCATTACAATAGCCCGGGCATTTGACCACAGAAAAGTGCAAGGAAGCTGGTACCCACGATTCAAAACAAGTCTTCAAGAAGAAGAGATTGAAGAGCAAGGAGACCAACTTGAGTTATGATTTAGTAACAATCAATCTTGATGGCAGATGTGGACGCATAAAAAATACAAGTCAAAGAAAACCGACAGATTTACAGTTTGATCAGCTTTATATTTTACTGACCACTATGGGACATCTCGACTTTGGAGATGCCCGTCCTTATTGAAAGCAAGGATATTCATCAAAAGGTCACATGGAAAACTTCATTTATGCGATCAGCCATCCCATGATCTGGGCAGCATCAGCACTTCCCGCAGCCTATGTAAGGAGTACTCGGATCATTTATTCCCAAGCTGTTCTTTCTCGTGGGAAGTGCTCCAAGAACACAAAATATTCAAAGTTAGGTTGGCCCATCATATTAATGAGGCACAAAGGCATCATGGAACATCCCAGCTTTGGATGCATTCATCCACATTGAAATTGACGCCTTAAAAACATTGGCGTACATATTTTCCTTTACTTTTGTTACGAATGAATAGGTGATGCTATCCGTTTTCTAATAAAGCTTCCAGAGTTGTCATTTCCCAAAGCCATACCAGGAGACGCAGGAAACCATTTTAAAAAGAGCCCACGCCAGCAGTCTTCGTAACATGAGAGTAGGCCAGTAGAACTGTTAGCTGGGTGATGAACTTAGTTGTCGTTGACATATGATTAAAGTAAAAAAAGGGTAATTCTCAAGAAAAAGATTCAAATTCAATGCAAATCCGTCAGAAAATGGGGTATTCCCAAGAATGATGCATTCTGAAAATAAAATATGCGGTCAATCTTAAAATAATTAGGCAAAAACTACATGCCATCTATGGATCTAATAGACAGATAAATCAGGTTCGGTAACTGAAAAACTTAGTAAAAACTGAAAATTTAGAGATTATTTTTCTATATCTTTCGTGGGCCAATCACTCCCTCCACCTCTAAGATATGATGATTCTGCGAAAGTACATGTTGTTCATCAACTTAGGAACGGAAATATCCATAGGAAAATCTACTTAGATAAATATAAGCCTTAGAGGTAAACAAAAGACAGAAAAACTCCTTCTGCTCATCCGTGATAAGCCTCAGCCCCCCTCCTTCCCCTCTTCTTCCTCCCGCTAGACAGACATAGCATAGTCCTTTCACAATGTTAGACTCGAAAATGAAATGATATACCGGTGCCAAAACCTTTACATGACAGTATTGCGATAATACATCATTATGTTCCATATATACTGTCTCCAATGTGATAGAAAAACCGCAGCTTGATTATTTTCAAAGGAGCGACTTATCATTGTGCACACGCAGGAACCCACAAAGAAGAACACGCAAAAGGAGAAAAGCAAGCCTAAGCACGAACGGGTTCGCCAGAATCCCACGAACTAAGGTAACATACAAGACAGAAGGGGCAATCAGAAAACGCCGCCGATGAGAGGCTGCCAAGAGACCGGAGCGGTGACCACTACCCAGCGACGAAAGCCGAACTATCTCGAGACCATAAAACCCTAGAAGCCCCCAAGGTCCCAGGGGAACAACACCCCGAAAAAAAGAGAACTGGGCAGGCAGAACCAAGACAACCGTAACGCTACCACGAAATTGAGCTGCTCACATTTCCTTTCTCTTGTCGACGAGCGCGTTGGTGGCAGGCAATGAGTGACGGAGACAACTACTCGGATCGCGAGCAAGGGGGGTTTTAGAAGAGGGTAACAAGAAGGAAACAAGATTAGACGGGGCCGGGTGGCGGTTTGTGTTCGTGTGGGCTAGTCCGCGCACACGTGCTTGCCGAGGCGGCCCAAAGGTGGCTCCTTTTCTCAGCTGGTGGGGAGGGGGCTGGGGTGTTCCTCTACGGGTGTCGATGAAAAGACAGCTCAAATGAAGTATGATGGGTGACGAAAGAGAGGCTCCGGCGTTGAAACTGACCCAACACATTAAAGAACCCTAGTCAGATTGGACTTTATTTGTATTTTATTTCTTATTCTTTGAAATCAACCGCACCTGGATACCAGTCTTCTTATAACTTTCTCGGCTCATTATCGAAATAAAAAATTTATGGGTTTGGTCAGCCTTTTGTACCCACATCTGTGAGGGAAAGACTGAGGGCCAAGCCGATAGGACCCATGGGATACTGTAACAAGGATGTCGGCCGCTCTGCACGAGATCCTTGGTATGGTCCCTGGTAACAGATACCCATAGATTCTAGGGTGGGTAGCTTTCATTCTACCCCAAAAAATGGAATGAATGAAGAAGATGCCGTCCTAAACACTATATTTAGCAACATGGGTAGCATCAGCCTCACTAATCTGTGCTTATTTTTGCTTTTTAAGGAGAATGAGACCCCAGCCACACAATCTTGTGACCAGAATGTTAGTGCACAGAAGATGGAGTGCTCATCACTCTCGCCATGGAAGATGGACTTTTTTTTCTTTCTAACAGCCCACCCTCTGGTTGCAATCAATGCGTACAGCCCTAGAGAGGGGAGTGAGCAATAATCTTCAATATCACTGTACTTAGAATGAGGAGGCAACCAGCATTTGTTAATTTTCGTCTCTCTCTCTCTCTCTCTCTCTCTCTCTCTCTCTCTCTCTCTCTCTCTCCCTCTCTCCCTCTCTGGCTGTCCCTCTTTACCTATCCATCTCTCTCCCTATAAATCCAGCTCACAGAGTGAGCAAGTCCAAGAGTCTCTCTCACAAGGCATCTCTGGCAGCAATTCGGCAAACAATTGCATCTTCAAGGGAGGATACCGCCAATTCCGCGGCTGAAATTTTGTAATGCTGAAAGACGAATGGCACAATTAGCTCACATGAGAGTAGGGATTTAATACATAATTAATCTAAAACCAAGCAAGTGATTCCGTGATACCTTCTGAATCTGGGCAAGGTTGGCTTTCTTACCCAACTCCTCCAGACCAACTTGAGTGCCATCAATGAGCTTCTCCAACGATTTCATCTGATGCAAATATCATTTCCTCTTCTGTCAATAACTTTATTTTAAAAAGTATTTATTCGGCAAAAACGATGGAGGCAAAATATTTCCAGAGAAAAAGGAAACCGCTAAACCCTGCAGATTAGGGAGGAAGGAAACAATTTTATCGGCATATAACTCAAAATATGATGTCTTCCAACAATCCAGTGAGGAAGATTGTCAGATTATTTCGCCATTTAATTCAAACCTACCCAGCAACGAGTGATGCAGGCATATATAAATGACCACAGGCTTATTACTAGTATTTTTATTTTTCTAACATGGGGCTATTCAAGTGGAGCACAGAAAAGAAGATTCAGCTCTTATGACATGAGCTTAGAGTGTGTACAAAACATTAGGCAACAGAAAAAATAAATATATCACATGAATGATTCCTTAGATTAGGATTTTACTTAATATGGCAATATGAGGATACCCAAAATGTTTTTCATCAACCTAACATGCTGTATGTTGCCCTTAAAAGGCAAATGATAACACCGTGAAGAAAATCCCTCATAATTATATGATCCAGTAGTCTACAAACCTCAAAGCTACAATAAGCACCATCAATTCATTTTTTTGTTATATCTTCTGACCCGTTAGTATTTGGCATCCCTTTCGATCTATAAGTTTGATATATATTTCGTCCCATATTTTTTTCAAAAACACATTTTAGATCTGAAGGATCCCTCCCAATATCGGTATCATCAAGAATGAATCAAGCAAGTTTCAGCTAATGGAAAACCACCATTTACTTATGTAATCCCCTACATCATCAGTAGAAGCAGCAAATCTAGCCACGAGGACGTACGTGCTGCTATCCGAGATCCCACACCTCTTCAAGGACTCCGAAATCTGGAAGAGCAGTGAGCCAAAAATGGCGGTCAGGGGCTAAAGACAGGAAGAGCCCACAAAAATAGGAAGTAGAAGAGAGCCGGTGTGCACATGTTTGGACCCAGAATAGTTGTACACCAGCTCTGAGTGAAGGGTGCGTGTGGTCAGAGAGTCCCTTGACTTCGCCAACAATGCCTTCTGTGCAGCTGCCAGGACGGGGAAGACATCCGGCACCTGCTTTCACTCACAAGAGGACTCATCGTAAAGAATTATTTCCATGTTTGGACATAAAAAGCTGACAGGGGAAGAGATGAGAAAAACCCACGAGGGATGCATTGAGCAAGGCTGCCTCAGGTTCCAAGGCACCATCCTGCATCACCTGCAGCAGGTCCCTGGAGGCAAGAAGAGACCCGAATGTTGTCAACAAAGATGACTGAAAAAGGAGATGAGATGGTGGCTGCCATTAAAGATCGAAAGCTCCAACAAGAAGAAGCCCCAGCTCATTTGGGTCTTGCAGCAGCTCTTCATCAAGGCAAGCAGTAGATGGGCAGACATGAAGGAAGCGAAGGAGAAGAGTCGGACTCACTTGCTGTTGGTGACGTCGGCGAAAAGGGCAAGAGAGAGACGGCTGATAGGGCAGCCGCTGCCACCAAGGTCGAACTCCCTCATTTGCATGGAGCACCTGCCCAAAGAGGAAAGTGATTGATTTGGATCAGCAGAGCAGAGCCACCAATGTGAAATCGAAAAGGAATCAACTGAAGAAATAATCGTTATATTGAAGAAATTTTCAAGATTAGTGACCGAATCTCTGATTATTAAAATTAAAATACATCGTTCGTTAAAATACATCGTTCATTAAGTCCATCATCTGCACTTCGAGATATAACCAGATGAATTGGATCCGCATTTTTAAATAGAAACAGTTAAATAAGAAAAATATGTAATACGTGGAACCATCACCTGTGAAGCATTCATCATCCGAGTAATTAGGATGCGGATAGTAACACAGGCTTACTCAAAAAAAAAAAAAAAAAAGCTATCGTGAATAAGGTTGATTCAATGGAGAATGCATCTACAAGATGAAAAAAAAATCTAATGGTGAAATCATCTGAAATGGGATATTTCAATTGAGAATACTTTCGAAGAGACTGTTTTCCCTGCTCCTCCAAGCAGTCAATCCCTCACCATCCACCCTTTCTTCTTTTATGCAGCTTGGACTAGGGTGGCCGATGAAACCGAGGGCAGGATTCGTTCTGGTGCAATGGAATCGCAGATGGATAGGGAAGAAACGGAGAGAGGACACAAACCAGGGAAACAAACCTTTTCTTTCTTTCTTTTTTCTTTCTTTTTTTTCTTTTTTTTAGGAAGGGTTCGCGTTGGTGGCTTGGAGCAAATTGGGTTTGCTAGGTGCCTGCTCCCTGGAGCGGGATGCGGCCATGGTGCACGATGTCTTCTGCTGGAAAGGAAACTTTTAGGGTAGTGAGTAAAAACATAGGACCAACAGAGGGGCCAAAGAGGAAGATGGCCGGCCGGGTTTGGGGCGTAGAGAAAAATGAGGCAGCAAGCGGCAAGGAGAACGGGAAAGTGAGGTTGTAGTCTGCTACACGAGAAACAAGGGGATCACGATAGCAGCAGCCCGTGGCGCTGGGCGACTACCGCCGGTGCTTCCTCCTCTGGTTCCGAGGGGCACAGATGACTCCACCCTCGATGCTCAAACGGAAGCGGGGAACAGAAGGAAAACCAGTCACGAGCTGGAAAACACAGACCTTTCCATCTCCTTCCGATTACAGAAAGTGCAGGACCCCCAGTTCAGAGAGAGAGGGAGAGAGAGAGTCGGGGGGTTTAGAAGAGGGGTACTATTAATATAGAGAACATGTGTGGATACGTCAAAACCGACAAGATCCGATGTTCTTGTGAGCTGGTGTGCACACATGCTAGCCAGAAACCGGCGTCTTTCAATGTTCGTGTGAGCGTGAGCTGATCCTATGTTGTTCCTCAATGGCCTCTAAGTTCTCATTCAAGATTTCTTTTCAAAAAACTCGTCCTTGTTCGACCTGCCAAGATCGAACTCACGGGCAAGGTCGAACTGCCCGGACTGCGGCTTGGAGCCGCACCTCTGCAACTTGGAAGCGGGCAAGATCGAACTCACCTCGATTCTCGCCCTGGACCAGCCTTGGTTGCCCTCGACGGCACCAAGCAGCCTCTCCACGCCGCGGAAGATTTTTCTTCACCAATGGGTAATGTATTCTCTCTCTTAGAATCCAGGAGGAAGAGGAGAAAGGCCCCACTTCCACCTCTCCTCGCTCGAATCCCCCTCTCCGTTTGTAGGGGAATCCCTCCAAGGACATTCCCGTTTTTGCCCTAAGCAGGGCATAATCTGGGCCGCCCGGAAATCCCGCCACGTCAGCGTCTCCGTAGCTCGTTACCCGTGGATGGCGATGACGACCGCGAGGTCCGCAGCATGGTGGGATTCCTCAGCGTGGGCCCCCCCCGAGGAGCTAAGTTGTCTCCTTGTTGGCGAAGACGTCATAGATGATGGCCTACTTCCTCGTCGGAATGATGGGCTACCCGCAGCACACCCGGTCGACCTGTCCTCCTCCAGCTCCTGGTCTCCTCTTCCCCTGCTGGGGTACGAGGGGACGTCGCAAGCGGACCCTCTGTGATGGCACCTGTTCTTCTCGTGTTGCTTCTCTTCATCTCCTCCTCCTCCGCTGCTGGTAAGCATGAAGACCCTACGAGGAAGACGATGGAGGAATTCTCGGGGTTTCAATCTCCGGCCAATCCTTTCGTATCCGACTCCTCGAACTCTCTCTTCGTCGACATTGAGAGCTTACAGCGGCAGGTTTGGATCCCAAACTACCGCTGACGGATTCTGGTTCTGGTATCCAAAGATTGAAGTGGTCTTTGGCCGTGCGGATTTTTATTCAACTCGTAACATTTGCTCGAAATTATCTGTAGATAGATGAGCTCTCAACATTCTCTGATACACCAGCCCCGACGGTGACCCGCATCTTGTTCAGCGACAAGGACGTACTGGCTCGAAAGTGAGGCCATGACTCCCTATCTTTTGCATTTTTATCCTTTTCTTCGAAATTAAAGGTTCTCAGTTTATCAGATTCATGGAGATCGAGGTTCATCCTGTCTCATAATGAAAAATAGAAAAGAAGTAACAGATCAGTCATGCTGATTTTCTGTTCTACCGTTTCATACGCATAATCAAGTATTTTTTTTGTGTAGTCAAAGAAAATGAAGAAAGTTTGCATAATAAAAACATACTACGACGAGGATTTTGTGAACATGAATTACCTGGAACAGCACCATACGTATGTGATTGGGAGTATTCCTTTTCAATGTTCAGAGAAGCTTCCCCCATTAACTTGCCATTCTGTTAAAAATCGATAATGGCTCGAATGATAGAAAATGTGGCTATTTGGTTACATAATTTGAATGAAAATTAGTACTCTTTTGTGACATACCCATCCAGATAATTATTGGATTCTTTTAGCTCTCTCTCTCTCTCTCTCTCTCGCTTGCTCGCTCGCTCTCATTCATAGCTCATTGTCATCTGGGTCATGGCTGCTTGACTCCATAAAAAATTTATCCATCAATTAGTACTTTTAGGGGAAGGTCTGTGTCTGACCATTTGCTTATAACTTTTCTTCATTTAATTATTTTTTATTATGCAACCTTCACTCTCAGGATATTCGCAACATTACAGTTGCCCTTCCTATTCGTTAATGTTTTCCCAGGACCATTATTTACGGTTTTCCTTTAAATAAATCTCTTTCAGAGCATCCTTTATCTCCTCATGACAAAAACAGTTTGTTTGCCACTGCAGGTACATAAAAAGCATCATGTGCCAGTTGGGTCTATCCGTTCGTGAGGATGCTGTTGGAAACATTTTTGCTCGATGGTAGGACGGGAGCACTGCTGCTATCATCATCTATTTTCACGTCTTATATCATCACATACTCTTCCCTTTGAATCACGATGGATCTATAACTGCTAAATTATGCCTTGTAGAACTGGCTGCATTGGGAAAATGCTATTTACTCGATTTAATTATATTTTTGGAATCGGATTAAAGCTAAAATTTAGCGGTTCTTCGTTTGGTGATTGTGATGAGAATCTGTATTCAGGCATCGTCCTCTGTATTTAATGTATTAAATTGAACAATAGTCTTAGTGAATAAATATGGTTTCATTGCTCGTGATATCCTCTACAGGGAAGGATACGAAGCAGAGCTCCCCGCCGTGGCCACGGGCTCTCATATTGATGCGATTCCCTATTCAGGAAAATATGATGGAGTGGTGGGCGTTTTGGGAGCTCTTGAAGCGATTAGTGTTCTGAAAAGGTCTGTAAATTTTACAGTTATTTAATAGGAAAAGCAATGTTTGATGATGAAACATCTGGAATTCTTTATTCATTGCGAGCTCATTTCTGTCTCAGATTAATTATTCCCATGCGGTTTAAAATAATTCAACGAATTGATTTATTCATTCGGTTTAAGAAATCATTTTTTTTCAGAAAAGAATTCACATTTTCACTTTTATTTGAAGGTAAATAAGGATTATTTTAAGATCACACTGGTCGATCACAGATTGATGAAATACATAACAATAAGTGATTGATATGGCCTAATTAAATCAGTTAGTCCATGTCAAATATCTTGGGACAAGATAGTTCTCCTCTGCAAAAGGATCAGATCTTGTATTTTTGAGAAAATTCTTGTGCATTTTTGAGCTAAGACATTTATTCCTGTAGATCTCCAGAAAGGTTGATACCCAAAGGTGCTCTTTTCACAGGTCTGGATTTCAGCCCAAGAGATCACTGGAGGTGATCTTGTTCACCTCTGAGGAGCCCACGCGCTTTGGGATCAGCTGCTTGGGAAGGTGAGACCATCCGATCACGGCTTCCCTCAGCAAGTATATGCTTAATCACCTCTCCATGACTTTCTTGAAATCTGGTAGCCGCCTACTTGTGGGGAGTGAGCAGCTGTCAGAGGGCCTCAAGGAGGCAGTCGATGGTCAGAACACATCCTTCCTTGATGCCGCGAGATCTGCCGGGTATGCAGAGGACCAAGAAGACAACCTTTTTAGTAGTGTATTTCTCAAGAAGGGCCATTACTTTGCTTTCCTGGAGTTGCACATAGAGCAGGGTCCCATTCTGGAAGAGGAAGGTCGGCTTTTCACCATGCCCATAATAATTTTCCTTAATCATCTAGGCCATCTAGTTATTTTCGATATCTAGGTGTCTCCATTGGGATCGTGACCGCCATTGCTGCCCCTGCGAGCATCAAGGTTGACTTCGAAGGTGGTGGGGGCCACGCAGGTGCTGTCCTCATGCCAGCCAGGTATATGTTTACATGTCAAGAATCTCCCTGACCTTCCATGAATCATCACATTATCTTGCTTTCATTTAATGGAATTCATGTAGATGAGATTTGTATTGTGGTCCTTTTGCATCATAACTTCAATTTTATTTTTGGATTCCCTACCGCACAGAAATGATGCTGGGTTAGCAGCTGCCGAATTAGCTCTGGCTGTTGAAAGACACGTTCTGGCTTCTGGATCAGTGGATAGCGTTGGTACAATAGGTACTTTCTTGTGCTGATTTTTGCATGAAATTCAACTTGGGGATTTTCTCGCTCATCTTCTCTCTCTCTCTCTCTCTCTCTCTCTCTCTCTCTCTCTCTCTCTCTCTCTCTCTCTCTCTCTCTCTCTCTCTCTCTTCCTCTCTCTCTAGATATATATACATATATGGATATAAATACATATCTAACTGGATTTTATCTAATCTGAAGGAATCTTGGAGCTACATCCAGGAGCAGTCAATAGTATACCAAGTAAATCGCATTTAGAAATCGGTATGATTGGTGTTCTATCTCGTGGCTAATCTGGTTTTTGCCATTTTGGGTTTATTTTCTGATTATTTTTTTTATCTCATTAAAGTATACTCTCGACTTTATCGAATTTAAGACCTTATATCTTAGGAATTTCATATTGTTAACGTTCAGATACGCGAGACATTGATGAGGAGAGGAGGAATAAGATAGTTTCTGGCATCCACCAGTCTGCTGTTGAGATTGCTGAAAGACGCAGAGTCAAGCTGTCCTCGTTCAAAATTGTTAACCAGGATCCGCCTGCCAGCTCTGATGAATTGGTGATTAATGCGATGGAAATGGTCTCTCAAAAGCTTAATCTCACCCACAAGTTAATGATCAGCAGGGCTTATCATGATTCTTTGTTCATGGCCAGGTAGAAACAAAAAAAATTAAAAAAATACTTTTTTTAGAAATTAATCTTGAAGAATGTTAGTTTTTAATGATTATTTATTTCTAAATGACTGTCATTATCATCGTCATCTTCGTCACATTATAATCCGTGCTAGTTAATTCTGGTTTGATCTTGTCTGCAAATATTACCTATTTTCTCTCATATTAAAACCTCCTTTTCATGGGATATTTCGATGGTTGACTAATGTGACTCATGGCCTCAATCTGCAGAATCTCTCGCATGGGCATGATTTTTATTCCCTGCTTCAAAGGTTCACACAGATCTCTGGAGATGATTTCCTTCCAAAACTAGAAACTTCCTATGCCATGAACCTCAAGCCTTACTTTTGCTTGTAACGGCTGTTGATGCAGGTTTCAGCCATAAACCTGAAGAGTATGCTTCCCCCGTTGACATTGCTAACGGGGTCAAGGTACTGGCTTTGACCCTGGCCAAGCTATCTCTGGAGTAGTGTGGCGGAGACCATTGCAGGGAGGACACATGAAGATCTATCTCTTGTGCTGGCCGGCGGTGAGTCTCTATATTCATACTCTCCCATGAGAAAGACTATTGCTTTATGTGTAAACAATAAATAGTGGATGAGAATTTGGACGCATTCAAAGAACTGCTTTTATTAGAATATTTTTGAATAACGAGGTTTGACTTTCTGGGCAGACAAGTCCCAGTTCATCTATCATCTTTCCATTGACAATTATCTAGTAGAAAATCATCATTCCACCCACAACGTAGGGTGAGGGAATGAATGTGAGCACATGGAAGCCGGGGGAAGCATGGTTGGTGAAGGGGCAAATAGCAAGTTGGACGGGTAGGGGCGACAGAAATGGTGGCCACCGCCGCTGTCGCCGCCACCGCCACCACCACAACCACCACCACCGCTACTTCTCTGGCGACAGGTTGGTCCTCCTGGCTCTCCCTCCGCTGCCGAGAATTATGCATCCCGCAGACGGCAGCCAGTCAATAATGTCCAGATGAAGCCGCCTTGGAGCTCAATACTAAATATGGAATGAACCTCTTACAATTGTGTAGCAATCTCATTGTTGATTGATCTCCGGTACTTCTCTGGCGAGGGAGCAACTACAGGACTAGATTGCTAATGACGGAGTCAGGTCAGGGCGAGGAGAGTACAGGAAGGAATGGATCTTTCAGAACTTCTCCGTGGCGCCAGAAGGAAACCCAACCATACAATCTTCTCAAAAAGGAAAATTTTCTTTGTCATAATATCTGGGTAATTCAAGAACCCTAGAACGTTAGCAACATAAAAAAAAATTGCCTAATGGTATACGGGCAATTCAAGAAACCCGAGAAACTTCCTGAAATAGGGTGTTGCTTTCTCATGACATGAGGGTAATTCCAGAAACCCAATGCTGAAGAAGGGCGACTGCATGGACTGCTCCAAGATGTTTCCTTAAAAAGGTTCTGGTTCGCCACAGCTCAAGCCCTTCCTAGACCACTTCATAGCATTCCACGGTAGAACAGATGGCGCAAACCGTGATCAGCAGACTTCAACCAAGAAGATTAGAAATCTTCAACCGACTAATCAGTAATTTAGTTGAAGGTGACTGGTTCCACACAAGGCAGGCGGAATGTTACAGTTCCTAACAACAGAGATTGCAAGTTATTAGACGTGGGAGGATATTCTCTTGCTCGTATGAAAGTATTCGATCTGAAGCTCTACTTTTCCCCTTCCCACGTTTCTCAGTGGAGGATGACTCTTCTTATCTCTGTCACGCCAAAAAAATTCATAATATTTTTACAGTACGATTTCCTTTTAAAGAGTTTCATTAAGTTTCGACGTAGGCCGCACAAACCAGTTAAACCATTCTGAGCCTGATCTTACATGCCACACGATTGGATGAAAAAATGCAATTGTTTTGTAAGGAATAGCGATCAACAGCTGAAATTTCAACGGAACAGGATGATACCTTTTGGATTTCATGGGGCCAACAACTTCATTTATATTTGTATCAACCCAGAATCTCTGGATGAGATATACAGATTCCTCCTGTCGATGACACAGATCGGACGATTCCTCTTAGAACTGACACGGAGGCATAGCTGGCAGTAAATAGTATTATTCTCTCTCTTCTATTGTATTCATTGGTACTGGTCATTGATTCCGGAAAAATTGTTTCATTTTTTCGAGCTCATGTGCGCGATCCTATCTCAACCTGAACAGCAGCAACCCCAGAGGTAGCAAAGATGGAGAGAACAGTTTGAGTATGTACATCTGGGACCACCACAGGGATTTAATTACAAAATCTGTAGAGAGATCAGCAGTTTCATCCATATGAACACTGTTTGGGATTTACTGGTTTACTGAGAGTCTGAATTCCACCCAAGAGAACACTTCCAGCAGCTGAATCCATTTTAAGAAAGTCCCCCACTCGAGTGCCCAAGTCAGTAGCATCGCCACTCAAGCCTATGACGGAATAAATGGTCTCCTTCCATGCCTGCAGACCAGTCTGAACGTCCTTTTTCCTTGCCAGCTCCAGGTGTTTGATGGCTCCCTTTGATACTCCCCTTTTGACCAGGCCGATCCCGAGAGATGCAAATGTAGAGTCATTGGGCAGAACACCAAGGTGCAACATTTCAATGAATAATTGAGCGGCTTCCTTCATCCTGCCGTCGGATGCATATAACCCAATCAGGGTATTGTAGCTCAATGCATCCGAGAGAAGTGCCTTACCGCGCATCTCCTGTGCAATAGCCAGGGCCTTGCCAAACTCCCCAGCCTTCTTGTACATGTTCACCATCATTGAGAAGGAGAACTCATTTGCCTCCCCTGTTTTCTGCAAGCTATCAAAGATGCCTTCAGCTTCTCTAACCATGGAGTTCTCGCTGTAAAGATCGATCATGCAGTTGGAAGCAAACACATCTGGTCCTTTCTCAAAAGATTGGAGTAGTTTATATGTTTCTTGGGCCTCGTGCAGGTCTCCGATATTTGTATAAAGCCTTATTAAGGAATTGCATATAATTGAGTTGACCGCAAAACCCGCACCTTTCATCGAATCAACATATTCGTTGACCTTTCGAATATTTCCAGCTTCTGCAAATGCATTTATGAGGGTGCCGAAGACAACAATGTCGGGTTGGACTCTGAACTCAGTCATTTCTCTGAATAGCTCTTCTGCCATTCCCACTTTACCAATCCTAGCAAAGCTGGATATCACCGAACAGTATGGAACACAGTCACTCATGAAACCTGCCTCCTGCATCTTACGGACATAGAACTTTGCTCTGTGGGGCAATTCAGCGCTACACAAGATCTGTACAATAGAATTATATGCACATTTATCTGGGGAAAACCCATATTTTTCCATGCTATCAAAGGTCTCACAAGCTTTAGCGGTATTCTTGGCGATTCCATATGCTTTAATCATCACATTTAGAACGAGCACACTGAGTTTCTGTTTGACAACAGAACACCCAAAGGCTTTCTCCGCTAGAGACAGGTGGCCATGCACGCCAAAGGCATCAATGGTGGCAGCGTAGCATTCTGAACTCATCTCATGTTGAAACCGGAGAAACCACAGCCAGGATTTCTCAAGCATCCCAACATCGACATACATTCTGGTCAGCGCTGTTTGTGTGTACTCGTCCATCTCAATACCTTGGTCCTCCATCTCCATGACAAGGGTCTCGGCTTCTTTGATCATTTGCCTTATGGAAAATGCATACAAGAGCGTTCTGTAGCTAACAGCGTCCGGCAGGAGACCAGATGCCTTCATTTTTGAGAAGGAACCAGCTGCCGCATCGATATCATCAGATTTAACATATATTGAGATGAGGATGTTGTATGTCCTTGAGTCGGGAAAGCATCGGATCTCTTCCATCTTCCCCAAAAGTGCAGCCACTTCCTCCAATTGGCCATGATTCCCACATATGTGAATCATCGTATTGAAGGTCACAGTGTTTGGGACGATACCTTGTTTAAGCATTTCAGCAAACAGGTCCGATGCCTCTTTAAGTTGCCCAGCCTTTCCATGTATATCGATCAAAGCGTTATATGTGTGCGAGCTGAGGTTCCCCTGCATTGAGGAGGAATCAGAGGTAGAAGATGACCAGATTTTGAAGAACTGCTGGGCCTCTCTGAATTGACCCGCCTTCTTGTGAGTCTGCATGACAATCCCCATGGTAACCTCATCGGGTTCCATCCCTCTCTTGTACATGTCCGCCAACCAGAGAAGGGCTCCTTTCTCCATTCCCCCTTTGCTGAAAACATCAATCAACGTGCCGTACGTAGGATTCGACGGCGCAGTCCCGTCGGCCTGCATCTCACACCAGAGGGACTTCACCAAATCCCATTTCCTCTCCCTCCCCAGAATCCGAAGCATGATGTTGTAATGAATCACGTTGAGCTTGTAGCATTTCTTCCTCTTGAACCACTCGAATATCTCCAGCGCCCTCTCCCAGTCGAACTGCTCGTGGAGAATGATGCTCCTCTCTTTGTCGCTGAGGCTCTCCTCCCAGGGCTTGAGAGCCTCGTCCAGGTCTCTTACGGCTTCTAACGCCCGCAAGATCGAAGGGATACACCCCCCGTAAGAAATCCACTTCGCCTGACGCCTAGCGCCGTCTACGCTGCGACAATTCCCCGCTCCATCGCTTCCCTTATTAACCACCGCCGCATCAACTCTCGTGCTCATCCTCATTCTTCCGGAAACGCGGTTCTCCTTCCTCGCCATGACCAGTAGAATGTCATCGAGGGACTGAACTCCATCGCGGGGGACAGCAGCAAGTGCCGACCCCAGCGTCCTTGAAGAGACAAGGCCACTGAAGCAGCAACAACTAGACATTCTGGCCAAATCCCGCAGTCAATTCGGCTGCTTCTAGGTTTAGAGACCGCGAAGAAACTCCAGGGATTCGGAAGATGATGACGAAGTAATCGGCGGCAACCGCCGGGCGAAGCAGTCCGCAAACAGTCGAAGGCGAAGGAAACAACCGGCGGCAATAGAAGATTCCGGCACCATGCAGTATTTTCTCCGGGGAGAGCGCCGGGGGACAGAAGATAAACCCTAGCTGCAGCTCCTTCTGCCACGCCGAACCTCTAAACTCGTTTCCTCTGCCCGCCATCTCAGTGTACGCTCCCAGCTCCAGCTTTGTACTCCGCGATGCGATAATATGACGTCATATTCCTAAAAAAAATCGAATGATCTGAATTAAAAGTTTCAATTAAAACTGCCGTATAATTATTCCTATAATTACGTAATTTTATCTTTAAAATAGTAAAATCAGTTGCCACAAACAGCTAGCTCGAGCATCTAAATTATTTTAAAATAGGATATTTTCCTTAATTTTCTCAGCAAATCGTAATCAGACCAGATTTTTTGAATGATAATTTGATAATCTGACAAAAGTCAATAGTAACATTCAATATTTTTCAATATTTTTCTTCGAGTAAAAACAGACGCGAATTTATTATTATCCCAGTTTAATTTTTCCAGAAAATGAAAACTATTCCATGACAGAGAAAGGTATATAGCTCTTGAATCTTACTAGCGATGTTGATAACTATTGAAATATACTAAAAAAAGGAAATTGCTCCAACCTACGAGGAGAGTATGAAATATTGGGTGTCAGGTTATGCCAAATTAAGAATCTGACTATTTATTATGACAGATCATCCTGGGTCATCATTCAGTGTCTAGCTAAAAATAAAATAAAAAGGGTTAATTGCAGTCACTGTCACAATGGGATTGATCACACACAGGATAACCAGCCTTCTTACATCTTCCTCGTGTATGCTCTGCTGGTTACACTAAGCACCGTCGGAGTCACCGGAGGGGGCTGGCTGGCCGTGGATCATCTTCTGAAGGTGCTCCAGGCTGGGAACCCTTCGGACGGAGACCGGCCGGGCCGTCTTTCCGCCACCGGCGGCGGCGGCGCCGGTGGCCTGGCCGGCGCCGCCCTGGCAGTGAGGCCGCCGCTGCTGCTGCTGGATGACGAGAGCTTTCGGGCCGTCGTGAACGGGAGATGCTGCATCTCGGTGCTCGGCGGAGTTGTCGGAGAACGGCGCTCCGACGGCGGCAGCTACGTCCGGCATGTTGGGATAGGCGCCCTTCCAGCCCCTCACTCTCTTCACGGCCTCCTCCGCCATCTTCACCTGGAAGGGTTTCAAGGACCAGAGAAGGTCAGACGAGATCTCTGCAACTGCATGCGAATCTCACTCACATACAGGGGATCTCACCCACCTTGGCCCTCATCGTCTCCACGTCCGCCTTCAGAATCCTATTATTCACAGCGGCTTCACTGAACTTCTGGTTAATCTCGGCGAAGCGCTTCAACAGCGAGGAATTTTCGGCCCGCAGTTGAGAGACCTGTTCAGTAAAGTTCTAAAGATGGTAAATAACAAAACTTGAATCCCGTGATGCCCCGGCGACCCAAACGGAAGGGAGGGGCGAAACCTGTGCCTCAAGCTCGCCGAGGTGCGCCTGCTTCCGCTTTCTAGACCGCCTGGCGGACTCCCGGTTGGACAGCATCCTGGGCAAAGATCATATCTTGAGCATTATCTCCATTCCCAGATTCTTGGAATCTAGAGGTTATACATTAGCCATTTCTAGAATGTTATCATAAGAATTTATCTACTGGGCATTAAATCTGTATCAGAAGGCAATGTACTACATTAATTTAGCAATCGCCTTCTTCAGTATCCACAGGATGTGAAGTCCTCAAAGGAGTACAACCAGAGGAAGCTCCCTGAAAGCTCAGGGTGGACTGTTGGGTAGCCAAAGTTATTTACCTCCTGACACGTTTTGCGTCAGCGGGGTCCATGTTATCCATCATCACCGTTTCCCCATCGATCTCATCGTCATCAGATATCTCTCTGGATGAACAGCTCGTGGATGCTCTGGGTTGAGCCGCTGTGCTCTGCATAGCTGGTAAAGCAGGAATGGCGTTGTGCCCATCACCCTTGGGCTCATTAGGCCTCGAACTAGATCCTGTCCACGGTCATTAGCTTTAGAAAATAAACTGAAAACTTGATTTCATTTCTCAAACTCTGGATTAATCAGACGAGCATGAACGACAGAGCACGATCAAAATATCGAATGCAAGAAGTGCTATGATGCACATTCGTCATAATTTGAGGATATAAGCTGGCGGTAGTCGAGGACTGATGAACCAGAATGAAGGTATCTTCTGCAATTCAGGGCATTGGGACTGAACACTAGAAAGATCTCCTTTTCAGGTGAGACATTATTTGTTAGAATTAAAATTCATGCGGCATTTTCCGTGTTGTGAAACACTTCATAGATTAATGCCTTTTTTAGTAAGAATAAAAGGGATTTTGCCCCCTTTTCAGACGTGAACACTAGGAAAAGAAAAGGCTGAGCCGACGAAATTGATGGCCAATGCAATAATAGACAAACAGCAATGATAAATAAGGCAAAATATAATGTTTCAGAACACAAAGGATACTCTGAAATCATTATTCTATTTTTTCAATCATATGATTTAGGTTCTGAAATATAACAAAATGATTATCGAGAAAATCCATAGGCATTTTCTTCTCCAAATGGCAAAACTTTTGGCATACAGTGATGGAGCCAATACAGTTCCATCATAATATGTACCTTCCCAAACTTACACCACTTAGGGAATTTCAGAACCAAATGCAAAGTCTCATTTTATTGATAAAAGGATGGGCCTAATAACACAGATCAGAGGTATATAAAGCTCAGAAAATGATCAAATGCTAACGACCATTTATGTAGGCCTAGATTTCTTATGAGCATGTGGTCTTTTGCTGAAGTGCCGTTTATTCATAATAAAGAATTCATAGGAAGTTCCCTACAAAAACCATTGAAGTGTGAAGTAGACGTTAGCTGAAGAAAACCAATGAGAACCTCCAATGTTCCATCTATGAACAGAGTTTTCTTGACCTCTTTAGGGAGGCCAACCACTCCCAGTAGACCCCAGTAATTTAATCATCCCTCTGACATGCAACTTTGCGGCAGATCAAAGGCTCCAGCCAAGGAACACATACCTTTATGAGGAGCTTGAGCCCCCATGTGAGAGCCATCGGGTACCCAGGAAGTGGGCCCAGAAAAGGAAGCTGATTCCTGAGATTTTGTACCAGATGTCTGCAGGGACCAAAACCCAGAAATTCAGCATAGAGGAAACTGGTTCGTAAGAAGAGCATAGACCCACTATAAGATATGATGAGCTGAAATGGATATATTTGCATATGATCATCCCTGTGTGAGCCCATCTGGGTCACTTCAATCAACGTTGATTAGAAACTGTACATGGACGGCAGCACATTGACGTAGGAGATGGCCTTTAATTGAAATGAAACTCCATTAAGGGTGATGGCATTTCTTCGAAGAAAATGTTCTTTAAAAATTTCTCTCCAAGCTTAATCAGACGTCTAAGGGAATACAGATCAAGATGGCTTCTCTAAACTCTGCATGAACCTTGGACAAAGGATTACGAAGGCATCCGCTTAGAAAACACTCTCTATGCTGCTACGCGAATGATGATTTTGGGGGAGCAAGAGCCCCCGTTTAAATATGCCAGGAGGAGAAAAATAATCTCCCGAGGGGTCCGAGCCAGACAAAGGTTGACACTCCTGAGGAAACCTTGGAATGAGATAATCGACCTCGTTCTCCACACCCTGATGAGACCATGAGACGATAAAGAAAACAGGTACCCCTATGTAAACACGAGAAGTTTGCCATACATGCCACATAACACCAGTTTTGCGATCTTTGTTATCTGAACGCGAATTAATCCAGGGATATAGGACTGGAAATCAGACGTTTCGAAGAACGAAAGGGTTTCTGCGGTACCCGAGAAAGGACGACCGCAGCTGCAGCGCAGGCGAGATCGAGCTGCTGTTTGAGATACTCGTGGTACTGGTCGGTGTCCTCGGGGATGCTCGAAAGCCGACCACCGGACACCCGGGAGACCTTCGGCGGGGCCACAGGCGCCACCTTGATCTCCGCCATCTCATCGTTCTCGTCTCGTCGAGATCCCAAGGACGCCAAAGGTTTGGCATCGGCATTATCCGCTGCGGCCTCAGAAACGTGATGGTGATCATCGGCATTGGATACGGCCGCCGGCGAAGCGCCGCCGGGGACGGCCTCCTGGAGGAACATCTGGAAGGCCCACTCTGAGGGGCTCCGGTTCATCATTTTCTGTTCCTTGCCGCCCCCGGCGGCGTGCGGGGACGACGACGGCGACGACGAAGGCCAGATGTGATTGGAGATCTCCTCCACGGAATACGCCCTCTCCATCTCTCTCTCTCTCTCTCTCTCTCTACGACGAGGACGACGACGACGAGTGACGAAAGGGTAAAATAGGGTTCACATTCTGGGATTTATGGAGAAACATGGCATTTTAATAAAACGTTTCCCAGAAAACCCGAGGAGTGATCCACTTGACTTCGAGGGGGGTTAAGGTTATTTTAGGAAATTCCATAATGGCGGCATTTTAGAAAATAGCCCCGAATCACTTTCTTCCCGGAATAGAGAGCCTCCCGCGCGGATTCGGATAAGAGAGGGAGGAATTTCAGGGATATTTCGGGCAGTCGTTGATGGGAACTGGATAAGAGGTGGGCCCCGCAAAAGTGCATCGCACACGAAGGTTATTCCGAGGATTGACGTTACTTTCACGTCCCACTTTTGGATAATCTAAGCCCTCGCAGGGGTAAATCCGTAAGAAATTCGAATAGTTTATTCTAACCGGGACAACGTGAACATCTCTCTCTCTTCTTCTTATTCTTCTTCCAGGGGAGGATAAGAATGGGAGGAAGTCGGCGGAGGGTCAAATTTTTCCGTTAATATTAATAATTCAATTCCCTAGCTCATCCATCCCCATCCCCATCCTCATCTCCATCCCCCTCCACTAGCTGCATCATCGTTACCAAATCATATTAAATTGATATAATTTGGAATCAATAATCCAGTTACTCATAATTTTTATTAAAAATAAAATAATTTTCTATTCGAGGGAACTGATGAACGATTTTTATCGTTCAAAATTGTTGGATGAGGATATAGAGACAATATCAAAAAATAAAGGGTGCTTGTGCGTGGTATGTCCGGCTTTTGAGCTGATCTTCAAGACAATTTTCTCAGGACCTTAACCCGGTCTGCGTGTGGGAGATGACGGAGCTGGGGAAAGGGCTTCACATTACGCGTTGACTAGTGAGAAGTTGAATAGTCAACCCGATAAGGGTGCGAACCTCTTGTTCTCCTCCGTTCCTCTTTCCTCTTTCGGGGGATAAGGGCGGGAATAAGTGGGCCCGCGTCCTCTCATTGGCCATATCCTCTCCCCTTGTCGAGCTCAGGAGGGATCTGTGGGGCCCACGGGTTGGCCCCAATTTGGGGCTATCGTGGTCCTCGGGATTCCTTGTGTCTTGGAAACGCTCTCTCTCTCTCTCTCTCTCTCTCTTCTCTCCCTTATCCAATTGTGGGGTTGAAGACGCCGGCTTTCTGCCCGTCTCTCCCCCTCCTTCAGAACTGGCTCCCAACGGCACCTATCGTTACCATCTTCCTGGGGTAAACTAGTGAAAAGATCTGTATATAGAATATAAATCGAGGGAAGAGAGAGAGAGAGAGAGAGAGGGCAGAGCCGTAACCAACTTCTAAGATTAACTGTCAACGAATTGTATATTAAAATACATATAGAGAGATAGAGATGGAGAGAGAGAGAGAGAGAGAGAGAGAGAGAGAGAGGGAAGGGGGGGGGAGGGCACCCAATTACGAAGGTCGGCCATCGCTTAGTACCATCTTTAAACATACGCCATCTACATGCCGACAGAGAAGGATATGAGGCATGCACCTACTCCAAAAGTAGTTCATCAAGTTGTCATGTTGCAAGTGTTTATATAGTTTTAGAGGAGAGGGAGAGAGAGGATTTGCCCCTAATTACGCAGACAGCCCATTAACAAATAACACATTTAAATATATACGTCTTATGTCGGTAGAGCGATAAGGAGAGGACCCACCCCCCAGTGCTCATTACGTGGTTAGACTCCAAACTGTTCATATATCTATCTAGAGAAGGGAGCGAGGGAGAGAGAGGAGTTGAGCCCAAATGGACAGCTATCGCCCCCACTTAAAAACATGTTTAAAGATCCTACCTTTCCTGTAGAAATGCAGCACACAAGTGGGGTTGTTGTTTCTCTATCAAACAGGTCCTGGGACAAACGCATCACGTGGATAAGGATCCCGTTCGAGTACTGGTCGGTCTACACATGGGCAACCTCCCTCTAACGCTTGAACAATCCATCACGCAATTCTAAAAACTGGAGCCCTTGAAGCCATAAAATTCCTTATGGAGGAGTATTCTAAGGATATGGATCCTAGCGATACAGACACTATTTCTCTTTCCCTCTCTCCTTCTCTATCTATCTATTTCTCCATAAATATATAAAGATATATCACGATGTAGTTGTGGTCTTCTCTTAGCTCATGAAATGATGTGCTTAGGAGAGATCTTTGCCCAGGCCGTGACGTCGGGTCTGAAAGAGAGGAGAGAGAGAGAGAGAGAGAGGTGACCTGAAGCATGGGTGATGGATGTGCGTGCCATTCTCGAGAGAGAGTTTGGAAGAAGAAAGGGCTAGGTCCAATTGCAGAAGAAATGAGAAAAACCTGAGCAGCGAGGGAATGACGTAGTTGAGCCCCAGCACGACTCAGCCATAATTCTCCCCACCCACCCTAATTTCCTCGTCAAGCTTCCCCATCTGAGTCTGCGTTGATGGCTGAAACTCATAAAACCCACACGTATGGGCTATATGTTTTGATCATGCAGCTTCCATTTGATAAAAATAATAATTCGGGGGGAAAATAAATAGTTATTTGTCATTCTCACTCTAGAAACTCTCTCATTTCCAATGATGTGGTTGGGTACTCTTCATCATTATCCATCCAAGTCCTCAGAACTACAATATAAAATCTTCCCAAAGATTTTAAGAATAAATCATCAACAGAAAGTGGGGTTGGTAGGAAGATGGAGAGAGGAATCAAAGTTCTTAGACTTGATCCTTATAATTTCAGCTTAGGCTAGGCCTAGGTATCTATCGCCGGACTGACTTTTGACTTAGGAGCTCATAGACTTTGATCTGGGGATTCTGAAAGGAGGACTTGAACCTATGGGCAAGCCTTAAATTTAATTGTATCATCCTTCCTAACTCCAACCATCACACAAGTAACTCTTTGCATGTGTGCTAGTTACCTGCGTTGAGTGTTATCTTTGAATCTCAATCAGGCACAGAAGAGTGTTACACACAAAGAGAGACGCACAGTCCTTACAAAAGGGGACAACAGAAGATAATTTGTATGCTCAGCTAGGCTTGAGGTTTGCTCCTTTTCTAGGAGGAGCACAGACACATGAAGGGTTACATGATGTTTTATCTTCGAACACTTGGCGCTTTACCTTCCAAGCAGTCCATCTTCACATTAGTTGGTTCTGCACCTTCGTGATGGTCCACCTTCTCACTGGTCGGTGCTTTGACTCCCCAATGGTTCATCTTCTCATCAGTTGACGCATCATCTGCTTAACAAATCCATATTCCCATCTGTTGGCACTTCACCTCTTCGACAGTCCATCTTTTTGTCAATTGGAGCTTTGCCTCCCTGACGGTCCATCTTCTGCCACACCCACACACGTGTTTGCACCACCATTGTGGTACTCCCATTTTCCTATGTGTGTATGTATGCGCATCCGCTGCCGTCTATCATGTCGAGCTGTCCTGGTGCAAGCACTATGCCATGGTACCTCATGGCACAGACATTAATGTTCTTACAAACAAATGCAGAGCCATCATGGTGCGTAGCCCTTAGCACACACGTGCGAGCTTACACACTCAACACATGCAGAGCCATGCTACTACATGCCGTCTATACATGCATTGCACTGTCAAGGTTCACAACTATGATCCTTGATCTAACTTAGTACTATTGCCCGCCCAAGTCACATGCACCCATGTACAAGCCTCACCACTTCATGCGTGACGTGCCCATGCTACATTATACCTTAGTTGGGCCCATTGATTACTACCAAGATGAATCAAGAGGGGAGCTATGAATTGCTTCTTGATTTTAATTCATAATTTTTAATACTTAAAAAAAAAACTATTTGTGTTATCTAATTGCTCTCCTAAATAATTGTAATTTATCTGATAGATGAGATAAACGAAAAGATTCAAAGGATGTAGGTTTTATAGTGGCTTGGACAAATCCATTTGACCTATAACAGTTCCAGGTTCACAACCTTAGTTCCTCTTTTCTAGTTGCTAAAATGCATACAGATTTTCTTGGGATTAGGAATCCCCTGTAATGTAGGCTCCACAAGCCTATATTAACCATCTAGGATCCTAGAATTCAGTTGTCCTAAGTAAATCACATTGCAGGCACACCAGGGGTGCCTCAACTATCAATCAATTTTAACTACATAATAATAAAGATAATGAAATTAACTTTGAGTATTTTTTACTGCCGCATAAAAAGTTAGTACATCATTCAAGACGGCATAAAAACATTCATTTGGAAATCAAAAGAAGAATTTGTTCGATGGAAATATGAGAGATATTTTTATTTCACCATAGAGAATTTTTTAGTTCTTGCATCCCAAACAATTTTCATTAGACATCAGAACAATCATTTATACGATCGAATGATTAATAACCTAAAGACAGGCCCATTTTGTTTTAAAATTCCTACTTCTGTAGCTATTGGTTTGCGTTTTTATCCAATCAGGGAAGCAAAAATTGCTGAAGAGTGGTTATAGAATAGTTTTCCTTACAAACTAATCGTTCTACACTTCTTACTTGGTGTAGCATGCTACATGGGTCGTGAGTGGGAACTTAGTTTCTGTTTAGGTATCCGTAGTTTGATTGCTTTTCATCTGAGCATCGTTAAAGGGTCGAGATAGAGTGAGCCGATGGAAGGAGCTGCTTATGATCTTTCTCCAAACACGAAGTTCTGTCGAGATGATCTTGGCTTTGAATCAGTGGGGCATTGGGGGGAGGAGGCGGATAGGGGGAGGATTGTGAGGTAGCCACTCCCCCCTGGAAATCTCCTCTGAACTCTTGGTGCCCTAATTTGGGTGAAATGCTCGTTTTATACTTGATTGTAATGGGCTGGGCCGTCTGCTCACCCTGCATGTGCCTCTGCACACTCACACGTCCTCACGTATTGTTGCATGCCTACACATGCATGCCATGGCACATCATGTACACATCCCTCCGAACGAGACCACCATGTTCGCTCATGTCATTGGTGCAATTCCACATCTAGAACCGCCCTCCATGCTGAGGTCAAACACCAATACTCAAAGACAACCTTGTTAAGATGCCTTTGGCCCTCTGAACAACGAGCTGAAGTTTGGACTTGATGGACTACCGTGTGTGACTATACTAATGCTGTGAGTTTCACTCGTAGATATGCAATATATGCAAGTAGAGTTCGGAGAATAAGCTTTCAATCGAGGAGAGATCAAATCTTAGAAACAACACATAATATTTGGAGAATAAATTCTTCGTGTGTCACTAAACCTCTAAGTCTGGACTAGGAACTATGATCGCAGTCTGTACAAGAGCAGAAGCGATCCAACAACGCGAGAATGAGAGCTGTCAAGGAGAGGAAGAGATCGGTGTACAACGGAGCTTCCCCCTTCCTCTTTAACCCTCTCATCTAAGAGAAAGCTGACGGAGAGACCAGCTCTGTCCCTTTCCCACGATCTATCTATCTTCTGTTCCATTTGAGCTCTTATCCCACTGTTGCTTTCCGTTGATTTCTGCACTCTATCTCCACAACTAAGAGAAACATAAGTTGATTTCTGCACGCGCTGAGGGCCGACACGGGGAGCTGTGGGTGGCCGTATCATGAGAACTGCCGGAGCTAGGGGAGGGCCGCCATGAGAAACCTGGCGTGGGCCTCCATCGCCCTCAGCCCTTCGCTGGGTGACACCGCCTCGCCCAGCCTCTGCACGAGAGCGCTTCCCACAATCACGCCATCCGCTCCCCACGCCGATAGCTGCGACGGATCCGCCACTCTTCGTCAGCTTCTCACTGACACGGGGGGGACCTCTTCTGAGGAAGAGCAGAGGCAGCTCACCTGTCTGACGTGTTCCGGTTCTGATACGCCGAACCCCACCGCAACGGGCTTGTCGGTTTCCTGCCGAGGTGGACCAATATTTAACGGGGAACTTTGACGAGTTTCTACATACAATCATGGGATACGGAGGCTGATGAATAGTGCAGGAACAAACCTCTTTGAGCTTCTGAAGAACGAACTGCAGTTCCGGGTTCAGGGATGACCGTACACCCGTGGTTCCCGAGTGGGCCGTCTGTGTGACAACACCTGTGCCATGAGTTTCAATTGTAGGTACGGTTTTATACATCAGTTCTGTAAATTAGGTTAAAATCGAGGATCGATCAAACCTAGGAATCATGATTGGTATTTCAAGAGGAGACATCGGTTGGCCATTAAACCTCCACATGCAGATCTCTGAACTAAGAATCATTTGCGGGTCATTAAACCTCCACTCCTAGATGATAGGAATTACGAAACGCAGGATAAAGAGAGCTTTTCTCAAGAACATTTAAGAAAAAATTGATTTGGATATATACATATCTATTTATGTCACAAAGAGAAGAAGAAAAATATAATCTAAGAACACGATTTGTTTATACGGACCTATGAAATTTTTGGAATATTCCATTAATATAAAAGTAGATTGATGAGGAGACCAGTATGAATGAAATACTCACAAGGTATAAGAATCCTTCAGAGGCTTTAGCAATTTCCCTCGTTCTCCCTTTCTGTGTGGAAGGTGTTGTGTGAAACACCTGCATACCGTAGAGTTTTGCATTGGGTGACATATTATTGAAGGAATAAAATAGATATTAAACATCATGGGGAGAAAAGTAGTAAAATGTTTAACATTTTCAACTTATCATAATAGATTTTTGACTACGAATCATAAAATGATTTTCCATACGACAATCAATGAATTATAAAAGATATATATAAGACAGTTTGTCATCTCCCCGTCATTTTACAGGACTTTTAGAACATTAGTATAGAGAGTCCCGACAAGAGCATGATGTAAATGATAGAGAAACCAAACGTGTACCATCTCAATCTTTTTTGTCTTAGCTTCCTTCCGTAAAATTTCAGCCTCTTCAAGAGGAAGGTCTGGGACAATCAGTCCTGAAAAAATATGTATTAACATCTCAGTCTTCAAATAAAATATGAAAAGATGCATGACACAGTCTCGAACTGTAATAAACTCTCCCGAGGAATAAAGTATTAATTATAAAATTATTTATTAAGTACCATAGTGCACCATTTGAGGAAAAACTTCACTTTTCTTTTGGCAAATTGCTTTTGCACATCGATGAAATCTTCTCGCCATAAAAACTCAAATCGTGTTTTAAAATATTCCAGTAACGCATTTTATTCATTTTTCCACGTATAAAATTGCAATAGGCCCCCATGATGCCAAGATGCATTCGTATGACATCGATGACTTTCAAGCATAATCAAATACTAATTGGGGCTACTATGGACGAGAGTATATGTTTACCGCGTGCACCAACTTCATTCATAGCGGCCAAGAACTTTGAGACTCCGTACTCTAGAACCGGATGGAAATATGAGAGTACCGTGATTGGACAAGATAGTTCAGGAACAACCTGTAACGGATGAGACGGTGGCGTCTTTCACAAAATTATCATATTCTTACCAGAGTCGGAAAGAGTTAGATAGGAAGAAAGATAGAGAGAGAGAGAGAGAGAGAGAGAGAGAGAGAGAGAGACGATACAAGAGCGTGGCGCCGATTCCATGTCCTACCTCGCTAAGCATGGCCATGATAGCGTCCACGTCGACTCCGGTCGCCAGCGCCCGCTCGAAGGCACGCTGAAAGCGCAAAGAAAGGTTTTTTCGTTTTTCTCTCAACTGAAATTGTATCACGAGCAGAAGACAGGGGGAATGAACGTCGGCGGCCAACCTGGATGACCGGGCCATCCATTACTGGATTCCAATGGGGCACACCCAGCTCGATCACGTCCGACCCGCAGGCGTCAAGCATCCTCAGCGCCGCCGACGTTGTCAACAGTTCAGGGTCGCCGGCGGTGAGATAAGGGATGAATGCCACCTGCGCGTCACTCTTGCAGTCAGAGTTCTACACCCTCTCCCTCCCTCCCTCCCTCCCCCCCTCTGTCTCTGTCTCTCTGTCTGTCTGTCTGTCTGTCTCTCTCTCTCTCTCTCTCTCTCTCTCTCTCTCTCTCTCTCTCTCTCTCTCTCTCTCTATCCCTCTCCCCCCCCTCCTTTATCTGTGAAAGTGGGACGAGGAAACCGGCGTTTTTTCGATTAATGACCCAGATGTGGAGAAGACCCACCTTCCGTTGCTCCTTCAGTTTGGTGAAGGTCTCGGAGATGGAGGCGCAGCCGAGAGAGATGGCCGGCGGGATCACAACGCTGTCGCCTCGGTCGAACTGGTCTCGAGAGAGGGGAGAGGTGATCGCCAGGGCTCGACTCCTCGGAGGGAGGTGAACGCAGTGGAAGGTACCTACAGCTAAAGCCATGGACTACGATCTTCTGCCACTACCACACACAGACCATTGGACTGACTCTCAGACAATAAATTTACTTGGCAGAGGTCTCTCTTCTCCCTGCATAACTTATATTCAAATTCCCCCCCTCCTAACTAAAAGTCAAAGAGGACACCATCATCTTCCAAGTTCACATATGAATTGTCAAAGAGGCTGGCACATCGCACTACACATGAACAGTGTAAAATAATACGAAAACTTGGATCAACGAGGGGATCTTTCTTTATAATACAAAAAAATCAGAAAATACTACCATTTGATTGACCACTCATCTACCTTATTAAAGTTTAATCATAATTATACTGCCGATCTTGTCCATTTCACCTAGAATCCTTTATATATCATCAAAGCATGCGTGCCACGTAAGGCCTCATCATGTTGATGCACCCCTCCTCACCAGACCACCATGCCACGCTCTTCATGCAGGAATCGTAAACCAACGGTCAGAGACAACCTTTTTTGAAACACCTTTGGGCCTCTAAAGAATGAATTGAAGTTCAAGGTTGATGGATGACCGCTTTTGACAACACATGCCATGAGTTTCACTCATAGATATGGCATATTCTAAAGTAGAGTTCAACAAAATAAGGTTTCAATGATCGATCAAATCTTAGGAACAACACACAATAAACGGAATAAATTCTTGACGGATCGTTAAACCTCTACATGTGGACAAATAATTATGATTGTGGTCAATACATATATTAATGGATATGTAAACATAGGATCATAATAATAATGGAAACTAAATTTTTAGATATCAACGAGAACAAATAAAAAATAAATCACTAAGCTATCAAAAATTCTAATGAGAATAATACTTCTACCAAACACATTTAATCTACGTCTCAACACCCTCGAGATAACCCACATACTGGAGAGTCAGTAATAAACTCTTATATCTTTCTATAAGGACTTCACTTGTAATAAGAGAAAGAATACAAGCCAAAAAAGAGGAAAAGATTTAATAAATAGTGAAAATATAATTCAGAGAAAGAGAATCTCATTGTTAAACATATGATCGTCATCATACTAAAAAAAGAGTAAATACATATCCTATTTGTATAAAAAAAGAAAAACAAAGCAACCGACCCCATAAAAAGAGTCATCTCAACCTACGTGCGGGCGAGGCCACACACATCGGAGGTGCTCATTGCCTCCCTACCTCCCTACGTCACCCCCTAACGGGTCAAAATGGATGATGCGACAACCGACTCTCTCTCACTATATCCACTGCACGACCCTCGAACGGGCGGGGTCAAACAGGATGTGTCACCGCCCCTCACTACTCGCACGTCTTTCGAACAGGTCAGCCGTGATGGGTTGACACCGCCAACAGTACAAGAGCATGAAGCAATCCATTTTAGCACTTATTCACCTCTATCTCTTTCCCACTATCTAGCTATATTCTCTTCCATTTTAGCACTTATTCAACTGTTGATTTCCCTTGATTTCTATACTCTATCGCAGCATTTGGATTGGCGAAGTCTGTCCTAAGCAAAACGATCCTAATCGACGCACTTTCACCACCCCTTATTCGATCACTCGTGTCAATAGTCTTGTTTACTGAGCAAAAAAATTCCAACATCTTCCTGCAAGAGCCGAGGACGAACTGTCGGAGCTAGGGCAGGGCCGCAATGAGAGACCTGGCGTGGGCCTCCATCGCCCTCAGCCCTTCGCTGGGTGACATTGCCTCGCCCAGCCTCTGCACGAGAGCGCTTCCCACAATCACGCCATCCGCTCCCCACGCCGACAGCTGCGACGGATCCGCCACTCTTCGTTAGCTTATCACGTACACAGGGGGGACCTCTTCCGAGGCCGAGGAGAGGCAGCTCACCTGTCTGACGTGCTCCGGTTCTGATATGCCGAACCCCACCGCAACGGGCTTGCTGGTGTCCTGTCGGGGTGGACCATCGCTTAACAGGCAAGTTGACGAGCTTCTCCGTATAATCATGAGGATACGGAGGTTGATGAAGAGCGAGTGCAGGAACAAACCTCTCTGAGCCTCTGAAGAACGAACTGCAGTTCCGGGTTGACGAACGACCGTGCACCCATGGCTCCCGAGTGGGCCGTCTATGTGAAAACACGTGTTTCCACTTGTAGGTATGGTTTTACGCATAATTCTGTAAATTAGGCTTTAGTGGATAATCGATTAAACCTAGGGATCATGATTGGTATTTCAAGAGGAGTCATTTGTTGGTCATTAAACCTCTACACCCAGACAAGGAAATATGAAATGGTTGAAAAAGGGAAAGGTTTTGTAAATATCACGGAACAATATTTGCAGCAGAATGCTAGGTGGGTCACAAAAACTCTATTTCCCGGTTAGGAATTATGAAATGGTTGGGAAACAGAGAGAATCTTGTGATTATGAAGAAATATTTGAGGTAATAATCCATGACAGCATGGAATAGATATCTGAACTGAGAATCGTTGGTGCGTCATAAAAACTCTACTTCCAGATGATTGGACTTATGAAACCCTAGCTTTTCTCAATAACACGAAGAAATAAATTTACTTTGGATATATGTATATATATTTTTGTCACAAAGAGAAGACGGAGAAAATCTAAGCAACACATATGCCATGAGTTTCACTCGTAGATATCGTATATAAGCAAGTAGAGTTCGGCAAGTAAGGTTTTAATGGAGGATCGATCAAACCATAGGAACAACGAATTCTATTTCGAGAATAAATTCTCGGTGGGTCGTTACATCTCTAGGAATTATGGTCGTGGTCTGTACAAGAGCATGAAGCGATCAAACAAAGCGAGAATGAGAGATGTCGAGGAAGGGAAGGGTGGGGTGTACAATGGGGCTTCCCCCCTTCGTCTTTAACCATATCATCTCAGACGAGACTGTCGGAGAGATCAGCTCTATCTCTTTCCCACTATCTAGCTTCTTCTCTTCCACTTGAGCTCTTATTCCGCTGTTGCTTTCCCTTGATTTCCGAACTCTATCGCAGCATCTGGATAGGCGAAGCCTGTTGTTAGGACCGGAGCGGCGATTCCACGGGCAGACCCACTCATTCATGGAAAACACCAGGAAAGTAGGGCCTATTATTGGCCCTGGGGGTCCGACTATAACATTGTCCGATATGAGACTAACCATTTGGAGACCTCCTCTCCCCTATTTTTCTTTCCACATGAGACAACAATCTCCCACTTGGAAGGAAAAAACACTCCCCACGCGGCACCACTTCGTATGCATCGTCGTGCCCGCGACGGTCTCTCGAGTACTCGCCTATTTCGCGTCGCTCCCAGAACATCCTCACGCACGTCGTAACTATGTGCATTATGCGCCACACAATAAACCACTTCTCGTGTCTGGCGCTCATTCGCTCTGCTCCAATGGGCTGTAAGCGTGCACTACGCGGCGCATCGCCTGCGGCACTTAGCACGTTTAACATACCAGCTTTCCAACCACCCTTGCACGCCGTTCTATGTATGCACTGCGCACGTTCTCCTGTTCTAGGGCCTCCCCGTGTTGTCCCATGGCAATGCCGTCAGCACGTCCTCCCCTGCTGACGCCTCATGCACGATTAGGCGTGCCAGCGCAGTCCCTGCAGCTAATGTTGAGTCCTGGCGGTGCCTCCCGCCGAGATCACAGCTCTCCCGTGTGAGCCTTCGCTGCCCACGCGTGCCGCCCGACCGACGCCGTGCCATTGTATGGCCACTGCGCATTTTGACAGAAAAATCTTCAGCGAACCTAGACCTGGTGTTGTCTCATCTGCACAGGTCACCAGCGAACCTAGACCACGGTGAGCTTCAACCGCATGCAGGCGCCGCGCTGTTCTGGTGTCATTCGTTCCATCGTGCGCCTGCTGCGCATTTCGACGAACACTTCAGAGCGTCCAAGGCTGTCATCACGGCGTCCTTCCTGCACGAAGTCTTCCGTGCGGACGCCGTCCCGCACAACTCTGCTCAACTTTGCGCATCTTCGATCTTCCGCGACCTCATTGCCCGGTCGACCCGCGACCGTCGTCACTCAGCCACTCCGCGAGCATCCTCGCCTAACTGTCCTGCGAGCGTCCTCGCTCAGGCCACCAGCGACCGTCGTCACACAGACCACTCCGCGACAATAGGCGCCCGGCGCTATTCTGCGCCGTTCCAGCACGCGTCGCCTGCGCACAGTCACGCCTCCGGCGACCGTCGTCGCACAGGCCATCCAACGACCGTTGTCGCCTTACTAATCCGTGAGCCTCCTCACGCCGGCGCAGTTCCGCGCCGTACCAGCGTGCATCGCTCGCACGCTCTCCACAAGAGGAACTCCCTCTGTCCGACACAATTAAGCGCCAAACCCCTTATTTTTATTTCCACATGATACAACATCCGTCCTGAGCAAAACGCTCCTAATCGACGTGATTTCACCAGCCACTATTCGATCCTAATCCCCCAGTCACTCTTCCATCAATCGTCTGAATAGTCTTGTTCTACTCAACAAAAAAAATCCAATATTCTCCTGCAAGAGCCCAGGACGAACCGTTGAAGCTAGGGCAGGGCCGCCATTAGAGACCTCACGTGGGCCTCCATCGCCCTCAGCCCTTCGCTGGGTGACACCGCCTCGCCCAGCCTCTGCACGAGAGCGCTTCCCACAATCACGCCATCCGCTCCCCACGCCGACAGCTGCGACGGATCCGCCACTCTTCGTCAGCTTCTCACTTACACGGGGGGGACCTTCGAAGAAAGAGCAGAGGCAGCTCACCTGTCTGACGTGCTCCGGTTCTGATATGCCGAACCCCACCGCAATGGGCTTGCTGGTGTCCTGCCGAGGATGGATCACCATTGAACGGTCAATTTTGACGAGTTTATACGTATAGTCGTGGGGATGCGGAGCTTAATGAAGAGTGAGCGCAAGAACAAACCTCTCTGAGCCTCTGAAGAACGAACTGCAGTTCAGGGTTCAGGGACGACCGTGCACCCGTGGTTCCCGAGTGCGTCGTCTGTGTGACAACACCTTTGCGGTGAGTTTCACTTGCAGGTACGGTTTTATACGTATGCTTTGTAAATTATGTTTTAATGGAGAATCGATCAAACCTAGGGATCATGATTGGTATTTCAACAGGATTCATCCTGCGTTGATAAGTGAACCTCTACGTGCAGATAAGGAATTTGGAAATGGTTGAAAAAGGGATAGATTTTCTCAATAACGTGCAAGGATGCAGAATCTTAGGTGGGTCACAAAAAACTTTACATGAAATGGTTGAGAAGCAGCGAGATTCTCGTGATTAGGAAGAAATATTCGAGGAAGTAGTCCTCGATTACATAGAAGAGATATCAGAACTAAGAGTCATTGCTGGGCTATAAAACCTCTTCTTCTAGATGATGGGAATTATAAAACCCTAGCTGAAAAACGCTTTTCTCGATAACGTCCAAGAACAAATTTACTTTGGATATATCTACATCTATATCAATATCTATATACATGGGTGACAACCAGCAGACGGGGAAAATTTAAGAACAAGATTTATTATGCTGAACTATGAAAATTATCGAGTTTTCACGTAATTTATAAGTAGATATCTGAGAGAAACCAGTATGAATGAAATACTCACAAGGTACAAGAATCCCTCAGAGGCTTTAGCAATTTCCCTCGTTCTCCCTGCTCGTGTGCCAGGTGTTGTGTGAAACACCTGCATATCGTAAAATTTACATCGGCTGTAACGCTACTGAAGGAATAAAACAGATATTGAATAAAATGGGGAAAAAGATGGTAAATATTTAATATTTTCAATTCATCATCATAGATTTGTAGTAACTAATCGTAAAATGCTTTTTCTATAGGAGATCCAATGAAATTAATAAATAACAATATAAAACATAGTGGGTCATCATCCATCATTTTAAAGGACATTTAGAACATAATTTTAGAGACTATTGACTAGAATATAAGGCAAAATGGCTGAGAAACGAAGTGTGTACCATCTCAATCTTGTTTCTGTAAGCTTCCATTCGTAAAGTTCCAGTCTCTTCGAGAGGAAGGTCTGGAACGATAAGTCCTAAAAAAAATATGTTTTAATATCCCAATATACCAAATGAAATATGCAAAGATGCAAGACAAAGTTTTGAACTATAGTAACCTCCCATGAGGAATATAATCGTATTTATAAAATTATTTATTAAGAACGATAGTGCACCTTTTAGGAACAGTTTCACTTTTCTTTAGCAATTGTGCTTCTGTAGTGGATTAAATCTTCTCGCCGTAAATTTTTTCTTCGTTCATAAAAATTGCTAATCAGATAATTTTCTTATCGTGTTTTAAAAAAATATTAATGGTCCCCGTGATGTCAAGGTGCATCGGTCGGACATCGATTTAAATTTCAAGCCTAATCAAATAATAATGGGGGCCACTTGGGAGGAGAACTTATGCTTACCGCGTGCACCAACTTCCTTCATGGCGGCCAAGAACTTTGAGACTCCGTACTCTTGAACCGGATGGAAATATGAAAATAACGTGATTGGACAAGATAGTTCGGGAACAACCTGTACAGATGAGAAGGTGGCGTCTTTCAGAAATTATCAGATTCCTACCTACTTATTCTGCAGCGAGAGATACTCGGAAAGAGTTAGAAAAGATGAAAACTAGATTGCTAGGGAGAGAGAGACTCAGGGTCCGAGAAAGGAGAGGGCGGAGAAACGGCGAAGAGGAGGACGAGAGAGAGAGAGAGAGAGCCGAGACGAGAGCGAGGCGCGGATTCTTTGTCCTACCTCGCTAAGCATGGCCAGGATACCATCAACGTCGGCACCGCTCGCCAACGCCCGCCCAAAGGCACGCTGTAACCGGAAAGAAAGGTTTTTCGTCATTTTTCTCTCCATTGAAATTATACCGCCAGCAGAACACTCAGTGGGAATGATCGTCGGCGCCCAACCTGGATGACCGGCCCGTCCATTATTGGATCCCAGTGGGGAACTCCCAGCTCGATCACGTCCGACCCGCAGGCGTCCAGCATCCTCAGCGCCGCCGACGTCGTCCTCAGGTCAGGGTCGCCGGCGGTGAGGTAAGGGATGAATGCCATCTGCGCGTCACTGTTTCAGTCAATTCTAAAACCTTGAATGTCAACCACCGGCATTGGTTAGCATGTACGGAGATGAAAGAGGAGCTGCAAATTGTTGTGCGCTCTCTCTCTCTCTCCCACCCCCGCGGTCAACCCCTCCTCCACGCTCTTCATTCTTTATCATCAGTGCAGAACGAGAAACCGGCGTTTTTTGGATTGAAGTAATAGAAAACAAAACAAGCATCACGAATGATATAAATGTGGGGAGGACCCCGACCTTCCCTTGCTCCTTGAGCTTGCTGAACGTCTCGGAGATGGAGGGGGGAGCGCGATAGATGGCCGGGGGGATGACAGCGCGGTCGCTTCGGTCGAACTGGTTGAGAGATCGGGGAGAAATGACCGCCAAGGCCCTACTCTTCAGAGGGAGACGAGCGCAGTGGAAGCCACCTATAGCTAAAGCCATGGACTATGATCTTCTCCCACTACGCACACAGTAGTACATCTTGGCAGAGGTCTCTCCCCTTATAACTTATATAGGAGAACTCCCTCCCTCTCTCTCTCTCTCTCTCTCTCCCTCCCCTTCGTGAATAAAAGTCAAAGACAACGACACAATTTTTCTCGTTCATGTGTGAATTGCCAAAACCCTGGTCGGTCGTATCACACGTGAACAACGTGAAATCGATGAAAACTTGACTCAACGTAGGGATCCTTTTCCAAATCACAACAATGCCAAAAAATACTGCAATTTAATTGACCACTCGTCTACCTTATCTGCAGCATTCAATATCTCTACAATCAATAAGTGCTTATCTACAAAGCCTTGTTACCCGTTGATACTGATAACTATTAAACTCAATTCTGACTCTGGATGAGGGCGCAATAAAGGAAGAATTGACAGGGATTTAAGTTAAAAGCAACCCATAAAGGGAAACAAGTGGCCTTATAATACGAAATGAAATTACGCAAAAAGGAAATAGAAAACACTTCGAAGAGAACTTGCTGACGTGACAGTTTAGCAGACCGAACTGAACTTTCGAACATATGAAAAAATAATTAACAATGGACTAGTAGCCAGTCATTTAAGAAAGAAATAGAGATTTTACCTCGTCAATCTTTTTTTACAGCGTCATTTTCCTTCTCTGCTCTCAACAGTGTAGGTTTTCCATAAACTGACTCCCTAGTTTGTCTTCCAATTCTTCGAGTGTAGCCATTAATCTTTGCTCAAAGAGAAGTCAAATGCTAGAAATTTCCTTTTTAATGGATTCTATTGCCATATAATTGCAAAGTATGGTATTTGGTTATTCCTAGAATGCTATCCAAAGCTAAGCTTTGTAGCTCACCCGGGAATTCCCTTGAGCCAATAAATTTATGTCGATTGGTAAAATTGTAGTACTAATAGAAACCCCTCATCATTATTTATTACTCTGGGTTTTTATCAGATCAACAATATTTTCAACATCCAGGGACTTAGGCTTGGTTCCAACTGTGCCCTTTCTTGATAAGACAATGTCAATTGAGCAGGACAGACGCATCTTTTCGGTTCAATATCGGATTTTTCTCAACAGTATATAATTAACCCTGAAATGTCAAAGTCTAGATTTGGACTTCACTACCTTTATGTCGTTTTCAACAGTAAAATTTGTCGACATGTCGCATCAATAATTCAAAGATTCGTTGTAAATCACAGGCTACTCGTATAGAGATTGAGGTTGACTCATCTTTATTAAAAAATGAAGAATTAAGTTTATGTAATTAGTCGTTCGTCATACTGGGCAGTCCTTCAGACAGCAACCCCCCCCCCCTCCCCACCTAATCCAGGTAGTATTTATGAGCACATTCAATGAGACATTAATGACGATGGTTCATCATCATTATCTTGACAAAAAGAAAAAACGCATTTCTTGTAGAGATAGTTTATTTATACACGCACGTGCGCCTAAGGCTCCCTCCCTCAGACTCACCTCCCGGTAGTATGTAAAAGCTGCAGCTTTTTAGCGCGAAGCCGAACAAGCGAACCCTGGGTAAGGGGACGATTGAATATGCTAATCGAATCAGTTTTACCAAATGAACGAACCCAAGAGCGCAAGTTTCAGCATCACAACCACGCCTGGTTTGTCCAGGGTCTTTATTCAGCCGGCCGCATACAGAATCTCTCTATAGAATCCTCCCCGAATCGCTCCACCGTTCTCAGGGAAGTGCAGCCTTCAGGGACTTGGTGAACTCCTCCAACTCCTTCAAGCCCTCTTCAGGAGAGCGAGCATCACCCAGAATCCTGACCATGGCACTGCCTACAATGACACCATCGGCCCCCCATCCTGCTACCTGAAATGGTCAAAGCATAGAACCGATATGAATTACAAATTTAGAAAAACTTACATGAATACTATTGTATGAGAGAGAGAGAGAGAGAGAGAGAGAGAGGGATAAGAGTGGCAATGAACCGGGCCGGGCTGGCAAATGCTGGGCTTCGGTCTGAAACCCAAACCCAGGTACCTTCTATTGTCAGGCTACATGGGACCACAGTACCTCTCCGACACGCCACATGCATGGGTACCGTTGAATGAATCAAGGAAATGGCCCACCTGTTTCACATGGTCAGGGCTTGAGATGCCAAAACCGACAGCAACGGGCTTCGCTGTCACCTGTGAGCAAATGAACAATGAGGCTCTGTCAGCAAGTATCTACGTCACTCAACCAAAATCATCCGACGGTGTGGCCACAATCTATCAAATCTCAATGTTGAGAAAAGTATAAAAGAACAAAAACCACCAGACTTGAAAAAAATGAAGACCAAATATTCAAGATTTGCTTGACAGGCAGGATTTATGTCAGTAGATAAAATAATTAAGTATAAGAAGACAACATCCTAAGGAAAAGCTTGCCCTGAAACCACATAAAGTTGCATCAACAGCCAGGAATACCTCTTTGATTTCTTGAAGGAGAGATTGCACGCGTGTGCTTATGGACGCACGAGCACCAGTGACTCCTACAGTACTGACCTGTATGAAGTAGATCACTATTGAGAACTGGGAGTGAATATCTTCTTGTGAACTTTATTTTAATTAGAATAAAATGATAAATAAAATTTCTCAATTAAATTGATTGATTTAATATGTTCCATTAAAATCCCATACAAATAAGAAATCAACCAAAAAGAACGCTGTTCTTTGTTAGTCCTATCTATCATCGTATATTCCTTTCTTTCATTATCAATGATTTTCAATCGACCAGAGTGGAGGTTAAAAAAGGGCCTTATGCTCCACATGCCATTTATATGGAAGTCAGGATCCAGGGAACTATTCGCTTGACTCGTGCTGATGATAATTCAACTCCGCCGGAAATTGAACAAAAAGCTGCGCAATTAGCCAATTTCTTGGGCATACACACTGAAGTTATTTGACATATAATGCAGAATGAACGTTTTCTAAGCATGAGGGGAGGAATTCGGTAATCCTCTTATTTTTAATACGACTCAGGTTTCCCTTCACAATGATCGTTTGAGAAGAACATGTTAGATTCTATTTACTTGTCCTGTTGGTGACCAATAGAATAAAGAAAAGGGGACGGATAAGGAATAAAACGACTAAACTATAATAAGAATCCATATTTCTTCTGCCCTCGTTTAAATCTGTTTTGTGTATGGAGTTCAACTCAATTCTTTCATCTTAGTAACATGTATAATAAGTTTGGATTCATCACATATACCCCAACCGGAGATTTTTTTTTAAATGGATAATTCATGTTTTCTCTTCCGTTTAGGCAAAAATGCAATTTTAAAATTGATATGTTAGATATAGCATGCGGCTGATTTCCTGTGGCATTTATGTTTCATCAACTAGCCGATATTTAACCTTCAACCTCCCGGCAGAATTTACTTGGGAAAATAACACAACTTACAAGGTAGATAAATCCTTCTGAAGCGTCAACGATATCTTTCATTCTTTTTGCCGGTGTTGTAGGCGTTGTGAGTAGTACCTGAATATCCGCATTAGATTCATTAAAGAAAAAAAATTGTTGTTATCATAGAAGTAAGCCATTAAAAAAAATGAGGCATTAATTGAGAAACAGAGAAAATGGAAATAAGGTTCAGATCGATAGTTTGGAAGTTTAAATGTAGGCGAATGATCAACATAGACATACCTAAAAGTAACGACATTTCTTGAGATAGGCTAAGATTATGACTTGTGGAAGCACAGTTTCCATGCGGAATAGACCAAAAACTTGATGAAGAAAAAATTCACTTCACAAAAAAATTACTTTTAAGGTTCAAGAACTAGTTTCTTGTTCCCACCCACGTTACTGCCAAACATTACAATCTTCAAAGGATAGACCAATGGTGCACATGCATGAGCATGCCTCGGATGCCTAAATCTGAATTTGGTCAACTCCAATGAGACACTGGCCTTAAAGCAGTTCCAAGAACCGAAAAGGCGTACTCTCCGGTTACCATAGCATAAAGCTGAGGCGACATGCCTGCAAAAGACTTTAGATTGCCAAATTTTGAGGACATTTGCGAATAAGGAGATTTCATGTTTCCCGGCACTGCCCCTGAAGTTATAGTATCCAAAGATATCCGCCATGTTTCCAATCAACTTTCAACTATTCTAAGCATTGTTGGCGTCACGAGGCATTACTTTTTTTATTATATATCATCGTCACCTTTACAAAAAACAGTGGAAAAAAAACCATTCCTACTGACAGAATAAGAGAAGTAAATATTTGATTCAACTTTTCATGTTGTCTCTGCTCTAAGACATTGATTGAAGATCATTTACCAAAACAGTATCGATCTAGCCAGGTCATGGATATTTCTAAATTAACTACCAGATAAAATAGCGCTGTTGTATGCAACCTAAGGTTCAGCACTTCAAAGAAAGGCCATATAAGCAAACCATAAACTAAATGAGGATAAGATGAGATTAAGAGAAAACTTACCAGTTCAATATCATTTTTTGAGGCTTCTTCTCTCAAAACTTGAGTTTCCTCCAATGGGACATCGGGCACCACAAGTCCTATAAATATAAAATCCCACATCGTAGAAAGTTAATGCAGTTACCTTCTATAATCTATCAAAAGTGAAACGATAAAGCGAGCAACACCAGAAAATCCCTCTATGGTTTGATTTTGTTACAGTGTCCAGGAATCTTCAGCATCCTGGAAAAACTACCTTACTTCTAAAAACTTCTCCACGGTTCATTTGTATTTTTGTGGGTATGTGATATATATAAATATATATCATCGTTATCATATTTTGCTTGAGGAACTTTGAGTAGTTCATGTGGATGCATGTGTTAGACCCCCGGCGGGCCTAGCGGGCCTGACTTGTGGCCCATAAGGACGGGGCAATGTTAGGCCCATAAGGACCTAACGGGCACAACTTAAGGCCATAGAAGCAAGGCTCTGAAGTAATTTTGGCAGGAGGAATTAGGGGGGGATATGAGGAGGAGCGATCGAAGGAGGCATCTCGAAGAAGGACGGCTGAGCAGGAGAGCTGTGGTCCTCTCAAAACGCCACCACAGCTTGGGATTTGGGTTTCCTTGTAGAGCCCGATACTCTTATATTTCTTCTTTCCTGTTCCATGAACTCCACTGTTTCATTTCTTTGTTTTGGTCCCTATCAACATGCTGTACGCATTAGTAATATGGGTTCATGTTTAGTGATCCCCTTGAGTAACAAGCCAGTACGCTCACCTCATTTAACAAACCCACTTAAAATAAAAGCAAGAATCATAGAAAACACAGGTATCCGATTGTAGAAGCATTCGAGATCAATACACCCACTTACGAATAACTGATGGATCAGAAATAAGGAGAAACATAAAAATGTTCAAAAAATCACACTGAGTTTCGAAACTATGATTCAGGTTTTTTAACTTGGGAAGAAAAAGAGATCCTGGATGGCGGCCCTCAATGATGAAATAAGACTTGTAAGTAAATAACGGATTCACTGGGGAAAAAAATCATTATCAGCATTGTCAAAGGAAATAGCTGTCAAACTCAGAGGTATCACAAGTAACTTCTGATGCTTATGTGTGATTTTTCAATACCCAAGTGTGATAAAAAAAAATAGATATAAAAAATAATTCACTGTTGAAGAACACATCAAATGGAGCCATATATTACCACGCACGCCAACTGTTCTTATGGTAGACATGAATTGATTGGTCCCACGCTTCAAGATTGGGTTGTAATATGAAAATAACGCAATCGGACACGAAAGTTGAGGGACTACCTGCGTGGAAAAATAACGCTCTTAGAAAATTAGGTTACAGAAATTTACGCAGTATGCTAAAAATAAAGGTGAGATCAAAAGATTATGAAGAAAACAGAAATAAGAAATAGTAAGGGAAAAAAATCTACGATATTCACTAGCATTGGTGAAATTCCCTATAAAGTTGCCACTATTTTGCACCAACCAGCATTCTGGGAATTTTAAGAATAGCAAGCTTATCGACATCTCAACCAAAAATCATAACCATTACAACAATAGGCCCTTGCTGGATGATTTAAGATACCAGCATCCACACCCTCCTTCCTTTCCCTTGAAAACTCTTTCCACTCTACCTATTTGAACCCCAATCATAATGCTTCGAACTACTAATTGTGTTATCAAAGCAGTAGAAACTTTGTTGGTTGTTAGTAGAAAGTAATTTATTTCCTTTTCACAAAGCAATTCCATCGATCTCTCTAAATGTATATAGTAACGAGATCTCTCCTTCAAGTTTCTTACAACCCTTTTATTTACAAAGGTCAGCATAAAACCAGAAGAAATGTGAAACACAGATCAAGTTTCAGGAAAATACCTCCTTTAGCATGGAAAGGACTCCATCAAAGTTGGTGCCTCTTGCAAGAGCACGGGTAGAAGCTGCCTAGAGACATAAATCAAATGAACAATAAATTATGATAACTGCAAAAGAACAAGATAAAGTATGAAGTTTCATAGTGTTCATAGTGAAAGAGAACAATAATGGAAAAAACGAATGGTATCAATGCCAAACCTGGATGACAGGGCCATCTGCCAGCGGATCAGAGTATGGCATGCCCAATTCTATGATGTCAGAACCACAGGCATCCAGAATCTTCAATGCTTCTGAAGTAGTTGATAAATTAGGATCACCGGCAGTTATGTAAGGTACTAATGCAACCTAAAAATACAAAAAATTGATGAAAGGTTATATCATAAAAGACAGGTGTCTTTGCGTCAAATCATAGCAAACTCTTTTTCCCTATTTTCAAGTGACAAAACTTAATTCCAAAGCTCCGTACTATTAAAAAAAAAGGTATCTTGGAGAAAGATATCACACACAGATAATTCAAATTATATATTGATAGAATAAATATGCGATAATACATGTATCCATGTCATTGTTCTGAGAACGGGGCATGCCACTCAGACTCCTGGTTCCATTTTTTCCACGGTGAGAAAGTTAAAAATCAGCAACCAAAGGGGATTTGTGCTCTTCTTCCTGGTCTGGTCATGCGGCCCAACTTAGTCTCTAAACTGTGCAATGTATTATATGCCGGTAGGAGATACTAGGACGCAACTGTCAAACATGGCATCCTCTCTACATAATGATGAAAAGTCAATGAAGTGAGAAGAAGATCAGATATTCTAATAAAAGCGAGTTATGATGATCACCGAGGTATGTTAACATAAAAAGGGCTTAACTTTAAATTGAGATAATCGCAAACGTAGAATGAGATAAAAAATAGCAGCCGATTCCAAACTCACAGGCGGTAGAGAAAAACTCGTGTTTATCAAATTCACAAAAACCAAATGAGCAAAATGGCAGTAGCGGCCAAAACCAAAACCTCTCGAAGTAAGCACGATCTTCCGACGACTTTACAGTGTCAACAAGGATCCGCGCTCGAAATATTCTTTCCCCCTTTTGGGGTATCAATCCCGAGGTGACGACACAATAGGATAACTTCATTCAAAAACCATGGCCCATAGCAAAGTGTTGCCCAAAGTGCTTGGCGAAAATTCCGATTCAGGATTCAATGCATTTCCCACCTGAGACAAGAATATACGCGCCGTTTCCCACCAAAAAATAAAAAAAATAGACGAGCATAGACGTCCTCTCTGCATTTGAAAATCAAGTGATGCACATATCATAACAAAAATGGAGAGAAGCGTGTTCCCGGCTGCAACCAATGGCTTGGGCTTCCAACACGAGCCCAAACTCGCTAAAAAGTAAGCATAAGAATACCACATGGATAAAGAGATTTCATATTTTCGACCAAATTCGCGATAGGCGCGGAGCTGCAACCTTTCCCTGCTTCCGAAGCCTGGAGAATGTCTCGGAGATCCCGACAGCAGGCGCCACACTTAGGGAAGCCATCGGAGACCGAGACCTACCGGACGCTGCCAGGGGCTTCGGAAACCCGTAGGACCTGTCTGTACGAGGGCGCTGCAGGAAGCAAAATTGCTTGACAGCCAGAGCCATCGCTAATCAAAGAGGGAGAAATAACAGCGGATTCAGAGTGATCTAGAGAGAGAGAGAGAGAGAGAGAGAGAACTATCGTAGCTTAAAGCTGTAACGGGCAGAATGGGCCGGGCCCTGTTAAAGATGACCCGGCTGGTTTCAACATGGTCCGAGCCCGGTCAAACATTTTCGGCCGGCACATGGTGCGGACTGGTCAACCCGGCCCGTTTAGGAACGAGGCGAGCCATATTTTAACTCGATATACTAATTTAATTAGTAAAAACAAAAGTGGGGCTGTGTTGGTACCTTAACCAAAAAAAAAGGATTTTTAGTTTAAACACGCCAGAAACACCAGAATCAACAAAGAAACACCCCTTCCGAGTGAAATTAGAATAGAGCCCTCCAAAGACTATAGTTTATGCATGTGATAAGGATTTCCTGTGATTTTGCAAATGATGTTCCTACCCCTGAGCAATAAAAAATAAAAATGACGCCCCTCCCCCAATGAGATTTATATAATTTAATAAGTCATAAATTTGACCCACTTGGTCAAAATTGGTTAGGTGGAGTTGGCATTGACTAGGAATTCAAGCTACACTGAAACCACCCCCCCCCCTAAAAAGCAAACTTTAATGGTGGGTCCCTATGAAAAGTCAAATCGTATCGAAATTGTCTAGCTTCGAGAACTATATGGGTATACTTATGAAAAAGCATCTTATAACAAAAGCATGGAGAACCAACGTGAAGTTTGGGTTTGACCCGCGTCTCACCCACAAGACGGAGAGAGAGAGATAAATGAATTGGCTCAAGAGTGAGAAATTTGGTTCAGCAAAATTACGGGTCTGACTTGTCTCTTCCTCCCATGCTCCAAATTTTGGAGAGTAAAAACCAATTGGGTAATATTTATTTAATATTAGTGATGGAGAGTAAACAAAATTAAGGGGTAATATTTATTTAATAGAAGTGAGGGATAGTAAAAAAAATTAATGGGTAATATTTATTTAACTAGTGGCGATGAAGGGTAAAAAGAATTATTGGGTAATATTTATTTAATAGTGACGATGGAGAGTACAAAAAATAATGGGTAATATTTATTTAATAGTGGTGATGGAGGGTAAAAGGAATTATTCGGTAATATTTATTTAATAGTGACGATGGAGGGTAAAGAATATATATGTGGTAATATTTATTTAATAGAAGTGACGGAGAGTAAAAAAAAAGGGAAATGTTTATTTAACAGTGGTGATGGAGAGTAAAAATAATTATTGGGTAATATTTATTTAATAGTGATGATGTAGGGTAAATAATATATATGGGGTAATATTTATTGAAAATGATTAAATAAGAAGGCTAATAAACCTCCACCCCGTTTAAGTTTAGAAGGGGAGAGATAAGGCCCAACGGGTCTATCTATCTCTCTGTCTCTCCGCCCCGCCACCCGTTTAAGTTCGCGGCTTTGATGGATTATGATCGGACGGTTCAGGGGCCATCGTCCCGGAAGGAGAAGATGTCCCTCGCTGTGAGAGGTGGAGGGGACAGGAGAAGATGGCGGGCTTGTCGTCGCTGGTCGTCGCCACGGCGGCCATCTCCGCTGCGCCGGTGGCGTCCGCCAGCAATGCTGCCCGGCGCTGGGCGGCGTGCTCGGGGCCTCGTGTTCCGGGACACAGGCTGATGCTGGCGCCAGGCCCCGGAGGTTGTTCCCGCAAGGTCGGTCGGAGCTCGCCGACAAGGAGGAACGCCGGGCTGACAGAGATCGAGCCGGATCTGGAGGAAGGCAAGCACGACCAGTGGGCCACCAATGGCGTCAGCGAAGTGAGCAGATCATTCTCGCTCTCTCCTGTTTCCCCCTTCTCCGTCGAACCTTTGTGATGATCTCTTGGCCAGTGGTTCGCATGAACCGTTCCTCTTTAATTTCAGGAGGATTTCGTCTACGGGGAGTACGACGGGCACCATACATACTTCGAGGGCGGGAAGAAAGGTGCTGGCTGATTTGCGTAGAAAAGATTTAACTTATTTTCGCTTTGTCAGTCGATCGAAAGTTAGGATTTCCCTCTTACTGCATCCAACCGTTCGACGCCGGTTCCAATGGAAATGACTCATGACTTATGTGGACTGCCATGGAAAACGGTGAAACCAGAGAGGATTTTGTGACCGCGGGTTTCAAAATAAATGACGGTAGTCGATCCTCGCGGCTAAATATATCTTGCATGCACGTTAGGACGAACTCACGCGAATTTGTTTCACAGGTTTTCGCCTTGAAGACTAAAAGTTAATAATTCTCTTATATGAATGAATTCAACACATTTTCTCTAATTGGATCCTTCACCACACGCTCTTGTCCTCCATGGTTCATTCAGTGTTGGACTCCGAGAGACTGATAGCTCAGAAGAAAATCATTGGATCAATAATTATAAATGAAATTAAGCTACTTTTTACTGTCTTCCTAGATAAACAAGGGCCATAATACTTTACGAGATCCAATCTTTTAAATAATCTCAAACTATTGATCTCTCCATACTGTCAATTACACTTATCTCTTTGTGTTCCATTTGGTTGATTCTAATGCGGAACAGCATAGATTGCAGCTACATTCTGGGAATCTGTTGCTGAGGAGTACAAAGCTGCCGAACCTCCTTCTGGTTTCCAAGGTATAAATCGATCCTCCGTCCCGCCCTTTATGGGGTTTATGGTCTGAGAGCTGGGCATGTATAATCTACTCTGCAATTCCTTCTCAGGGCTCATCTCGTGGTTGTTCCTCCCTGCGGTGGCTGCAGCCTTTGCTTACGACGTTCCTGTATGTGAGCTTAAGATTCAATTCCAATATTCTCCGGTTTTTGATGGTGTTTTGATCGTGAACTTTATCTCATCCGATGACGAATAGGGGTGAAATGATTTCAGGTTGCACTCTTATAATAGAGTTTTCTTGATCATTTAAATGGCACAGGAGTAGGAATTCACAGTCTATTCGAGTATGTTACGTCTGATTTCATCATGATCTAGCCAGGTAAAGGATCTGGGCAAGTCAGTAGTACAGAGGCTTGCAGCTGGATGATTGACACCGGTTGGAATCGAACTCAGCGGGCGGGAAAGGATGGAGAGTTCTGAGGGATGGGGGTGTGATAAAAATAGCACTGCCTTTCTCATGGCTTTTCATCTGGATTCAGAATATTTCTACTGTAGTAGCCATTTTAGTTTTCGGAGAAATCTTAGATAGTTACGATGAATGGCTCCCACGAATGCAATATTCTTATGGAATGATTGTATCTTAGCTAGAAATCTGTTCCCTGCGTTTAAAATCTGTTGATTTGAATGCCCTTTTTAGTTTTCATTGATATCAAATCTCAGATAATTATGACGCCCGGGTCTCATACGTGAATTATTCCATCGAAGAATACGATCATCACTTGAAAAACCTATCCTGGATTCAAAATTTATTAGTTATGATACCACTTTTAGTTTTCAGAGCTAAAGAATCCCAGGTGACAACGATGGCTACTTCGTATGCGTGAATTCTTTCATGGAATAAAAGCATCTTTAACTTGACGAATCTTTGGATAATCCAGCAAGGTGAACATAATTTTTTTTCCTGCAGGGTGAATACCTGTTCATCGGCGCTGGTGTTTTTGTGGTGGTATTTTGTGCGATAGAGATGGACAAGCCAGATAAGCCCCACAACTTCGAGCCCCAGATATATAACATGGAGAGAGAGAGCCGGGACAAGCTGATTGCCGAGTACAACACCATGGACATATGGGACTTCAACGAGAAGTACGGGGACCTCTGGGACTTCACTCTGAAGAAAGAACGGTTGTGAGATGAGAAATCATCCATCTCCCATGGGATTCCATACATACTACTAGCAGTCTCGTCTCTGGTACGTCTGTAAAATTGTTAATTCTTGCTGATAAAACACCAACGTTATTCTGTGGGATCAAAACCGTTGATCACGCCTTAGATCATTATTTGATATTAATGAGTAAATACCGTATTTGGAAATCGTAGCATTTGCCTAAATAAAATAAAAATAAAAATTAGCATGCTTGGGACTGTTCGTTCTGGATAACTTCAGTTCTCTTCTGGTTTTTCATCAGATTGGCGAATATGGAACATAATTGGAAACCACAGAGGCCCTGTGTGAGGTCTTTTACGTTTATTTGAGTCTAATTCCATGATAATTTTCTATGTTGTTGATGCTCCTTGATCCATCAGGAGTTTATCTCAGAAGGATCATGGTGTTTGCATTCGAGTGACTTCTCCGAATCCTACGAATCGGGAAACTTTTGATCCTTTTTTAGTCGATCATTACTGTAAGATTCTTAGACCTATCAGTGGGATTTGCCGCCAAGGCTCCATTCTTGGCAGATTTTATCTCTTCATTTGTTGATCGACTTTGTAGAAAATTCCAAGCAAAGAGATATGATTTCCATGTTCATAACAATCATGTGTAGATAATTTTCTGCTGCTTGTCGAATGCACGATATAAATAATGTGCGTCATTTTTTTTTAAAAGCTGGAAATAAATGAAATTCATGCGGAGGAATATTCTCACAGGCTATGATTTTAGCATAAGGAGACTGGAGCTCTGTGTGACTGTTTGATTCTCTCTCTATCACTAGAAAGAAAAAGGGCCGTGGTTCCAAGGAGGACTCTCAGTTCCGGGGATCCAAACAGGAATTCCGGGGCGCGGGGTGGGGGGTCCGGTTAACAGGAGTTCGTACTCTCCGGAATTCCCCCCGAAAACTCATGCAGCTCGCTCAGAATTTTATAGCCCACCATCAGAACCCCACGTCACGTCGGAAAAGCCTCGTCTTTTCCCAGCCGCTCTCTCTCTCTCTCTCTCGCTCTTGGCCGGCGAAAGGGGAAAAAAAGCACGCCTTTCAGATTCCTTTCTCCCTCTACCCTCCTTTTTCCGCCTCTCTCTCTCTCTCCCCATCCCCATCTGTCTCTGGGTATTCTTGTTTAGGAATAGAATAAGCAACGAGGGACTGTGGCAGACAAAAGAAATTCAAGGGAGGCAAGCAACATCGCTTCCATTTCATTATACCCCCCCTTCCCCTCCCCCTCCGCTCTCTGAAATCAGCCACCACTCTGCCCTCACCCCAAACCCTCTCTCTCTCTCTGTCGAACTCTCTGTGAGTCTGCCTGCGGCTCCCCTGTTTCCCGGCGCCAAGTTCGATGCCAGCGGGGGGAGAAGAGGGGCTGTGCTGAAGCTGCTGCGTGGTGGTCTTCCCGCACTTCGTTCGGCCGCTAGTTCGCCGGTATGGCTGGGCACCCGCCGCCGGAGGGCATCGGAGACGATTTCTTCGAGCAGATATTCTCCATGCCCTCGTCCTACGCGGGTGCCGCCGCTGGCGGCGGCGGCCAAGTGGGCTCCTCCTCCTCCGGCGGGTTGCACGGCGGAGGGTTGTTCCCGCTGGGCCTGAGCCTCGACCAGGGGAAGGGCGGCGCCGCCGGTTACGGCAACTCCGACGACGGCGGCGGCGGCGGCCAGCGCTACCGTGAAGATCAGGCGGCGGCCAAAGCTTCCTCCTCTTCCAAGGCAGTGAGTGCGGTGGCAAGGATTCCCCACCTTCTCTCTTCCTTCCTTCCTTCTTGTTTTTCATCCTCCTTCTTTATGATAGATGCTATCCTCCCGCGATCTTGGCCAGGATATGGAGGCGTCGCGGCTGGGGAGCCCGTTCCCAGCGTACGGGCACGCGCCGCCGCCGGCGGATCACCTCCCCTTCATCCGCGGCAACCCTCCTCAGCCGCCTACACAGGTCCACCCCTCCCCTCCCTCTCTTCTCTTCCTCCGCCTCTGATGGAAGCTCTGACTTCTTATCTCTCTCTCTTTCTCCTGTTTCTCTCTAGGTGTTTCATGGGCAGCCGGCACCGGGAGCAGTGGCGGCGGCGCAGCACCCTCCGGCGCCACGGCCGCGAGTCCGGGCCAGGCGGGGCCAGGCGACCGATCCGCACAGCATTGCCGAACGGGTGATCTTCCTGAGCACAGACTTTGCCGAACTGGTTTTCTTCCTCAAGGCCGCATTTTCAATGTAGCTGATGAAATCGAGGTCGGAGATAAAAATAAATAAATTTGTGGGTCGGTATACTTGGATCTAATTCTCACCTTCCTGAGATTGAAGGATTCAGATTCGAAACCTCCAAAATGCGGCGGCCTGATCAGCTTTAAGGGCCCGATTGATCAGATTATCGTTTTTTTTTTTCTCTTCATGGTTTGCATCAGAAAATGAGCCTTCATAATGAGATATTGAAAGGATATTTGCATAAAATGGTCTTGTTGCCATTGTCACCCAGCTGATGATATTTTCAATGGCGTTTGTGTTCTTTGGTGTAGCTGCGCAGAGAGAGAATAGCAGAAAGGATCAGAGCTCTACAGGAGCTGGTCCCAAACACTAACAAGGTTACTCTTCTGTGCTGATTATTTTTGGCCTGCTTTTTTTTTTTTACTTTTTCCAGGAATAGCATGCAATTGATTGAACAATTTCTTTAAGTGAATAACGCAGTAAGATGGAGTTGTGAAACGTAATCTTCATGTACAAAAGCTTTCTGCGCGATTGCTGGAAGGGATAAAATGGCTCTCATGGATTCTGTGACAAATGAACCGTGAATGATATTTGATGAAAATCAGTGGATGTTCTGAGAATAGTTCTAGCGGGGATCAATAAACTAACAAGCAATAGAAACCATTTTCAAATCTTGAATGAATTGAAGATTTAGGAAACGACTGAGTTATCAATCACGATTCTGGATATTTTTTTTATTTTTTTATTTTTACCAGACATCCAATTTGCCAATCGTTGATTTGATTCTTCTCACAAATCTCATCTTAATGATCTGTGGAGTCTTCTAGTCATAATCATTTTCATCTGTTGGCAAGAACTGCTGATACATATTCATCACTACCTGGTGTATTGCAGATGAATGAGTCATCCACAAATCTGCCAGAAAAATACATCGAATAGTCACATCAGGCTTTGTTTTCTACTTAGGTATTAGTACTATGTCTTTCAACCTATACGGTTTCCATTTTAACCCATCCGTAGTTGACACTCAAGGTTGCGTTATTAACTTCTGGGCTGAGATCATCAACCGTGCTAAACATTGTTTTTCCCCAGAGAATAATCACTTGATCTATATCAAATCAGATTTTACCATGTTCTGCCATTCCAAGAAAATATCTGTCTTAGGCCATTCTCTGGCAAAATTTCCAAGTAATTGAAACAAACTATGATTGAAAAAAATATCCAGGATGTGACTGTAGATATTTATTCAATTATGTTTTAGCATATTCACTCCCCAGAAATATTCTTTGTAGAGTGTTGTTGAATTTATGTTCTTTCCTAGCATTAAGTGCTAGGAATTATGAGAATTCGTTGGTTAGAAAATATCACCTCTTCAATGCAAATAATTTCAACCCCTGTATACTTTTAACTGTAGACATGTTTTCTGTAGGAATACTTTTCGATAATATATGCAATTACATGTCTCTTATTGAAAGACGATTTCTACTTCTCTCCTGGAGGTCGTCACTTTCCCTGAGTTACTGTTAACATCTTTCTCCTAAATTTTCAGACAGATAGAGCAGCCATGCTTGACGAAATTATGGACTATGTGAAATTCCTGAGGCTTCAAGTAAAGGTATGAGTTGGTTCTCTATGCTTCTTGGAGATCTGGACAATAAACTGAATCAGAAAAGAAGAAACTTAGCAATGTGTTCTTAGATATCCTGCACTTTCATAAATTAGACATACTTCCTCCGCAGCAAGCAAACTCCGATTTATATCAAACAATTGACTTCATCACTAAAAGAATTTTCTTCAAGATGGTGGGATTTCATCTTCATCCCTTTTTCTTTCCTTTTTGTTTTTTGGGAGAAAAAGGGGAGGGGGGGTGGGTGCTGAGCGGTGTTCAGAAGAACTGAGGTTCTTTTTCTTCTAGAACACATGCCTTTTAGGCAGTAGGCCTTCTTTGTCCCTCATTGTTCAAAGTGAGACATCAACACCCACTCATCTGCCGACCACTTCTAAGCAACCCTGTTATTTCAGGTTCTCAGCATGAGCAGACTTGGGGGAGCCAGTGCCGTTGCGCAGCTGGTAGCTGACATCCCGCTGCCGACGGTTGAGGTAAGGAAATGGGTTTTTGGAATGAAGGTCGAAGGGGTTGCTCATGGAGGAATCTTATGGTCCTGTTCCTCTTTGGTCTACACACTCATGGCGATCAAGGGGGAGGCTGGCGAAGGCGGAAGTGCCCAGCAGGTCTGGGAGAAGTGGTCAAATGATGGAACGGAGCAGCAGGTGGCAAAGCTCATGGAAGAAGATGTCGGCGCAGCCATGCAGTTCCTCCAGTCCAAGGCCCTCTGCATCATGCCGATCTCTCTGGCTGCGACCATCTACCAGACACATCACCAGCACGAAGCCCCTGCAGCCATCAAGCCAGAGCCCAGCGCTCCTTCATAGCTCGGTATCAGCCTGCCTGCACGTGCCCATCGATGACTCCTATGTACAGGCCCTCCCCCCAAGCAGAAGACAGCTTGGACGGGGCGGCTCCCGGAGACCCATCCCCTCTGTGCATCGATGCCATAACGCTCTTCTACCTTTTTCTTTTGTCCAGGTGAACAGAAGAAGAAATTGGTTGACAGATGTTATCCCACAGGTCTTCTCATGTTCTTGAGTAAACGTCTGGATTGTCAAAGGCCTTGCCGGATCCCTCTGATCTACTTTCCCCTTTTTTCCCTTTTCCGTGTGGGTTTCTGACTGTGGGGTTTATGATGCACTACCCAAACAATTCATGGTGGGGCTGTTCTTTTCTTCCATAATGGATGGTGGGGTCCGTTTCTTAAAGCGGATGGCCCTGGGTGGGTTAGGTTGCCATCATGCGATTCGGAGGAACGCAGGAGGAAAGCCGCCTCCGGCAGTGGGTGTTGGATGATCGAGCCAACACCGTTTCCTACTCCCGAGGGAGGAAATCTCACTCAGATTGTCTTGCTTCCAAATTTCCCATTGAATCAAACGGCGACCGATTTCATTTCAAATCCGACGTCGTTCAATGAAAACGAGAACTGGGCGGCGGCGATCATGTGAGAGGGAGGGTTTATGGATCCATACCGGAAGACGAAGACGGAGAGCCCGCCGCCACCGCAGATTGGGTCAACGGGCGTCGAGGCGCTGGCTCGTCGGGCCTCCCTTCACCACCTTCCATCGCTTTCGAATCGCGAAGATCGGGGACGGCGCGCCATGGTGCGGGGAGACGGAGGAGGTTCCTCCCTGAGCACCACCGCCGTCTCCGGCGAAACGAGTCGCCGGCGGCGGCCAGGAATCCTCCGGCATCCAACGATTCGCAGCCACGCGTGCCGGCGGGGGCTGCCGGCGGCAGCGGCGGCCTTCGAGATCTCGACGGATCTGGCTCTTCTGAAAGGGAAGCTTGTCTTTCGGAAACTGTTTCGGCTGCTAGATTTCCTGCCGCGTGGAGGGCGAAAGAGCGGCCACGTTGCAGAAAAGGAAATTATCTAAAACTATCCAGCACCGACGAGTCTCATGCTTTCCACGTGCTCTTGATAACTTTCGCTCTCCACCTGGTCAGAAATTCTCTCTCTCCGATATTTTTGGTTGCGTTCCCTTAGAGAGAGAGAGAGAGAGAGAGAGAATAATAGCTTTTGGTGATATAGAAGATAAACTAAAGATGCAAAGGGATGATAAAAATAATGTCAGTTTATGGGGAGGTAAAAGCAAATAATCTTATCCAAATGGTAAATTTTTGGCCTCGTTCCCCTCGAGAGAGAGAACAAAACGTACCTTTCAGTGTCAGCAGGTAAGGATGGGAGCTGGGCCCGGGCGCCAGCTCCTATCATGAGCAGAGGGAGGGCGATCGGCAGCCTAGTTGCCGAGGAGAGCAGAGCAAGTCCATGTGGTGGAGGAATTCCCATTAAACAATTAGAAGAACGCAGGTTACGCCCTCTGAGACCGGGAGCTTGGAGTCTCACTTTCCCGGAAGCTGATGGCTCGAAGACGGGTCGTGTGAAGAAAGATTACCCGGATTTGGCGTCGCTGTGGTTGATATCAATGCCCTGCATTCGACCTAGGGACGTCGTCCCGTTGACCGGTTGGAGTTCTGTATGATATCTTTAAAGAAAGGGAGTGGAGATCGTTTTTTTCTTCGCTGTGTTCCGAACTTAGGCGCTAGGAAGTAACGAAGGAAGACGAAGATGACGGGATCTGCTTGGGTGTTGTGCTCTTCAACCTCCCAGTGGAGTCCTGGCTTTTGGTCGCGCACGTTCACAATGTTGCCACGCAGGTTATTTCCTGTTTTCCATTGCCATCTGCTGACAGCTCTACAGTTGATGCTCGTTTTTCGACTACTCGTGCTGATTTCCGCCCCATTTCATAATTTCCTGTTCTTGGCTGTTTGAGCTTTGGTTCCACGGGGTTCGGGATGCGGCTCTGCTCTTTTTTCTCGTAAAATCTTGGATTTTTCGTAATTCTCATACCATTTGTCGTGACACGATTCCGAAGGTTTTTCAACGACAGGTGGGAAAGAGGTGAACTGAAATGTGCAGGCAAAGGTGGCAAAGCTTGTGCTGCCTCTGTCAATTGCATTTTTACCATCAATTCCCTCTCCTGTTCACGTAAAATGTTATATCTGATGATGTAACTTAGAGACTTCGTTTTGGCATACGGAAACACTTACAGTTTTTTTTTTTTTTGTGAAGAATTTAGTGTCTGATAGAAACTCTTAAGTACCTAGAGCTTAATCTTATTTACGAAGGTATAAAAGATTGACTATCTAAAAGGATGTATATGATTCCTAGGTGCCTCTCTATGTGAGCTGGGTCAGACGAGCATTCAATCAATTGGGCAATTAATTTTTGCTTATCTCTATTTTTTTTTTTACAGAGCGTTTCATGTTATTCAGCGACAATTTTTCTCAATTTCGGTTTTACACAAGCTTCGTTACTAATTTTCTGCCTCTTTCAGGAATATTTCTTCTTTCTGTTCGGAGGGTATGCGTTATCCACGTCTCTGTGACCGTAAATTGTTTACAGGTGCGGAAAATGTTACGTAAATTCACCTTTTTTTTGTCCGATTGAAGTTATGTTCTTCAATGGAAGACTTGTACCTTTTTAGTCCTGAAATTTGTATCACGCTCACACCTGCATCGGTTCATTATCTGCGATAGAAAAAGCACTCAGACATACGAATGTTGGCGAAATTTACATAAAAAATGAAATGCTATGTTGGGTGTTGCGTCTGGGAATAAATGAACTTTAACATAAATTTCGCATGGTAATGTGTGGGGCTTGTACAAAGTTTTATTCGTAATTGTTAGATTTAGTCTGCACGCGGTGTATGTATCATGAGTAGTTTACTTGCTTTTCATTATTCCTAGGGATAAACTCAACATAATCTTTCAGCCGAATTGATTCCGTATGAAATAATTTCTTTGATCATAGTTGTGATCTCCGCAAGTAATCTGCTGCTATTTTTCTTTATCTAAATTGATCTATCTACGGGATTACCACACACGCCCTGGCGTATTTTATAGCTTTGGTTGACTCATTCTCTCTTTTTTCTGTTGTGCATGCTTTATATAATGCTATATTGTTTATACATTTATTTAATACTTTCAGCCATTTTGTATCTTCAGGAGACAGAGTGACTGATCTTCTTTGGATGCCAAATATTGTGCTAGCACGTAGATCAATTCTCAAGAACTCCAGGTCGTTTCGTCTGTGTGCACCTTGCTGTCTTAATGAGGAAGGCAGACCTTGTGGGATTAATGATGCGTGGAAAAATTGTGATGTTGTAGTTTCTTTTCAAAATGTAATTGTCTTTTCAGTTTTTATTGTTTCTGACCACTTATATATGTATGAGCTGTAGTTTCATTGCCACTATTATCACTGGGTAATGAAGACAATTACGCTAACCAATATTTCCAAAACGTTGTGTTTAACAACTAAAACTCAATTTTTGTAACTTTTATTCTACAAAAAAATAATGATTGTAACATTTAATACGTTCCTTCATGTCAATGAGCTTGCATTTTCTTTTAAAATTTCAGCCGGAGTTCACTCGCAATTATTCTCAATATTTTGTCGTTCCTGATTGCCTCATTTAATCTATCGATTGTTTGAATATAATTTTCAACGTAACTGTATTATTAATCAGTTATATTTACATGTCATTTCATTGTTCTTGTACCTTTTCTTTTGATAATAAGTGGACTTTACAAATTTAGTAGACTGGATGTTCTCTAATGATTTTTCAGAGGCTCTTTGGAATGGTTTGGTGTTCCTGTGTGCTTTATGTTTTTACATAAGTCTCTAGGATCGCATGAGAAATCGACAACTCCATATTTAGACGTTACAACCCATCTGTCCCGATTGGCTGCAAAGGTTTTTTTTACAAACACATTGTTAAGTTAAGAGTCAAGCTTCATGCTGCATGTTCTTCTGTTGCTTTCCTTCGGTGAATTACTTCAGCAAGGATCAAAGACCTAGTTGAATTCCAAATGAAAATCCCCTTCCTTTCTTAGTTCAGCATCATGTTCTTTTCATGCTGCGGCTTTTTATAACCTCAACGCGCTATTCTGTCAGTTCGTTTTCCCAAGAACTTTAATTTTGTGAATTAGCAGACTCCATCTTAACTTCTTGTTCACTGTTAATTCCATAATTTATCACTCCAAGATTTTCATTTAATCGGCAGAGCTCTTGGTCCTCAATCTCACGGTCGTTTTTTTACTAACCACAATTTTTCAAAATATATTTAAACATCAGCTAAAAGATTAACCGAGATATATTGTCTTAGAATGCAGAATTCACATCAGATGTATATGGAATTCTTTTGACTCAGGGTGTGGATATCCAGAATCGGTATTTCAGCTAGTCATTTGTGACTCTCGGAAAATGGTCATACCTCCGTCACCTCAACTTCCCATAGGCAGTAGTTGTGCGGTCCAATATTCTTAGAAACATCAGGGGATCACTGGATCTCCACTTGTTTAAAATAATAGAACCTTCGTCAAAGTCATTTATGTCGGCATGATTCCTTTTGGATTGTTTTTTAAATACTTTTATCGTTCGTCTGGTTTTCCCTTTTGGATTGGTTTCAAGAGCTTGGTGCTTCAAGTGCTGCTGGTTGAACTGGATGTGGTCTGGACAATCCCAGTATGGCCACTTGCGCTCTGTCCAGGTTTTAAATTTCCGTGCTTTCAGCTTATGTGTCTAACAGAAATCTCACATGGCAAACTGTGGCTCAATTCTTACCCCTTATCAGGATAGAGAGAGAAAGGGAAAATGTGAGGTCATTTGGTGGTCAGTGAGCTATTCAAAAGAGCAAGGATGCCATTCTTGAAGATTTTAGTAAAGATCAGGAATGTCTTATGCTTGTCTTGTTGCTTATCAGCTTTTATCATTCAAGCATAATTTACTAACAACGAATTATATTTAATATTATAAATACTTAGTGTAATGTTTTATTCCATCTTTGTTGCTCCCCGTAATTTCGATTTTATGACTGTCGTCCTTCCACTGCCAAGTCAAACAAATATTCATTTTACATTTTAAAAAAATATTTGAAATATTTAACTTACAAGTGTTGTATTTCAGGAAAACAGTGCCAAAGGCCTTTTGGGATACTTGCTCTCTATAATTCTTAAAATGGCATGTCTCAATAGTGCGTACAAACTATTGAAAGCCGTCCTGACTTTATCACAACATGGTCCGTATATTTTTGGTTCAGGAGGCGTCCCTTTTGCATGTGTATCCAATTCGGTGAGCAAGCCAACAACTCATTTGCATGTATCACTGCCATCATTTGAAGACATCAAATGGATGTTTTCTCGCACCTTCTATCATTTCGATGTGCAACTTGAAAGGAATGTCAGCGTGTAAGTTGATTCTTTTTTTGTGTAATTCTCAAATCATTTATTTTTTTATTCATTTATTTTAGTCAAAGGTGTTATTTTACTGTTTTTCGGTTCTATTTTTTCCTTCCTTTTATTTTTATTGAAGATGGTTTGCTAATATTGTTCACCTTAGATTCTCTGGTATAATCCAACTAAATTTTATGAATTTAAACGTTGTTTACCACATGTGCTTTCTCTGTCGATCCAAGTGTATAGGGTCTAATCTTGGGATTTAGGATCAGGAGGTTGTTTGGCTTGAATCAGTGAAGATTTGGTGTTATATCACACGTTGCAGTTGATTGACTAGAATCGCTTTAAGTCTTATCAGCTGGCTTAGATCATTTTTGAAAGGAGAAATGGGTGTTTTTGCCTTGTGAATGTATTAAGTCTTACTTTTAGTTGCCACTGGTTCATTGTCATCCAGGATATAAAAATGAATATATCATAAGATTGGAGGATCTACTATATGCATTATGCACATTTAATGAGGGATGGCTATTTTTTATGAAATATCTGGGTAGAGTTGCGGTGAAAGTACTCTCTACATTTTCGTTCCAGCACTATCTACATCAATTTCGAATGTTCTGAGGTCATTAACTATATATCCTGTGACAACTAGGGGAACACCATCACTTTACATACTTTTATTTGTAGTATTATCATCATCATCTTCAGCAGGATCATCGTCAGATACACATAAAAATATTTTGGTCTTTTTTCTGAGGCACTTGGTGTTGCTCAATCTCCATTCTTTGTGACATCTTTGAGATATTTATAGAGGCATTCATATGCCTATTTCCCTGCGTAACAAAACTTGGGGATGACTTGCTGACTCTGATGGTGACGAGTAACAAATGATACACCTTACTGTGTTAAAATAGTTTTTTTACTTCAAAGGGTGTAAAGCACTCACATTTCACTTAAGGTGACTGTTCTATTACATTTTATAAATGAAAGAAATAGTGAAGAAAAACTCAGGAATACTTTCTTTTAGAATGTGTAGGCAACAATGTTATGAACTTGGCAATTAGAGGATGTGGCTCAGCGGTGTTTCTATTCCCATTCTAGCCAAAATAAAGCATCGAATGGGGTAATTTAGCGTCTTCTCACCACGAAATCAACTGTATTTCTTATTTACCTGATTCATCTTTCCTGTCCTCACAATTCTTTCAATCTTGAGAACTAATAGATTTAAGTGCCTGAAGCTGACTTGGATGTCAGTTGTCTGAGAAGTGTTGCCAATTCATCTGGCATTCTAGAGTGTTAGTTCTTGAGTTGAGGTTCTGGTTTGGTTTCGGTTCATAAAAGTAGTTAAATTGCCTTTCTTGGTCCTCACATTTAGTTAAATCCTTTGTCAAATGAAAGGTAATAAATTTGAGCCGCCTTTGTAATTTGTATTGTTTGGAATTTAATTACATTAATCAAACGAGTTAAGAAACTCAGTCTCATTTCTTGCTCAATTTTACCTTTCTTTGATCAACACATTGCAAAATTTTGATTTGTGCCTTTAAGATCTGTTGGTTGCTTGAAAGCTTTGTTGGTTTATGTTTACACTCATCTGCATAATAATAAATGCTGTGTTACACATTTGAAATAAATCCGCCACGTTTTGAACCTACTGATTTTAGTAGGGGGTCACAAGTCTGAGCACTGACATGTTTTGTGTTTCTATGTACCATGCAGATTTTTTATTGTATTATTTGTTGCCTGTATCTCATTTGTCATCATTGGAGGCTTCCTGTTCTACTCATACAGGTACACCATGGCAACTACATATTTTCCACTTACTATGAGACATTATGCATAATAAACAATTATGCTGAAAAAGAAAACTTTTTTTCCTTTTCGAAATGGTTCTTTTTTTCTATATGATATGGATTCAATTAAACTCAATGAATAAAGACAACTGATATGGATTCAATTATTTAGGGCAAAGGTCAGTAATTTATGCTCTTATCATTTACCTAAATTTTTGCTAGAATGATGGGGATAAAGAAAGGTGGCGGTGAAAATACAGATAGATTATGCTAGCATCTGTTAGGGGTATTTTTTGGGCAAACAATGGCAATGTCATGCTGAACGTTATGTTCGACTGTTTTGCATGTTATACTGATTCCGCTTGCTAGCTACTAGGTATTAATAGTTCAAGAACAACCAATTAGGATTTAATGGAAAATAAGAAGCAGGTACTTATATTTATTAGACATTGAGAGGAGAAGAAGCGTTTACATTACTACTAAAAACCTTATATGTGATAACTATGTACTATATCATTGTGGTGTCCAGCATGGGACTGAAGAAATCATGTCCTTGCTAAAAGAAAAAGTTTCTTCCTCTCTTTCGACAGATTCTTCTGTCTGAAGGGCATTGGCCTTAAAAACATGCATTCTCCTTTGATTCTGCATGACGTGAAGGGTCATGAGATCCTTCATATCAAATGTCCTTAAATCAACTGGGGGGGAAGTTTTTGGACTCAATTTGCCACCTAATGCCTAGTAGCTCTAGATAAAATAAATGAGTTAACCCCCTAATGCATTCTCCTTGCTTCTCTTTCGAAAGCTATGCGTCTGTCTAAGTCACTGATAATCAATATTCTGTAAATGCTTCAATTTCCTCTTTTAAGCTATGAGTCATCGTTGCCCTTGTCATAATTTAACTTGAGTCCAGTGCTTCCTTCTGGTCATTTTTATGTTAGCAAGAGAAGCATGTGTAAGATTAATTCCCTATTTGTTCTGCCTAAAAGGCTTTGTGGCTCTTGGCTGTTTTGTAACAGTGGGATCTGTTTCCTTCCTAAAATATGTGAATTAATCCCTAAAATATGTGAATCAATACATCAAGTTCTATTAGTTTGCTTTCTTCATTTTCTATCTGCTCCATCCAGAGCCTCTTTGAAGATAGCAATCTTTAACAAGCTCTTGCATCACTAATTTAGGAAAAAGGAAAAATCTCTGGAAGACTGTCTCTGGGATGCATGGGCTTGCCTTTGCTCAGAATCTACTCATCTAGAAGTATGAAGTTTCTTCAGATACAGGTTCTATGATTTATAATTTATATTTGGTGAGATTGAGGTTTTTGACATTTGTGCTTTTATACCAGCTAACAACACGTTTTGAACGTATTATTGGCCTTATCCTTGCTGTGTGGGGAATAGTATTTTATTCACGCTTGTTGAGTACAATGACTGAACAATTTAGAGTAAGTCTTTCCTTACAATTTAGTCAACTGTGCTTCAATGATATTGGAAGAATCTTGTGTCTCTAACAAGTATTTTCCTCAGTACAATATGAAAAAGATCAGGGAAGGCGCTCAAATGCAAGCCATGGAGAGTGATCATATTATTATTTGTGGGATAAATAGTCATCTGCCTTATATACTCCAGCAACTAAATAAGCATCACGAGTCTGCTATTCGAGTTGGTACTGCTACATCGAGGTATATACTGTTTTCCAAGCAGTTTATATTGCTTGTAAATTAATATCAGATCAACTAGTTGCAAGTTGGTGAGAGGCCTATGAAATATTTGTATCTGATACGAATATTGTAATTTTAAGGAAGCAAAGAATCGTCATCTTGTCTGATCTTACATGGAAGCAAATGGAGAAGCATAGAGATAACGTTGCCAAAGATCTGAACTACATTGATGTTATAAACAAAAGGTAACATAATTCAGCTCTTCTTGCATCGTTGCCTGCAAAACAATTCCTGTGACTTTGATGAGATGCATTAAGAGCGAATGTTGGCACTTTTCATCTGGCCTAGGTCATAGTGCAAACAAAGCTGGTCAAAACCTCTAGTAATACTGTTTTTTCTTATTTTGGAATTTGCAATATTTTATAATCAATTTCATGATTTTTTCGATTAGTTTTCTGTTTGTGCATATTGATGTGAATTTGACAGCAATCTGTAATTTCTTTCGAAACTTTTGGAAACTTTCGAGTATAATTTAAATTATTTTCTTCTTTAAAATGATTTTTTTTTTCTAGTGGAAGTAGAAAAATGTGGCTGTACTACCTCAAAACACAAGCATAACTGGAGTCGGAAGTAAATCACTCCAGTAAATTCTAGTTTTTTAAACCTACTCTTGCCTTCCTCCTCTTTTTCAAATAGTGTTAGAAAAAAAATTATAAATTGAAAATAATTTCTTTGGACAGTATTATATCTTACCATCATGACATAATTTTAACTCTCTTCTAGTTTAGTAGTAAGTATTTTGTGTCTTCTGGATATGAGAAAAGTTTTCTGCACGATATCAAAATAAAATCATAACAGGAGTCGGAACTGAAACTGCGAGGACAGAATTCTTGTTATTCACACTTTTTTCTGTCCTTATTTTTCTTATAAATATATTTTTTATTTCTTAGATGATGTACGACAAATTTATAACTGTTTTGGTAGGTTTCTTATTGATTACACTACTTTTATTTTAAAATAAGTTTTAAAACTCATACCCTAAGGATGTTGCCCTTTTTGAATGATAGTTTCGTATACAATTGATTATTTGTTTTGGTTTCGTTCTCTAAATGAAGATGCACAACCTAAAAAATGTCATATATTTCATACGCAAGTCATCTTACTTTTGAATTTCATGTGTTCCATTAGTGTTGTCAATGGGCCAGTAAAGGCTAGAACACAGTTTTATCTGATGTTTGGCCCATTAATCCTGCCTCAAAACAAGAATAAACCCCTCCTGCCATCTTGCTATCCTCGGTGGTGGGGTTCGATCTTGTAGTCTAACATGGTTTTACCACCGACACCCACGTTTCAAAGCCACCCCACCCCAACCCTCCTTGGCAACATACACAAAACAGTGTTACCCACTCTGTTTGGTTACATGTACCTCGCTCCCACTTGTGCTTCCTATCTATGGCACATCGAAACAATACCACTTTTCCTCCAGCTGCTCCTTAACAGTATCTGCTCCCTTACATGGCCGTCTCGAAACCTCATTCCGGTGCCCCCTCTCTCCCACCATCACTGACATGTTCCCTACCGTTTCCCTCTACATGGGCACACCCCAGAAACCATCGCCAGGAATGACGGTTGTCAGGCCTGGCCTGATTCGGCCTCTTAGTGTTCTTGGGCTTGGGTCAGGCTTGGCAGGGCACCTCTATGTGTGATTTTTTTTTTTTGGTGCAGTACTTCTTCCAAAAAGGAAGTTATTGTCTTTTATTTTCGGATCAATTGTTTTCTTGAAAACAAATACATATACCAAACCTGTCATCATTTCCTCTCTGTTGCCTGCTTTGAGAATGTCAGTTGTCTGGTTCAGCCTTAGTATTTTGTTGTTGGTACTGATCAATAAATTTTAAATAATATTTTAATTGCTATTTTTTAGTGTGCAGTAAGATTTAGTTATTAACGACTATCTGTGGACATCTGGGTCTCTTTTTATGAGCGTCTTCCATTAATACTGAGGATATCTGACCTTTGACATTTTAAGGATTATTATAGGCGTAGTTTCTAAAGGGTCATTTTGATAAACATTTATATTCATGAAAGTTTGGATACGTTGAGGTTCCTATTGTTCTGTTGATATTGTTTTGGGCATGTGGCTTCAACCTCTTCCTACTGCCACTCACTGAACCTGCCATTGTTTCACCTTGCTTTTGATTCTGCTCCCTGTCTGTCCCAGTTCTATCTACTGCGTCTGACACTACCTGCAGCTCCTGGTGCCACATTCCTCTCTTCTTTTGCTGCTGCTTCAGAATTCTTGATCATGTCCTGTGCTCAAGTTTTGATCTTGCTTTTTTCTCATTTTCCACTTCTCCTTTAGTCCTTTCTCCTTCTGACCACTCTTCTTATTGAGTGGAATTCATTATCTTTGTCCTTGTATTTTTCTGGATCCATCTAGTTTATGCCTTAGTTGGAATTGAAATTATGGGAAAATCTACAGATGCAATGTGCTATCATGGTATATCTTATGAACTTGGTGAATATGATTCCGCTTCTTTGACAGAAACGAACACCGGTTTGTCTTTTCCTTATATTGGGGGTTTCCCCAGTTTCAGCGGTTTGACTACAAGTATGTCGACTAACTCTTGAACTTACTATCTTCTGTCTGCAGCTGCAGTCTTAACTTGACAAAATCTTTTCAACGAGCTGCTGCAAACAGGGCACGTTCTATCATTATATTACCTACAAAGAACGACAGGTGAACTCTAACTGTCTTGAGTACTGGGATGTGAAATATATTTGATGGATGGACTAGTTGCAATCTTTTTATGTGCATTGATGCCGATACTTGTTTTGGTTATACACCTGGTAGTTGTCTTTACAGATATATTAGTGATTGGTGTAGTGCTGGAGAAAAGTGATGCAATTGCAAAAAAAAATGGTTGTCGTTTCAAATTTCAAGCCATTTAAAGCCATTTTCATGCTGAAAAGCCAGGGTTTTTTTAATCATCTAACTTATTTACTCAGGTACGAAGTTGATACGGATGCTGTTCTTTCTGTACTAGCCCTTCAATCTCTCCCTCGAATGGCGTCCATACCAGCTATTGTTGAGGTGTGTTTCTTGCTGCGTGCTAAAATGGGAGCCATGTTTGTTCAAGATGTTAGTGTGCAAAAATGACAAAAAGTTTCACTCATCCATTCTTACTGAGAGTATAAGGACGGTAATGTGTATCACAGTGAATTTTAGATTATGAAAACAAAAAGACTATCGAAAACTATATTTTTTTTCCAAATTATGGAGATAGAAAATTCTTACGCAAAGCCAAGATTTATTTTTTCAAGTTTGGGTCAACTGGTTTTTAAGATTGCATTCTGATTTCCACGGTTCTTGGCACATTTTTTGTACATCTATGTGCGATTACCATACTCATGTTTGCCATTTATGGTTTTCGGTACCTCTATAACTGCATTATCTGTGGAAAAACAGATACCTTATTTTTTGTATATTTTAGAAACACTTCTTTCATTAACGATGATTCTTCTGGATTCGAATGAAGGTATCAAACCCGGAAACAAGTGATCTTTTGAAATCAATCTCGGGCCTGAAAGTTGAACCTGTTGAAATGGTTGCGTCAAAGCTGTTTGTTCAGTGTTCTCGGCAAAAAGGGCTCTTAAATATTTACAGGCACTTGCTTAATTATCAAAGTACACTTCCCTTCTTAAAGAAGTTCTTTGATTACCATAGTAAATAATATATATCAGGAAGGTGTGATGCACCTGACTATGTGCTTACAGCTTGATACGTAGCTGTACCTGGAATACAACTCGTTTCTGAAGTTATTTTTTAGTATTTTTCATGGCATCATTTGGTATGGAATTTTAGAATACAATCCTGATTGTATGTTTTTTTTTGTTAAAACAGAAAATGTATTCAATCTCTGCAGCTTTCCGGATCTTGTAGGGTTAAAGTATGAGCACGTGAGACGTGGACTAAAGGATGTAAGAAACTGCCATTTTGTGACTATTTGTTTGGTACGTTACTTAAGGGTTTATATACTAATGTTTCGTGCAGGTGGTGGTATGCGGCCTTTATAGAAGTGGGAACATCTACTTTCATCCAAATGATGATGAAGAGATGCTCCCCTCCGATAAAGTGTGTAAGATCTTTGGGTTGATACCTGAAAATGAAATGAAATTTTATTTACTTTTAGATGGCTGCCCTAAATTTCTGAGATTTCAGAACCATTTTTTCTCATGTTTGTGGAGGTTTATGTTCAATAATAGGCAATGGTAGGGTAGTTTAATCAAGTTTAACCTGAATTATTGCTTGCCGATCCTTTTATCTTTGGAGTATACAGATCCTCGGGTATATGGTTTCTTTCTGTAATAGGATATCTCCAAATGGCTTCTTTCGGCATCTTCCAACCCATAATGACGGCAATTCTCACCACTCTGACAGCTTCAGCACATCACTATGACAACATCTTTTGATTTCCCTCTGTCACCTGGTCCTAAAAATGTTAAGGACTCACGACGGGATGTGGTTCAGGTGGCCAAGGTGTTAGAGAAATATATTTCAATCTTTTGCAGAGCTTTCAAGTTATCACCAGTATTGAATGTCACAAATTAATTGTAAGAACTTGTCTTCAGGTTATAGAGTGGCTTATTTGATGAGATTTGTAGTTGATGTAAAAATAACAAAGGGAAGCTGAAGCAGATGTAAACAACGTAGTGAGAAGGCAGAAAAAGACATTAAAAAATCCAGAAAATTAAGACTTGTGACCGATGGGAACATAGCTTAGCATGAAAGATTTAGTGAACATGAGAACATTTTCAATGGGAAGAGTGAAAGCAATATATGCCATCGCAAAAACGACGAAATCGTGTTGGCTCATTTTTAAGATAGTTAATGTCATTGAAGTCCTACTCAGATTCAATTTAGTACGAGTAGAGTAGGCTCATATTTATAATCATAGGTTTATTTTTGGGTAATAAATAGAGGATTACTCCAATTACATTTCTTCATTCGTATGCTGGTTTTTGTGTGCATGTGGGTAATATGAGTACAGACCCAGAGCAATCATCATCTCTGATTAAGTTATTGAGCCATTCAGCTTCAAATTAATTGGCAATGAGTGGAGTATCATCGCACTTAGTGGTTTACTTTCTTAGGAAGTGAGACATCAGAGTTAGTAGTTAAGGTCTTGTTTTTGGGGCTGAAACCTTGAGAAGAAAAAGGATTATCCTCATAACTGAGTATATTTCAGCTGCCGTATTCTTTAACCTACTCGACCAATGAAGAAAGTGCTGAGATACACGGAGGTCCACTAAAGTACTAAGAGTGTAGAGATGGACATAGATAGACGAAAGAACTGAAAAGCGCTTGGATAACGATGGAATTATATAATACTATTAAAACTTGACATGGACAAGTAGAAAGAAAGTACACAAGTTTAGAAGGCTTTGTTTTATCTTAGCTGAAAGGTTGGTAATTGTTTGAAAATTCTAGGAGTCAAGAGGGAGCCTAGAATCCGAGATTTGCAAGACCACCTCGAAATTAAAGAGTGGAATATAGCAAAATAGCGACAAGAAAAATATAAGAGGGAAATCAAAACTATCATGATGAAGGTTCTGATTGAAATTCAACAAGATTTAGTTTAACTGATGAAGAGATTAATCAACGGTATAAGGATCTTATAGGGAGTTATAAGAGTGAAATATACAGCTCAGCCAAACTGCATAAGGACTGGTGCAAAGCTTGACCTTTTTCGTGCATGAAAAAGTCTACGGTATGCCTACATGTGTCACTTATTAAAATTCTGGTCAAATAAATGGATGGATAATTTTGAGCATACCGTGTATTTCGTCTGTGAAATTTGTTGTTTTGAAGAATAACAACTTATTCAGTCGTTTAGTTGGAGAGGCCTCTGCCGAGGGTTCTCCATTTTCCATCCTCTGAGTTGTTGTGGTTACTCTGCTTGCATATTGCTGGGAGGATGAAGTCACCGCGTGTTTCAGTCCAATGTACATGTTACTCATCGGTGAAATGTGGATAACCGTAGAGTATGTTTATTCTAGAATGAGGGAACTGTGTTCAAATAGATGCTTAAATATTTGGTGGAAGGGGTTGGGCTGACTCTAACATCGCACTCATTGGAGAGTTTTTGTCACGCCTTTAGGGGCAAAGTTCGTCGCAGGAGTGAGTGCTGTATAATGGAGGTAGGAAGACCTTAGTGTTGCAGTTTCTTGTGAGCTTTTGGCATGGATGGTAAAAACCATCAAGCGAGAAGGGCAGTGATTGAGGATGTGTGAGAAAAATATTATGGAGCCTGAGTATAAGGTGTCAAAGCTGAGACATCATGGAATCTATCCTTTTTTGTGGATAGCTTTTCTTGAATTTCAGGCGTGATGTTTGGAAGATGTCTTATCAAGCTAATTTAGAAAATTATAGCCATGAACATATGTTATGAAAACATAGGAAATGTGAAAATATTCTCACTTCCTACAGAATCCGCCCGAATGTTATGCAATAGAGATGATGCATTACATGCAGCCGGTGGATAAATGAGAATAGGTGGAAGTTATATCACTGGGAGAGATGGATTTAATGGAATTGATGTATAGAGGTCCTTACATTGCAGGACACCTCCACAGCAGTGGAACTCTTCTTTTAAGTCAACATAAATCATGTATTTTTCCTGCTGAGAGAAAAATCATTCATCAACATTCTCCTTCAAAGGTGAAATTACTTCAATAGAGGATGAACAATATGGGAGCTGCCGGCATATTCCTGCTTCCATCCGCATGATAGTTCTTGGAATGCAACTGCAATGACTCAGTATCGGGGGAGATATATGACAAGGTTCTCAATGCATGACATCAAATAGTTATGACTGTCTTATTATTTAATGGCAGAGAAGGTGGAATCCACAAGAAGGTCCAGAAAGGAAATTATCTGGTTCTTCATCTCTGTGAGGAGTTGATGCAATGGCTTTCACCATGGAGAAAACTTTGAGTGGGCAAAGTTTATTCGTCCCTGGGGAACACTCAAGTGGGATGGATGAGCAGGTAATCAATATGCTAAATAGAAGAGCTTGCGGGAGCTCTGTGCTGGGGATGTCTTTCAATGTATGTGTACCATTTTTAGTTTTTGAATATAATGTTGGATATCGTCAGCCATGTAACAATCATAAGCCATTTCTATCAACAAGTTGTCAGCCATTTTCAATGAAATAAAAAAACATGGCAAAGACTGTCTGAGCATGCTCGGCTTTAACTAGAAGAAATTGAATCCTTCAGGAAAGGCCGACTGACTGAATATTTTTCTGTTGCAATTGGTGTGCATCTCAGGATGCTTAGGTTTACTATCGACTGTTTAAGCCCTGTTTCTCATCTTCCGTTTTATTTCGTTTCCATGCTAGTGTTGCTCTTTGTTAATGGCAGAAACGATGCCGTTTCTATTGATTGATGGCAGAAACGATGCTAGTGTTTGTACATGACATCCCTTTCCGAAATGATTGATGTTTAATGATAAATTACATGAAGAAGAGAATTATGTAAGATAAAATATTGGGAATTCAATAACACATGTTTCTGTGGTTAGTATTGGCCTGTAGCACCTGTTGATTTTAATAACTCTTCAATTCCCATTGAAGTTGTTGTTCATAGCACCTGTTTATGGAAAGAGAAGGCCAGATTTTTTGCCGTCAGACAACCTACAAGAAAGTCAAACAACACAAGATCTGGTGTCTCAACGAAAGAAGTTATTGTCAGACAAATCGTTTGAATCGAGAGAAACCCGTCTTGCAAATATAGTGAAGCGTCCCTTGAAGTCAATTTCAAAGGTAATCTTTTTCCCTGAAGAGTGTGGACAGGATTCTATATGGCGAGGTATTTGATATCGAAGACCTTGCAGACGTCGGATCGGAATCTAGGACCAAGGGAGTGTGTTCTTATTCTGGGATGGCGATCAGGTGTTCAAGAGATGATTCGAGAGTATGACAATTATCTCGGTCCTGGCAGCATACTGGCACGTCCCACTTCCTTGTCATTTTCTCTTAAACGTGGATTAGCTTACAATATCCATGTACATTGTATGTTATCTTCATCTAATCTTAGAGAAAAAAAGATGCCATCGGCGTCTTTTATGAAAATGATTCTGGAACCTCTTGGAACGTTTTTCCCAGTATTTTCACCATTTTTTTGATATTAGTAAGTAGTAAATTTATCTTTTAATTAATCTACTCCTAGAAGCCAGTTTTCAAAACAAAAAAAAAAAAAAAAAAATCGCCGCAGTTTTTTTAGATAAATTATTTTCATCATTATCCAAAATTTGCATATGATAACTTGGACCTTGCATTTCTTCTGATGTTGAGGAACTTAATTTCAGGGCAAATTGCATTGAATTTTCCAATGTTTTTCATTAGGCCGACTCTGTTCATGCACATTTGGTCAATAAACATAAGTCGTATTTTTTCAAATTTTCATGAAATGCCACTTCATATATTATGATCCAGTCATTAGATAGTTTCTACTGTCTTGAGATATTGGATGTCTGGTTAGTTTTTATTACTGTCTAGAAAATGATAATTCATCATAACTGAACTCTTAGGCAGATAGCACATATACCCTACAGATTTGAACCTCTTTAATGGGAATAAGACATGTTACAATGTGCACCTGACTGGTTTCAATTGATGTGTACTTCAATTTCCTACGTGGGTTGGTTGTCAGTCTGTAAAACTCAGCACTCAGCTGCTCAGCTACGTTCTAGAGATAAAACCCCATCATAATTCTTTCCAATACCGCTACCAGCATCTTAATAAGTTGAAACTTTGATGTTACTCCTTGGTTTCATCTCATTTTCATTGTGTATCTGACTGTTCCAAATGTCTTTTTGCAGCAAGTACTATCCGTAGCTCCTATTGCTGAGAGGATAAGCTCAGAAAGCTCTCCCATACAAAATGAACTGAAACATATTAAGGTTTTGCATAAGGTCAATTTCTATGCCTAGTTGTTGAACTAACCGATATACAACCTATCTGAGCGATTTGTTTTCATTTACCTGTACTTCAATCTTATCTAGTCCTTAGTCGATCTCTCATGAGAAAATTCATGCATTTCAGGTTGGGAACCCAATGAACTATCACGACCTAAAGGAAGCAATATTGAATATCCGAATGTCCATGAAGGGTGCCCAAGATGTCCCTTTGACAATAGCGATAATATCCGACGATGAATGGCTTGTTGGAGGTAAAAACATATGAAACCAGTAATGCTAGAAGTGTTTTTTTCTATGACGTATACTTCTCTTCAGATCCCTCAAGAACGGACAAGCATTCGGCATATACACTTCTTCTTGCTGAAAGAATTTGCACTAAGCATGGGATTAAGGTTAGTGGCATAATAAATTTAAATAATTTATTATTTACTCCATACTTATAATTTTCTTTGCTTCCGAATCCTCAAAGAATCCACACTCATCATCTTGGATGGATGTTCATAGTTAACCCATGATCTCAAATCACTAGAAGGGTTGAAGATCACTGTTGACAGTGGCCATTAATAGTAGAATGGCTTGCGACTGTCTGGATGACTAGGACTGTGATTGTAATCATCTAGAAGAGTAATTGTTTCTAATCCTTGAAAGTAATGATAATGCCTATCCAACTGATTTACTCCCATGAACGTTGACGTTGCCCCCTTGTCCTTGCCTATCGTGACAAGCTGAGTATTATATCCATGATAGTTACCTTATTAGAGTAGATGATGAGAGATGTTTTTTCCTTTCTAGTTATTTTTTGGTTTTCTTTTATAATAACATAGTGCAAAAGAGGTGAGTCAATGCAGTAAAGATTAGGAGATGGATATGGTGCACCGTTTTAATGCTTATTATTATATTTATCAACTCTAGAATAATCGTTCTTCAACTTCATAAGTGGAAATAAGAAAATTCAACCTTATCTTATACAGTTCATGCATCTTTCTCCCACGGAAAACCTTTGAGCACTTGCAAGGCCCTAATTCCATGTCCACCACCATAATCTTCTTAGTCCTGCCGTTGTCTGCTGGAATTCTCACATTACCCTTTCTACTAGCACCAAATGAAGAGAGTTGATCAAGAACACAGAACTGGTTTCATCAAAGTTTCCATTGATCCGTTTCTACATTTACTCCCTTTTAAGAGAGCTGTGTGACAAGCATTGTGAATGATGTGGTTGACCTAGATAGCACATGCTGAAATTATAAAGATAAGCTCGTAATTTGGTCCTAAATCCACCTAAATTCTCATTTACTTCTTCTTATATCACCTGGCACATATCCTATCCTTATCCGATATAAGATTGGACTTGTGGTTGTCCTCTGTTCACGCCATTGGCTGGAGGCCTTGTCCTAATCATATCAACCACTTCTGTTTCCTATATCATTTTCTTGATCTCAATGTCTCAAAAGAGGATGGGAGTATTCAACAGTAGCTATCATTTGGTTTCTATTAAAATTTGTCTTTCCCTTGGTACTTTGACCATGCTCCATGGTGAGGCCCCTAGTTTCCATTTTAAGCCATTTGTCTTCTTTGTTTGTTTGTTTGTTTTTTTGTTGCAAAGGTACTAGTCTTGCTCAAATCCATCGTTATCCTTTTCTAGATGTTTCTATGTAAAAGAGTGAGGGTGTTTTTGAAAATTTATCTAAGTTTCCTTCCTATATTAAAGGGTGTAAGAGTTGAATGGAAATTGAGGCGATTTCCGCACTGAGGTTGTCGTTTGGATCATATGATGTACCTATTTGGGTCAGACATTTGGAGAAATAAGTAAAACCTTGGAAATCGTTCTTGAGGAACTCCTCCAACATCTTCACTATGAAGTTGTCAAGTTTTCTCATTTCTATAGACTGGGATTTAATAATGTCTGGCATGTTTCAGTGCTTTTGCATCATCATGATTAGCCTCCATCAAAACTTGTGAGTTTTCTCTTTACAATACAAGTAGACGAACTATACATCATATGATGATGACTCTATATTGGAAACATGCTTCTTGCAGGTGGCGAACATGGTTGCTGAAATCGTAGATACCAAACTAGGCAAACGAGTAACTATACCATTCCTTCCTTCCTCCAAGCTCATTTAGAAAGTTACTACCCAGTTTTGGGATTGTATTGATCATGATTTCCTGACTCTGCAGATTAGTAGAATCAAGCCATCGCTCTCATTCATTGGTTCAGAGGAACTAATGAGTCTCGTGACCGCCCAAGGTCTGCTACCACTATCTTCACCAAGAACATGCAATCTTTCATTAGTCACTCTCGCTATTTACGCATTTCTATTAAATGACAGTTGCTGAGAATTGTGAGCTGAACAAGGTGTGGACTGATATTCTTAATGCCGAAGGAGACGAAATATATGTTAAGGTGAGTATCTAGATTCAAGCAACTGAAGTAATCAGTGAGGTTATAATTTCCTCTTAAAAATGCTGTGTACTCTGTAGCTCATCATCTAGGGTTTTCGTTGACTTGATGGCTACATTGATTTCATAGGATATCGGGCTCTACATGACGGAAGGAGAGACCCCATCCTTCTATGAGCTTTCTGAGAGGGCGGTCTTGCGCCGTGAAGTCGCCATTGGCTATGTAAAAGATAACAGGAAGGTAACCTTACTAAATTTCCATGATCTTCTTCTTCACCATATGCATACAACTATATCTACTCTAAAAATACCTCATTTTACACTGCCTTGGCAGGTTATAAACCCCCAAAACAAGCTGGAGCCTCTTAATCTTGAGATGAGTGATTCCCTTGTAGTGATATCTGAGCTTGAAGGTAGCTCGACGACCGCCATTTAAGTATGCATGTGTTTATCAATGATCCCTTCATCTGGATGACTCGTGCAACACGAATTATTGTACCGATGATATAATTTAGAAAAACATTGTTCACTATTATTAGCATGAAATATTCTCTTAGAGAAATATAAAAAACTTGTGCGAATTTATTGGGAAGGAAATATTATTAACATGGCTTCGGATTATTTCAGACAAGCATAACCTCTTTCTGATGTAACATGTGCCAATTATCTCTGATCTTGGTTATTATTGCATGGTTTGATAAGGATCTTACCAACAAATATAAGTGCATCTAGTCCAAATATAAGATTTCCAAACAGACGGTACATAGCACCGTAGAACCATACCTGAGAATTAGCATTTGATCTCTGGGAGGGACCATTGTTCTCCTACTAATACTATTACTACTACTGTTAACTCCTCTCCTCTGTCCAACTGGGTACGAACTGCAAGAAGACCGTGGGAGAGAAGAGCAACAGAAATCAAGGTAGAGCAACGAATTACCAGAGATCACAGCTAGCCGTAGGCATCGAGATGGGCCCTTAAGAACTGGACCAACTCGTTCTCCACGAAGAAGGTTTTCTGGGGGAAGAGATGTGCGGTGTCCTTATTCACCAAAAGAGGGGACGTTCCTCGTGGATGTCCTCTTGCACAGCATCTTCACCCTACCATTCGCGTCCTGTGCTGGAAGGAGACTCTTCTTTATGGAAAACTCGATGCACTGGTCTAGCATGTAATCATTGAATGGTGGTGTCACTGCGGATTCTGCCACAGTGTCAGCGGCACCGGCCTTCTCTACTGAACCAAACTGTTTTCCCAGAGAGCCGTGGTTGACCTCTGGTGAATCTGCCTCAAGATCGCAGATGTCAATGAAGGGAGTCGGAACGATACTGCTTCTAGATTGAGCGGAACGGCGACCTCTCTTCAGGGTCCTATCAATATCCTCAGTACTGAGCACATGGTCAGGTTCCAGGCCGGCAAGCCGTTTTGATGCACGCCGCATCATGAGAGCCAGCTCCCCTGATTTGGCTCCAGACCTGCTGCTGCACTGAGCAAGTTCTCCATCTGGATCATCCTCGCGACTTCTTTTTGATTCCCGACCTTCTGAGATCAGAACTTGGGCCCATTTACCATGATATTATTAAAAACAAGAAAAAGAAGTCCACCTGGCAGGAGCAGGGTTCAAGACTTTACTGCGAGGTGCAGCCTCGGGAGGACGGGTGGGTAAGCTGGGTTCCAGGCCAGCAAGCCGCTTTGATGCACGCCGTGTGGCGAGAGCCAGCTGCTCTGATTCAGCTCCAGACGTGCTGCGATGAGCGAGTTCTCCATCTGTATTATCCTCGTGACTTCTTTTTGATCCCTGACCTTCTGAGATCAGAAGTTGGGCCGTTGACCACGAATTTATTAAAAAAAAGAAATGAAGTCTACCTGGCTAGAGCAGGGTTCAAAACTTTACTACGAGGAGTGGCCTCAGCAGGAAGGGTGAACAAGCTGGGTTCCAGGCCAGCAAGCCGCTTTGATGTACGCCGTGTCACGACAGCCAGCTGCTCTGATTCGGCTCCACACCTGGTGCGATGAGCGAGTTCTCCACCTGGATCATCCTCGTGGCTTTTTTTGGATCCCCGACCTTCTGAGATCAGAAGTTGGGCCATTGGCCACGAATTTATTAAAAAAAAAGAAATGAACTCCGCCTGGCAAGAGCAGGGTTCAAGACTTTACTACGAGGTGCGGCCTCGGCAGGAGTTGGGGTGGGTAAGCTCTCTATAATCAACACGTCATCCTCTTCTTCTGTCCTTCCGCGTGGCTTCTGCGCTTGTCCTGAAAATAGGCACCGCCTCTCTCTGCTCCCTTCATTCAACTTCTTTGCTGAAATAGGAGGCTGGAGGAGAGCAAGGGTAAGGAGATAACGACCAAGGGAACCAAGAGTGCGACCCTGGAGAAACGACATGGCTCGTGCAGGATCCAAGGAGTAGTCTTGCCCATAAGTCAAAATTGCAGCTAAAATAGGTGAACAGAATTCTAAGCTTCTTTTCTCTTGGATTGTTAAAAAGTGTATGGGGCGGAAAAACTTCTAAACTCATTCAGACTGGATTCCCAGGGATAGACTCAGATGATCGCCAAAAGATAAAAAAGGGTGTGTACCAAAATGACAGGATTATTACTCATGAACACACATGAGGCCCACTTTCTACGGAGTAGTTATAATTGAGACTTTTTTTCTCTTGGATTTATCGGCATGTTGGCTGATAGCTGCCTTCTAGTGTGATGTTACATAGAGAAATCATCATGCAAAAAGAGGGTCACCAAGGTGGAAGTGCCCCCAATGAAGAAAAAGATGGTGACGTAAGTCAAAAGTTATACGGCAGAAGTGCTGAACTTTTTTGAGGCTGACTCAGCTGTGCATTTAAAACCCACAAGAGGCAGGAGCAAGAGATAACTCCATTGAGCAGTAGCGAGTTGAGTGGCATTTGCATCATAGCTCTCGTCAGTTGAAGAAATGCTACAGATTTTTGGCAGCACAAATGGTCAATCAAACTATTCATAGATGCCAAACCTGAACATGACGGACAAAGAAGTGATCAAGAAAAGGTGAAATTAGTGAATACCGGATCTTTTCCAAGCTTTGACGCATTCCCTCTATACTTCACTTCTTCGATACAGCTAGAAGGCAGTCCGTCTGGATAGTTCTCCACTATGGCCTGAAGCTTCAAGTAGAGAATGAAGAAATCAGAAGATCTTAACATTGATTGGCAATACAATCTCTCTGTGGATGCGTGATAAAGAATGTATAAGAGAATCTGTAACAAAAAGAGATGCAAGAGATCTAAAATGGCATACATCATCTCTGAAATCAACAGAGATGCTTTTCTGATCTGATGCAAACTTGCAGAGGTGTTTCTCTTCAGGCTTGACACCAGGGGGTTTCTTCTTTTTTGTTGTGAACTTGCAGCTTTCTTCACCATTTAGGTGGCGGAATACTTCTGCCTTGGAATAGTGTCTACATCCAGTGAATGGATCAAAATAGCACTGCATGAAAAAGAAAGGGTCTAAAATCAGAATCAATTCTTAATAAAGTCATGGTAAATGTTATCAACAAAAATATCCAGAAAAAATGCAGAGTATTCGGGATCAAAGAATCCTTATCGAGACCACACAATCCTGGAATTCGGTCATAGATAGCTAGAGCTTCACCACTCATTTTAGCAGTTCCATCAGAAAACAATCCGCTGAACATTGTACTCAGTTCGATTATCAAAAGATACATCCAAGAAGTCAAGTCAAATTGAAAAAGCACCCGCTAATTCAAACAGAGGAAGATGTGAACATATACTCGATCCACAATTAGCACATACTCGAGTAAGTATGAATACATTCATGGGATACTTCAACATCATTGTATTCCTATTTCGTAAATAAAACTAGAACTCTACAATTAACACGCAGAAAAAATGTAGGACAACGTGAAAGTTTCAGAAATGCGAGATAATCATATGTTGAATGCTTTTAAGAACAGTATGAATCAAGCATAGTGAAAAGAAGTCCCGAAAAAGCTGATTCAAAAGCTCGAGAACTTGATGAGAAGATGGATCAAAAACGTAATTCTGAAAATCAAAAGGCAGCCAAAAATGTTGCAGTCATTGAAATCCATGACAAACAAGAAGTGAGCCATACACAAGTAGTTCATAGATTCATTAGGCAGCTCAACATCCAAACGAACACAAAATCAAGAAGGATTCATTTCCATTCTAGCAAAGGAAAATTTCTAACTGAGAGAGATTGCTGCATGGTCAAGAAGAAAAAATCTACCAGCCTTATGTACTAAAAATTGCCTAAAAGTTTAACAGGTGACATTAAAGCTGGGCATATAAAATTTGTGTAAATTGTTAAGAAATTTACCAAGGTCTTTTGATTGAGTTTACACATCCACAACCACTAACAATAGCCAAAAGGACATTTAGCCATAAATTTCATGCAAATAGAAAAAAAACATAAAATGAATGTGGTTCGCGTTGACCACCATGTAAAGTCACAACACCTTGTACTTCTTTCCAGCTTTTGTACCACTCTTGCGGGTTTTGATTTCTAAAATCCATCCAGAAGGCAGCCATATTGGTGAGATCTGATTCCCCACTACGTCCTAAATTGATAAATAAATAATAAATTAATGTCACGAACTTCATTTTAAAAAACATAAAATAAAGAGAGTATCAAGAAACGAAAGACTTACACTGCGTTTAGCTTCCTCACAGATGGTCTTTACAGCCTCAATGGCGTCAGAACTTTCAAAGTTAAGATAGTGCAAAACCTCATCTCTAGATCTGAAGGTGCGTCTGGACACTGGTGAGACATAAGACTGAAAAGAAAGTGCTGATATTTAGCATGATTACTCCCAAGATTCAAGAAGAAAAATAAAATATCAGACATTCATAGAATCCACTGATAAATTTGACCAAATATTTGATGTTCTATACAAAAAAAAATTGCAAATGGTGATGCAAGTGGAACTTGGCTGCCAATTTATCAATTAATCTTGCAACACAACTGGTTCAGGTTATGTACACGTGTACAAACTTAATACTCAAGTGCATAATCCGAAACCCTAGGTGTGGAAACAGAGCAAACTGGGCTGAAGTGTATAATAGGAAATGAGACTGTAATCAGATCATAGGTTATTCCTAACTAAGTATAAGTTCTTCAATCCTCGTCCTCGTCTGCTGTTTCTACTCTAGGAAAAGAAGCTTCCAAGTGCATAACTCTCACTTGTCAACTATTCTCCACATACAGATATTTCGAGTTCGCTTGTGTAAGGCAAGAATTATCAGCGGAATTGAAATAATGATTCTGTACAAGTCAAGTGATCTCAGACGTTAGGTGGAACCACACGGAGTACAACTCTAAATAAAAAAATCAGGGAATGGTGTTCCCTGGCACTTGGAATTCGTTGGAAGTAGACAGATGCGTTTTCAACACTATGACACAAGTTTAGCGTATGACTCAACTAGGATTCAAGATGGACAGGACAGAGCGATAGCATCGACTGCCGCTGGGTAAGCATTGGAACAAAGACGGTGCTTCTCTCCATTTCCCCTTTAAATTTCTTCGTATTTCCCCAACTGGAAACCAACGGCGAAAGCGCCAAAAATAAAATGCCTAGAGATTCCTGTGGGTAGGGCCACAGCTCCCTCATCCTCAGAGTTAAGGACACCTAAGCATAGAGAATAAGAACACGGAGACAGACCGCGGATACCTCCCTCAGATGAGAAGTTAGTGATTACCAGATCAACAATTCCGTCCTTGCGACTTACAGTCTTCATGATCCAGCCGTCCGGCAGCCACTCCGGAAGCTCAGGCGACGCTACGCCGTTGTCCATCTGGCCCCGAGTCGACACCCGATCGGGCGATCCCGAGCCAATCTTCAACGAACGTAATACCACCTTTCTCCGCCTTTCTGAGTCTCCTGCGCTCCTTTCTCAGCAACCCCGCTGAGAGCGCCACCACAGAACGCGCGTACCAACGAGCCCCACCAAGATCCGCGATGATGAGCATCTGCCGAACAACAGGCAGTTCAGAGTTCAGAGAGATAAACCCTGCGAAGCCTCGATTCTATTGAATGCTCCCCTGTCGTCCACCACCCGCGCTTGCGTTTATTACATACAAAACGTTAACCTCGTTCCGACTAATTAACCTTAAAACCTCGATTTAAAACAAATGCCATTAAATGCTCCTCCATTTTAGGAAACGCTTCCCGCCGTCGGTCTGCCAACGGTCATCAGTAGGCCTTGGCAGTCCAGAACATCACAACCATTCAGTTTCCATCGGACGGTTTGCAGGGAAGCGAGTTCCCGAGGGAAATGATGGCCCCTATGCACCCAATCCTCTGAGGCCCGGCAATGCGGCGGGTATCCATCAGTATCTTGGACACGACGGCGGAGCTATGTCGTTGGCGGCGACCCTGCCTCATCCACAGCCTCAAGATGGAGGTACGAGCAGGGGGAGACGGCAGTGGCGTCACTGCATTGCAAGAAGATCGCAGAGGTGTAGATGAGAAGAGGGGTTAGAGGTTTTCTCCCGGCAGCCCTCCCCTCGTCCTTCCTTTTCCGCCTCCTATCGCGGCAGCGATGGCACGCTCGAGTGCCGCCGCAAAAGAGAGGAGGCCCTACTCCTTCAAGGTCTTTATGTCCGACTGCAGCTCCAAGCGACTGGCACGTCCTCTCTCTCTCTCTCCCTCCTCGATCCTGCTCTTTCTCATTGGAAGGGTTTATGGAAGGGCGACGGTGGCGGCTTCAGACGATTCTCTTCCGGCTTCTAGTTTTCCTTTGGAAGTGATGGAAACCTCTAGGCTTGACTGGATAATGAGATTCCTCGTCCCTGTTCGTTTACTTCTTTCTACTCTCTGTCTCTCTCTCGTAGGCGATCCCTTCTGATTTCTGCGAGCACATCGAGCCGAACATAAATCGCCGCATCTATCCATCAGTCTCTTCGATGGTCTGTAAAGAAAATTTACCCTATTAAAAATAAAATTAAATATTGGATATTCGGTGAGATCCACGCCATCTCACACGAACCTACACGCCCGGATTGGTCATTAGAACAGCCCCTGATATCAACATACCCAATAGAAATGTGGATTCCTATAGGCAAAGAAATCAGTACAAATTTTAATTACGAGGTCTACATGCTGGACGTATAATCCTGGTAATTTGGTTGTGTTGGAAGAGAAGCTCTGAAATGGGCCTCTCGCTGACTGGTATGCACTTGACCACCCAGGCGATGGGCCACGAGAGAAGTCCTATCCCAAGGCAGAAGGCCCACTCGCCCCAGTTTAGCCTCTGGGTGCCCGCAAATCTCTTCATGAACTCCACCATCACCACCTGCAGGATCAGCGTGAATGCTACGATGCCCAGGAAGAGCCTGCTCTTGAGGATGCCCTCGAAGACGTTCTTCTTCTCCAGCCTCCTGGCGTTGAACTCGTTGAAGATCTGGCAGAGGACGAAGGTGTTGAAGATGAGGGTGTTCTTCACCTTGTCGCTGACCCCGAAGATGGATTTCCCCCTGAACTGGAGGAGGAGAAGGACGGCGATCTGAAAGAGGGCCTGGGCTAGGAGGTTTCGCCACATGATGTTGGTGATCAGAGGGGCGGTCCGGCCGACGGGGGGCTTTCCAGCGAGCTCCCTGGTGGGGCGCTCCGTGGCCAGGGCGAGGGCTCCGAGGGTGTCCATGATGAGGTTCACCCAGAGGAGCTGGACGGTCGTCAGGGGGACCTCGCCGGAGGAGACCGCGGCGACGAAGTTGATGACCAGGGCGGCGACGTTCACCGTCAGCTGGAACTGGATGAACTTCTGGATGTTGCTGTAGACGCACCGGCCCCACATGAGGACCGTTGCGACGGAGGCGAAGTTGTCGTCGAGGACGACGATGTCGGCGCTCTGCTTGGCGACCTCGGTGCCCTGGACTCCCATGGCGAGGCCCACGTCGGCTTCCTTCAGGGCGGGGGCGTCGTTCGTCCCGTCCCCGGTGACGGCGACGACGTGGTTTTTCCTTTTCAGGCACTGCACCATCAGGAGTTTGTCGAAAGGGGAGGACCTCGCCATGACGCGGACGCCGTCGATCGCCGCCATCCTCTTCTCCGGCGAGTATCCCCGGAAGGTTTCCCCTTCTATCACCGCCCCCTCTGCATCTTCGTCTTCCGCCTGCAGGATCCCGCATTCAAAGGCGATGGCTTTGGCTGTAAAGACGTTGTCTCCGGTGATCATCTTCACGGCGACTCCGGCCTCCCTGCAGGCGGCTACGGCCTCCCTTGCCCCAGGGCGGCATGGGTCCTTCAGGCCTAGCAGGCCCAGCAAAGTCAGCTCGTCTTCCTCGAGCTTCCCGCTGCTGCTGCCGCCGCCGTCGTCGTCTTCTCTGCTGCCGTCGAGTTTCAGGGGTTTGACGGCGAGAGCGATGCATCTGAGGCTTGCTGCCGCCATTCCTTCGATTGTCTTCTCCATTTGGGCTCTTCTGCCTGCGTCCAGCTCGCTCTGGGTGCCGTCGGAGTCGTAGCAGTAGGAGCAAGCGGCGAGGATCATCTCGGCGGCGCCCTTCCAGTGCACGAAGGTCGTCTTCCCATCCTCCCTGCTCCTCACCAGGGCGCCGCTGCGTTTCTTGTCTGAGTTGAAGGCTTCCACGGCGAGGATCTCCCAATGTCGCCGCAGCGCCACGTCGTCCATGCGCAGCTCCCTCGTAGCCCAAGCGAGGATGGCCTTCTCCGTCGGGCTGCCGGAGAACTCCGGCTCGGCGGAGGAGTCCGCCGCCCGGAAGACACTGCCAGTGGTGTTCAGGGCGACCCCCTGGCGCAGGAGTTCGAGCAGGCCATGGCCGACACCGGTGAGATCGCCTCCCATCTCCTGTTGGCCTATCCAGACCTTGGTGACCTGCATCTGGTTCAACGTCAGGGTGCCCGTTTTGTCTGTGCAGACAGCAGTGACGGCGCCCATGGTCTCGCAGGCGGGGAGCTTCCTGACCATGGCCTTGTCTGCCATCATCCTCTTCATGGAGTAGGCGAGGGTGAGGGTCACCGCCAGTGGCAGCCCCTCGGGGATGGCGACCACCACGATGGTGACGGCATCGGAGACGATGCCCACCAGGGCGTTGGTCACGGTGTCGAAGGTGGCGCTCCGGCGATCGAACCTTGGCCGGCGGCCCTCGCTGGCGTTGGTGCTGCCGGTGAAGTAGCGGGCGAGGAGGACGGCGAGGACGATGGCCGCCACCGCCGTGCCGATCTTGCCTATGGCGGCGGTGAGCCTCTGGAGTCGCTCCTGCAGCGGCGTGGGCTCGCCGGCATCGCGGCTGATGGAGCTCATCATCTCCCCCCAGGTGGTGTCCATGCCGACGGCGGTCGCGAGCATTCGGCCGTACCCGTCGGCGACCTTCGTGCCGGAGGTGAGGAAGGGCCTCCGGCGGCCGTCCACGGCGACATGGTCGCTCTCCCCTGTCATGCTGGACTCGTCCACCTGCAGGGAGTTACCGTCGAGGAAGAGCCCGTCGGCGGGGACCTGGTCCCCAATGCTGAGGCAGACGATGTCGCCCACCACGACGTCGGAGATGGAGACCTCCCGCCGCCGGCCGTCCCGGACGACGCTGACCCGGATGTTGCTGCCACACTCCTCGGAAAGCCTGAAGAAGCGCCGCGCCTGCCGGAAGTTGCTGCAGGCGGAGACGAGGACGACCAGGAAGACGGCCAGGAAGATGCTCGCGCCGTCGTACCAGCCTTCCCTCACGCCGTGCTCCTTGATGCCGAACCCTAATGAGAGAGCGGCGCAGGCCAGGAGGATGAGGAGCATGGTGTCCCTCAGGGCTTCCCAGGCGAAGGACAGGAAGCTCCTCGCCGGCGGCCTCTCGTAGACATTCGACCCGAACAGCCGGCGCCGGAGCCGAAGACCGGCGTCGTCGCCGTCAACACCGCCCTCCCAGTCCGCCGCCAGCGACGAGGTGACCCCTTCGACACCCCCGAGCTCCCGGAGGCCGTCGTGGCTCTTCCCCTTGACGACCTCCGTCAGTTGCTTCACATCGACGAGCAAGAGCTTCCGCTCCAGAACCGCCTCGTCGGAGCTGCCCCCGCCCCCGCCGACGTCGACGTCGAGGGCAACGTGTTTTGTGCTCCGGCGGAGGGTCCCGGCCACTCCCTTCCCCGCGAGCGAGGCGAGAGCCCTGAGAGAATAGACAGCAGCAAAGCCAGTGTGCCAACGCCTGAGCGGCTTGGTGGCGGCGGGCAGGGCGGAGAGCCCCCTCCGGAGGAGAACCCTGCAGGAGTAGACAGCGGTGAAGGCGCCGCGCCACCGCCGGCGCGACTTTCCGAGCGGGCGGGAGACGGAGAGAAGGAAAAAGGAGGCCGGGGAAGCGTCCGTGCCCATGGCTGCCCTCGCCGTGGACGACGACGTGCTCAAGTGAATGGGTGGTCTTCGACGCTTCGCTGATAGAGTTGCCGGTGCAGCGGCGTGTTCGTCGGAAGGACACCTGCGTCGGGGTTCTTGTAGTACACGGGGGACGCGTAAGCGGTGACGCGGTTCCGCCGCGTAGCTAAAAAGAGGTGCATCATGAAGCTTAGATGCGAAGAAATGGTGGGAAGTGGGCGAAGAAATAGAGGCGCATCTTCTTAGATGCGAAGAAGAAGTTATCAACTGCCCATCAAAAAAATTTAATCGATTCTAGGCTAGTAAGAAGGGACCAGCAGCGAGAGAGAGATTCGTCTGTGATTCGACATTAAAGAGTACAAAATAAATGGTATATATGTCTATAGAGATCTATAAATAGAAAGAGAGGAGAGAGAGAGAGAGAGGGACAGAACCTGCGTGAGGACAAACGCCTGTTGACGAGGGTAACCATCTAGACGGCTGAGTGCGTGACCCCACGCCATCATACTACAACCTCGTCATCAACTTGCCGAAAGTTGTATTTTCAAATCAAATAACTTGATAATTTTTCTATTAGTCTTTATTGACATCATTCTAGGCATGTATTTGATAAAAGGGTGCCACCAGACTAAGTTATATTTAGATGACTGGATAATTTCCTTCTTAAAAGCATCCAAGAAAGTAGCCTTCACCGTGGAGCCATTGAAACCCAGCACAACTTAAACTTCAAATGTTGGTAAATTCTCTATATAAAGGCGAAGCTTATTTCGAATTATTCAAACTCAATCCCATTAAGTAGGAGGAGTCCTTAAGACACTTGACCACCCACCAAGTTATAACAACATTTTTCACATGTGTTCATAGATATCACCGGCCTTTCATTAATTTGCAGTCAAGAACATCGAATTATACTGAAATCAAGGAATAAGACCATCTAATTAAGATCGTTCTAATACCCCCACTTTCAAAAGATGAAACTTGAGAAATAGGTGACCGAAATAATTTGTATAGGTTGTAGCAGCCTTGTGCATAAAAAACATGTTGCTAGCTTTCAATATGGTGCATGTGAGGGGCCCAACCTTGTTGCACACCATTATAGAGGAAGATGATTATATAGGACAATGTGGAGAAGGTTGTCAAGTTCTTGACATTAAGGACCCCAAAGTCACCCTTCTCTTGAATAGTTCTACATCCTCGTTTCCTCTTTCCTCTTTCTCTATGTTGGTCCATATGCACTTATTTCAATAACTTCAAATTGTAAAAATACTTGGCTTCAAGAATCTTCAACATTTAAAAGTAGTTGAACCTTGACTATTGTCACTACTATCAAGACAATGATATCCCCATTGTGACATCTACATTGGTGCATATAGTCAGCTATAGGAGCTTGTCATTTGGACCAAGCGATGGTAATGACGATAGAGGTCAAATTCTTGTTTATGTTCCTCTTATAATCACTTTTACCAAAAAAAAGTCTTCATAAATTGTAATAGGCTATTTTTCTCCTTCATCTTAATCACTTGAACAATACCCTTAGAGTTTTCCTTAGAATCTTCAACACACAATAGAGTTCTTAACCTAGTATGTATTAGAGGTTGAGGTATTAGATTTAGTTCGTTTCATTTGATTTATTGTGACTATTTATACGGAAATAATTTATTTTTTCAAGCAAACAATAGGTAACCACAACATAGCAAGGTTAATGAGTAAATCGACAAAAGCAATATTAAGTTCCACTTAAGTCAACAATGGTGAGTGATGTTCTTTTGTGCCCCAAGTGGACTTGCTCTCAACAATGTCTTTAAGGTTCTTTATATTATAAAAGTTTTCTCAAATAGGTTATTTCCAATATCTTAAGATTTCAACATCTCTTCACCATCAATCTCTCTCTCTATTTCATTATGTCTTATTGTTAGCCTCAACATATACATCAAACCATCAACTTTAATAAATTACACACCATGCTCAAATACCTTCTATGTACCATAAGGACATGAATAATAAAATGAATAGACAGGATTAGACTTGAGAAAAAGATATAAATGTGATAAGAAGATACTTACACTATATGATTGTAATGAAATTACTATATGTAATAGAACTTCATAAATGTCAAAGTAAATGTGGTTATTAAGGTTCTAGGGAATCGTAGTTGAGGTTCATGATTCAAGATAGTAACTATATGATCATTAATGATGTTAAATTTAATATTAACTATAGTTTTTCTCAATACCGTACTAATATCTAATGGAGGGTCAAATATTTTTTTAGAGGTCACTTGATACTCTCTTGAATATTATTTTTGAACTCTATCATTCTATGATGACAAAAAGTATTTATTTTCACTAGTAGAGAGTTATAATTAATTTGTCTTCTACAATTAAAGTTGAAGAAGTTGACTTTGTTATTTGTAGTTATATTTTCTTATGAACACAAGGTTATGCATAGCATTATACTTCTTATTAGGACTTAAACACAATATAATCCAACAAGAGATTTATTCATTTTCTTCATCACCATTTGGGTTATATTTATTTATATTAAAATATTTAAGAATTTATTTCATTATTTTATATAGCATTGAGTTTCAAGTAGTTAGGTCAATTTACTTGCCAAATTTCATGATGGTTTAAGTTTTTAGTACCTTACATATCAAAATATGCAAGTAATGAGATGACAATCCCTATTTTTTTAAGAAACTTATGACTTTTATAGTTCCCCTAGTCAATAATATTTTTAAAAAAGTAAAACCTGACTTACTTACAAATGAACTTCATTCACATCACAATTGTTGTTGATTCCAATCAGTCAACTATCTATTACTTTGACATGAACATGTGACCTGATCATCTCAAGTGTTGTGTCTATCAAGATGGGTCTCTCTAGAAGATGAACACTCAAGTTATCTTTTGGGGCAGCCAAGTCTCACCAAGATATGTAACTTTGACTCTCAATTTGTAATGTGAATGTAAATTATTTTTGTTATCTTCTTCATATTATTTTAAAATTTATTAATTGGGGATATTTCACTAGAACTTGATGTAATCGTATTTGTATAGGTTGACATGAAGGAGCTTGGTGAAGCACTTCACTCTACAAAATAAATGCTAGAACCATTAGCCTCTTGGGTTAGATGTTTTCTCTCAACGGTGGCCACGTTCTTCCTTAAAAGCCGAGCAATAGTGCCTCATATTTTTAAAGAATATAAAAAACAAATGATGCTACTAAAAAGAAAAAGGAAATAATCTGCTTGCAGGTTGATGAGATGCAGAACGTTGGATCCGATCTAGCAAAGGTTGTATGCACGGAGAGCTTATTAATTGAAGAGTTGGAGACCTTTCGACTGGGGCACATAGCTTGGCCAGCTGACGCTGCCCCGCCGGTACCGCCTCCCCAACATCAAGGCCTTCACCGGCTGAAGCCATGGTCAACCTACGGCGTCACCTGGTACCGTCACGCTCACCCAGCTCAAGGAGACGACCGGACCTCTAATGACTGACGCTACAACTATGAAGGTACTATTTGCTAAAGTCTTTCTCGAAATGACAAAAAAAATAAAAATAAGCAATAAGTTCTTCCTACGTACGCAAAGTCATATGGGGCACAAAATTATACACGGCGCATAACCCTTGGATCATTGTTTCAGAATTATTCGATTGAAAAAATAACTAAAATTGAAACATATTACGTCTCTGTGTAAACGGTAAAATGGAAACTTGGGAGATGAACATCGGCCCGTTGCCAACCTGCTCTTCAAGATCAACACTGTTCACTCCCTCTCCTTCCTCTCCGACCTCAAGCTGGGGCAATAGATGAAAATCCCTCCCCGGTTCATGTTCACAGCCAAGGTAAGAATTAGCAGGGTCTCTCTCCTCCCCCAGGGCCCGACCCCCCCTCGCCTATCTCACCCTTCACCCTCGCCAGTGCAGGGGGACCATCGACGCCGGCACCGTCAACCTGACGGTGGCCTGGCGGATGCTGGGGAGCATCGATAATCTCTGCCCCAATTACAAGGTCATCTTTTATGCCTCCGTCATCCGGGGGCTCATCGGCAGCGTTCGCCTCTTCAGCCTCGATTGTCCGGACCGGAACCCGGTCTGGCTTTCCTCGCCGGCGCCCTTCTACGTCCCGGTGATCTCCTACGTCGTCGCCGGGATGTCACCGGCAAACTCCACCAACATCGCGAGCTGGCTCGTCATCGGCGCCTTCTTCAACTTCTTCGTCTTCCGCCACCAGAAGGGATGGTGGCAGCGCTACAACTACGTCCTTCTCCGCCACCCTGGGTACCGCCACCCTCGTTTCTCTGCAGAACGAGGGCCGGAGCCCGCGGTACCGGCGACCTGCCCCACGGTCCTCGGCGTCATGGGAGGGTCCCCCGTGGTCTAGGGTTCCGGTCCCCAGAGATCGGAGAGAAGCAAGTAAGGGTTCATCAACTTTGTGCTTGGAAAGTTTTGAAACCAGAGTCAAGGGGGGGGGGGGCTCAGTGCAGACCGCTTCCCCATTAGAACTGAAGTTCTTCTGCGGAATGGACATTTGGAGATTCTATACAGATTACGAATCCGTCTATGCAGGATTTGGTACAGGTAAGAAGATCATGGTGAAGATCTTATCAGAGCACTCTGTCTAAACCCCATTATCAGGCAAGATACTCTCATTAAGACAAAAGTATAGAAAATATTGACCTAAATCGTGCATAAAGTAAGATACCCACACACTTAGCATTGTTGTTCCATCCTGTAAAATCGAGGTCATATATAGACGACGTTAAGGTGAAAGATTTTATTTTTTTAGTAAAAAATATAAAGTATATAAAAATACTATTTACTTGGAGTTGATGATTTCTTAGCCTTCATATGATACAAAGGGTTTATCTATCATTTATTTTATCCATTAGTTTTAGTATTTTTTTTAATAATAGATTAATATGAATATCTTAAGTATTTCTAATTAAGTATTATAAGCAATAGTTTGAGCACCTAGATTTGGACCCTTTTTTTAGTATCAGTTTGAATACTCCCGTATTTTTACCTGACTTATTAAAATTAAAAATGTGCAAATGATTTAATTTTTTAGTCTTAGTTTAAGGTGAATTTGTTTGATTATTAGGCCTGATTTAAAAGAAATAATCGATCTAGTTATAGGGATCGGCAACTTAGATATAGATCTTCTAAATCCATGTTAAAAGGATATCGGACCCATTTAAACGGGGAAAATGGCGCATGAGTGGCCGCAGCCGCGACATCCGCCGTCCGCCGCCGTCTGCCGCCGATTCGTCCCCTCATCCGTAGCATGCACCAAATGCGGCGTTCTCCGACGATGATCCAGGTGAACCCCGCCCCCCTGCACGGTCTCAAGTAGTAGACCATCTTCCACGAAACACAGCACGGTTGAGCGGCGGCCTACGATCGATCATAGCTCGCCATCATTCACAGATCAAAATCAAACCGCAGCTATCTGTCTCTCTCTCTACACCATCTGTTTGATCGAGAGCAGATCTGCAAGAGATACGGTTGATCTTCCAAGGCACCATTGTTTGTCTCGACCTCACCTCACCCTCTGCCGGTCCCGTGTGAAAATGCCGAAGCTCGAGCGACGGGAGCCGGAGGAGACTGTGGGTGCGGCTGCGGATGGAGCTCGAGCCGCGGCAAGACCGCTCTCCCCGTCGTCGCTGATCCCTTGTGACAAGAGAGCCCGGTCGACGGAGCTCGTACGGGTTTCAGTCCCGAGAGCCATAGACGAGGGGTTCCTCCGTGAACTGGTGAGGAGGACGCGGGGGCTCTACGAGTCTCTCAGAGTGCTCCTGATCTGCGGCAAGGAGGTGGACGGCCTAGTTTCCAAGGGGAGGAGGCACCGCGCCGACCTCAAGGTCGCCACTTTCATGATGCAGAAAGGCCTCTGGATCAATAGGGGCAAGCAGATCGTCGGAACTCTTCCGGGGGTCCTCGTCGGGGACGTGTTCTTCTTCCGCGTGGAGCTCTGCATGATCGGGCTCCACGGCCAAGTCCAGGCAGGAATAGATTATCTGCCGGCCGGCCGGAGCCCCAGCGGCGAGCCTATCGCCACCAGCATCATCGTCTCCGGCGCGTACGAAGACAACGAGGACAGGGGGGACACCATCATCTACAGCGGCCACGGGGGGAGGGGCCGGAACGGGCAGAAGCAGTTCCATGATCAGAAACCCGCCGGCGGGAATCTCGCCATGGAGAAGAGCATGGCCTACGGAGTCGAGGTCCGCGTCATCCGCGGCCTGAAGTGCGACCAGAGCCCCAGCGGCAAGGTCTACGTCTATGATGGACTCTACAAAATCACAGACTGTTGGGCTGAGGCCGGCAAGTCTGGATTTGTAGTCTCCAAGTTCAGGCTTCTGAGAATCGAGAACCAGCCCAAGATGGGTTCTGCGGCCATCAAACTTGCCGAGGAGCTGAAGTCTGATATGTTGAGGGTGAGACCGGTGGGAACCCTCAGTCTGGACATCTCCGGCGGCACGGAGAACTTGCCGATTTCTCTGTTCAACGATGTCGACGGGGACGACTCCCCGCTTCGCTTCAAGTATCTCGTAAGGCCGGCTCACTCTCCAGCGCTGCTTCAGCAGGCTACCGACAGCGCAGCAGTTGGCGGCTGCCGGTGCGAGTGCGAATGCTCTGATGGTTGCGACTGCGCCGTGAGGAACGGCGGGGAGCTTCCTTACGACGCCAGTGGAGTTCTCCTCAGAGGTAGGCCTCTGGTGTACGAATGCGGCAGGTCTTGCAGCTGCCCGGAAACCTGCAGGAACCGTCTGACCCAGAGAGGGCTGAGGAGCCGGCTGGAGGTGTTCAGGACGAGGGAAATGGCATGGGGAGTGCGGCCACTGGAGCTGATCAGAGCCGGGGCCTTCGTCTGCGAATTCAGCGGCGTCGGGCTTACCAAGCGGCAGTCTGATTGGCTCTCCATGACAGGCGACAACATGATATATCCTAATCAGTTCCCTCCAAGGTGGGTGGAGTGGGGGGACATCTCGCGGGTCTGCCCCCAATACCTTCCTCCCGTGGCTCCTTCCCTCCCTCTGCTTGATTTCTCCATGGACGTCTCCACGTACAGGAACGTGGCCTGCTACCTCAGACACAGCCGCAGCCCCAACGTGTTTATGCAGTTCGTGGCGTATGGCCACTGCGTTCCCCCACATCCTCACCTCATGATCTTCGCAAGGGAAAGCATCCCTCCCCTAAGAGAGCTCAGCATTGACTACGGCATGGGACATCCGGAGATCATGAGCCAGGGGGAGTGCCCTGCCAAGGACAAGCACAGGCAACGGCAGAGGGAGTTCTCCGAGTCCTCTCGGCCGACGCCGACTTCGGGCTCGTCCACTCCGCGGACCGCAGAGCCATCTCCGCCGCAGTCCTCGACTATTGGACCCCTGCTCCGAGCGATCACCCGGTCTCCTCTCACTTGACGTTCGCATCCTAGCCCTGCAGGCAACGCTGACGCGTCCGGTAGTCAACCTCGACAAGCAAGACGGCGAGGGCCACACCGGAAATGGTGCAAGCTCAAGTATGCAACTCATGCCCGGACTTCAAATGTATTGCACGTTGAAGTCCATGGGGCTAAGAGTTTCATCACATGTTTATACAATACTTATCAGTTTAATTCGACTCAACTAACTCATTTGTTCTTATTTTTAGTTATTGTCATATCTAAAAGTTGACAATTCTTAGGCTTATGTCTTAATAATTATGGCCTATAACATCCATGTGTAAACGTGATGTGTACACATTGTGAGAGTTGACTATATGGACTTGATTCACCAGTTTTGGAACCCATGGGAGTCAAATGTGTTATTATTGCTTAAACATTGGAGCCCATGTTGTAGGTCACCCAAAATGGTAAATATAAGTCAGCACATAGAATCCATAAAGGTAAGTAATTATGTTCTTCCTAAGTATCTCTATATCTTATTTGTGTGTTCATTTGGTCCGCGACAAGGAACTTTCTAGAGATTCCAATACGTAGTGTGAGTGATATAATGACAACCTAAGAGCATTTGAACTACACAGGGTGGGGGCAGGGTCTTGCCTAAGAAAGGAAAATTCTAAGAGATTTCGTCACTTTTATCTTCCAATGTACCAATAGATCTCAAGATTACCTTCACTCAACCAACGAGTACTGGGTCTTCCAACCTGGTTGAACAGTAAGTACATGAGGGTTTTAGCTTATACTAGGTCAGCAACAGAAAGTAAATAAATTTCACTGGGAATTAATAGATGCAACTGTTTTGATCAATTTTCCATTCAAGTTCATCTGTTCAGTCAATGCTCTTATCCTCTCCACAATATGATGTTGGTCAGAAAGAGAGTTGATATCTGGCCTGAGCTTCCCATTTCTCTAAATAAAATATGGTTTTGCTTTCGGAATTATATGTACAATTACATATCAGTTTTTAAAAGACAATTTGTACTTGTCTCCTAGAGATCGTCACTCTTGTCGAGGATAGAACAACTATCCTTGATTAGGTGAAATTCTTGAGCTTCAAGTAAAGTTATGAGTTAAACATCCACGGTAAGGTGGGTAACCAGAAAGTCACATTTATGATTGATTGTGATGCCACCCATAAATTCATATCAACATAATTAATTGATGAATTGATATATTAACATCAAGACGTGTATGTTTAAATAAAAGCACATTTACCTAAGCTATTAAGTATCAACTGAAGGAGTGGCAATAGACCAAGGCAAGATCAAAGACATGCTCAAAAGGTCTACTCCAATCAACCTTCAAGAATAATGGGAGTCTTGGGACTCATAAGTTACTACAAGAGATTCGTCGCAAAATTCTGAGGCGCTGATATGGCCACTAATGCAGCAATGAAAGAAAGACGCCTTTGGTTAGGGTGAAGATGCATAGAGAGCATTCAAACAACTTAAATCCATCATGACCGCAATGTCCCTGTTGGCATTACTTGATTTCTTACAAGTCTTTGAAATAGGGGGTGTTACCTTGAGAACAAGGTAATAATCTATGGGGTGATCATAATCGGTGCAGTGATCATGGAGAATTGTCCACCTATAACCGATTTTAGTCAAAATAACTCGAAATTTATGAGCATGAATTGACAGCGACCATCCTAACTGTGCAGAAGTGACTACTAGGTCGACATTTTATTATTCACATAGATCACCAGCACGAGTCCCCTGCAGCTATCAAGCCAGAGCCCAGCCCCCTTTCATAACTAAGTATCAACCTGCCTGTACGTGCCCATCGATGACTCCTATGTACAGGTCCTCCCCCCAAGCAGAAGACACCTTGGACGGGTGGCTCCCGGAGACCCATCCCCTCTGTGCACCGATGCCATAACGCTCTTCTACCTTTCTCTTCTGTCCAGGCGAACAGAAGAAGAAATTGGTTGATAAATGTTATGTCTTCTCATGTTCTTGAGTAAACGTCTGGATTGTCAAAGGCCTTGCCCGATCCCTCTGATCTACTGGGTGGGTTAGGTTGCCATCATGCGATTCGGAGGAACGCAGGAAGAAAGCCGCCTCCGGCTGTGGGTGTTGGATGATCGAGTCAACACCGTTTCCTGCTCCCGAGGGAGGAAATCTCACTCAGGTTGTCTTGGTTACAAATCTCCACTGAATCAATCGACAACCGATTTCATATCAAATCCAGCGTCGTTCAATGAAAACAAAAACTCGGCCGCGGCGTCCAGGTGAGAGGGAGGGTTTATGGTTCCATACTGGAAGACGACGACGGAGAGCCCGCCGCCGCCGCAGATTGGGTCAGCGAGCGTCGACGCGCTGCCTCGTCTTGCTTTCCTTCTCTTCCACTGGGGATCTGGCCTCCCTTCACCACCTTCCATCGCTTTCCAAATCGCGGAGATCGGGGACGGCGCGCCATGGTGCGGGGAGACGAAGGAAGTTCCTCCCTCAGCGCAACCGGCGACAGCCAGGGATCCTCCGGCATCCACCGATTCGCCGGCGGCAGCGGCGGCCTTCGAGATCTCGAGGGATCTGGCTCGACTGAACGGGAAGCTTCTCAGCCTTTCAGAAACCGTTTGGGTTGCTGGGCTTCCTGCCGCATGGAGGACGAAGAGCAACCATCTTATATCCGTAGCTATCCAGCGTCATCCGCGTGGTGCCTTTTTCACTCCCCACCTGGTCCATTATTAAATGCTAATATTTTTTAGTTTCCTTCCTCGGATAGAGAGAGAGAAAGGACGGGGGCGTTAATTACAATTAATCTTTACTAGGGACTAAAAAGTAATAACGTTTGGTGATAAAGGTAAACTAAAGAGAGAAAGGAAATATAAAAATTACTTTAGTTTACGAGGAGGTAAAAGCAAATATCCTGAAATTTTTGGTCTAGTTCCCTGAGAGAGAGAGAGCTTTCACGCGTGCCACGTGCTCTGACAACCCTCTTTTCTCTCTCCACCCAGTCGGAAATTCTCTTTCTCTCTCTCAATCTATCTCTCTCTGCCAAACCTTATTTTTGCAGCCTAGCCCAAAATTGGAAAAGTGTAAGCTCCCTGTCCAAAATTAGGACAAAGGCCCAATAATTTGTGGACACTCTTTTGTCGCGTGACAGCGCTTGTGGAAGATCTCTCACAAGAGGAGTTGGGTTTACTCTTGGATTTTGTCAGTGCGAAAATAGGCCAAAAATTAATATTACGATGGGTCTCATAAGATTTGCTCGATAAAAAAATTAAATATATTTTTTTCCATTTTTCTAAAAAAATATTTTGGTGGATTTGAAGGCTACTGAAGCTAATTTTTTTAATCCTTAATCCTATTTGATTATAATTAATATTAATATACTATCTCCACATGAAAAAAGAGCACATGTTCACCATGTTAGTCGTTTCTCTCTCACTCTCTCCGGGACAACGAAAGAGACATTAAATTGAGAGAGAGAGAGAGAGAGAGAGAGAGAGAGAGAGAGAGAGAGAGAGAGAGAGAGAGAGAGAGAGAGCAATTAATTATTTATAGGGACTAAAAAAAATGGCCTTGGTAATGTAGGAAAAAAACTAAATATGTAAAAGCTACGTTAAGGGACGTGATGAGCAAGTCGTTTTCTTAAATATTGATATTTTTGGTTTCATTCCCTTATAGAGAAATAGAGAGGGGGGGAGAGAGAGAGAGAGAGAGAGAGGGGTTAATTACAATTAAATAATATTTTTAGGACGAAAAAAGGGCTGTTGGTCACATAGAAGTTAAACTAAAGATGTGAAGGGATTCTATAAATTATATTAGTTAATCGGGTCTTGGAGGCAAATAATCGGGGGGGGGGTGGGTTTGGTGGGGTAGGGGACAGTAGAGAACAGAACTTAGCTTTCTGTGTCAGGGCGGAAACGACAGGAGCTAGGCCCGATATTCAGTCCGGTCGCAGTCGTCAGATAACGTGGCTCTATAGTCGTCAGATTACGACAGCAGCCGTGTTGCTGTGGAGAGGAGAGCAAGGCTATCTGATGGGGGAATCTCCATTGGACAATTAGAAGGATGCAGGTTACGCCCGCTGACGCCGGGAGCTTGGAGTCTCGCTTTCCCGGAAGCTGATGGCTCGAAGACGGGTCGTGTAAAGAAAGATCACCCGGAATTGGCATCGCTGTGCTTGACGGCAATGCTCGGCATTCGACCTGGGGACGTCGTCCTGGTGATCGGTTGGAGTTCTGTAAGATAACTTTAAAGAAAGCGAGTGAAGTTAGTTTTTTTCTTCGCTGTGTTCCGAACGTCGAGGCTCGAGGAAGTAGCGAAGGAAGACGAAGAAGACTTCCGAGGCCGAAGATGACGAGGTCTGCTTGGGTGTTGTGCTCTTCAACCTCCCAGTGGAGTCCTGGCTTTTGGTCACGCACGTTCACAATGGCGCCACGCAGGTTATTTCCTGTTTTCCATTGCCATCTGGTAGCAGCTCTACAGTTGTTGCTCGTTTTTCGACTACTCGCTCTGATTTCCTCCCCATTTCATAATTTCCTGTTCTTGGGTGTTTGGATTTTGGTTCCACGGGGTTCGGGATGCGGCTCTCCTCTTTTTTCTTGTAAAATCTTGGATTTTCCGTAATTTTAATACCATTTGTGGTAGCAAGATTCCGAAGGTTTTCTAACGGAAGGTGGGAAGGAGGTGAATTGAAATGTGCAGGCAAAGATGGCAAAGGTTGTGTTGCCTCTATCAATTACAATTTTACCATCAATTCCCTCTCCTGTTCACGTAAAATGTTCTATCTGATGATGTAACTTAGAGACTTCGTTTTGGCATACGGAGACGCTTACATATTTTTTTTTCTTTTTGTGCGAAGAATTTAGCGTCTGATGGAAACTCTTAATGTAGTGTATGCTTCGTGAGTTACAGTGTTAGTCAACCCATTTTTGGTGAAATGGAAGAACAGCATGTTACTAGGACGATAATATATTTTTTATTTTTAATTCGCATGCTAATTATGTGTTATCAATGGACTTGTGATCCCTTTTAGTCACATGCAGAAATACAATGTTACCGCCACGTCAGTATTCTATGGTGACTTCTGATTAACTGTAAGACATGCATTGGGTTCATCTAAGTACCTAGAACTTAATATCATTTATGGAGGTATAAAAGATTGACTATCTAAAAGGGTGTATGTGATTCCTAGGTGCCTCTCTATGTGAGCTGGGCCAGACGAGCATCCAGTCAATTGGGCAATTTATTTTTGCTTATCTGTATATTTTTTTACAGAGCGTTTCATATTACTCAGCGACAATTTTTATCAATTTCGGTTTTGCATAATCTCAATACTAATTTTCTCTCTTTCAGGAATATTTCCTCTTTCTGTTTGGAGTGGGTGCATTATCCACGTCTTTATGAACGTAAATTGTTTACAGGTTCGGAAAATATCACGCAAATTCACATTTTTTGTCCGATTGAGGTTATGTTCTTGAATGGAGCACGTACCTTTTTAGTTCCGAAACTTGTATCGTGCCCACGCCTGCATTGGTTCATAATCTGTGATAGAAAAGCACTCAGACATCCGAATGTTGGCGAAATTTACATAAAAAATGAAATGCAATGGTGGTAGTTGCTTCTGGGATAAATGTAAACTTCTCATGGTAAGCTTTGTGGGTTGTACAAAGCTCTATTCATAATTGTTAGATTCAGTCTGCACGTGGTGTAGTATCTTAAGCAGTTTACTTGCATTTCATTCTTCCTAGGGATAAATTCAACATAATCTTTGAGCCGAATTGATTTCTTGAGAAATACTTTCTTTGATCATAGTTGTGACCACCTCAAGCAATCAGCTGTTATTTTTCTTTAGCGAAATTGATCTACTACGGCATTATCACATGCGCCATGGTGCATTTTGTAGCCGTGGTTGAATCATTCTCTCTTCTCTCTCGGTTGTGTATGCTCTCTATTACGGTATATTTTTTATACCAGTTTATTCAATACTTTCAGCGATTATTTATCTTCAGGAGACAGAGCGACTGGTCTTCTTTGGATGCCAAATATTGTGCTAGCTCGTAGGTCTATTCTCAAGAACTCCAGATCGTCTAGTCTATGTGCACGTTGCAGTCTTAATGAGGAAGGAGGACCTTATGACATTAATGATGCGTGGAAAAATTATGATGTTATGGTTTCTTCTCAAAATGTAATTGTTTTTTCTTTTTTGATTATTTCTGATCACTTATTTATGTATGCTGCAGTATTTTCATTGCAACTATTATCACTGGGTGATGAAGACACTTACACTGACCAATATGTCATGCTTGTCAAAAAAGTTCTATGCTTAATAACTATAAATCATTTTTTTAAAATTTTATTTTACAAGACAAACTAATGGTTGCAACAATTATTACGTTCTTTCATGTTAATGAGCCAATATATATTTTTAAATTTTTTAACCGGAGTTCACTCGCAGCTATTCTCAATCTTTTGTCATTCTGGATTACCTCATTTAATATATCTATTATTTGAATATAATTTTCAACGTAATTGTATTCTTAACTAGTTCTTTTAAAGGTTATTTCATTGTTCTTGTACCTTTTATTTTGATAATAAGTGGGCTTTACATAGTTCAGCAGACTGGGTGTTCTCTAATGATGTTTAGAGACTCTTTGGAATGGTTTGGTGTTCCTGTGTGCTTTATATTTCGTAATATTTAAACGTTGCAACCCATCTGTCCAAAGGTTTTTTTTACAAGCACATTGTTAAGTTAAGAGTTAAGCTTCATGCTGTGCGTTCTTCTGTTGCTTTAGTTCGGTGAAAATTTTCTTTTTATAAATATTTCCGCCAGGATCATAAACCTAGTTGAATGCCAAATGAAATTCCCCTGTAATCACTTGAAGCTTAAGTGATACGCTGGAATCCCCTTTCCTTCTTAGTTCAGCATCATGTTCTTTTCATTTAGATTGAAAATCTTATCTTGCTGCGACTTCTATAACCTTAACGCTCTAGTCTGTTAATTCGTTTTCCCAAGAACTTTAATTTTGTAAATTAGCCGTCTATCTAATGTTATGGTCTTTTGTGTCTAAACTTCTTGTTCACTTTAATTCCATAATTTACCACGCAATATTTTTATTTAATCTGCAGAGGTCTCTGTCCCCTTTTAATCTCACGGTCACTTTTATACTGTGCACAATTTCTCAGAATGTGTTTACCCTCGTGTGAAATGCTCTCTTGTGTGATAACATAACTGAGCATTCCGACAAATGAAAACTGTAGACATCAGGGTGTGGATATATGGGTTTATAGTGCAGAGGTCATATCAGATGTTTTTGGCCTTCTTTTGACTCAGGGTGTGGATATCCAGAATTCGTATTTCAGTTAGTCATTTGTGACTCTAGGAAAATGGTCATAACTTCATTGCCTCAACTTCCCATTAGGCAGTAGTTATGCAGCCCTATATTCTTAGAAACATCAGGGGAATCACTGGATCTCTACTTATTTGCAATAACAGAATCTTCATCAAAGCTATTTATGTCAGCAATGATTCCTTTGGGGTTTTTTTTAAATACTTGTATTGTTCTTCTTCATTCAAACTAAGGTTTCAGGAGCTTGGTGATTCAAGTGCACCTGGCTGACCTGGATGTGGTCTGGGCAATCTCAGTGTGGCCACTTCAGGTCTGTCCAGGTTGTAAATTTCCAGGGTTTCAGCTCATGTGTCTAACTGAACTCTCACATGACAAACTCTGGTTCAATTCTTATCCCTTGTCAATATAGGGAGAGAATAGGGAAAATGTGATGTCAATTGGTGTTTAGTGAACTGTTCAAAAGAGTAAGGCTGCCATTCTTGAAGATTTTAGTAAAGACCACTAATGTCGTATGCTTTTCTTGTTGCTTATCAGCTTTCATCATTGATGCATAATTTACTAACAGCCAGTTGTATTTACTATTACAAATATTTAGTGTAATGTTTTATTCTATCTTTGTTGGCTCCATAATTTCGATTTTATGACTGTCATCCTTCCAGTCCCAAACCAGAAAAATATTCATTTTACATTTTAAAATAATGTATGAAATGTTTGACTTGCAAGTGTTATATTTCAGGAAAAGAACGCCAAAGGCTTTTTGGGACGCTTGGTCTCTATAATACTTAAAATGGCATGTCTCAATAGTGTATACAAACTATTGAAAGGCGTCCTGACTTTATCACAACATGCTCCACATATTTTTGTTTCTGGGATCTTCCCTTTTGCATGTATATCCAATTCTGTGAGCAAGCCAACACCTCTTCATTTGGATGTATCGCTGCCATCATTTCAAGACATCAAATGGACGTTAACTCGCTTCTACTATCTTTTCAATGTACAACTTGAAAGGAATACCGGCTTGTAAGTTGATTCTTTTTTTTCGAATGCTCAAATCATTTATTTGTTTTATTCATTTATTTTAGTCAAAGGTGTTATGTTACTGTTTGTTGGTTGTATTTTTTATTTGCCTTTATTTTTATCGAACATGGTTTTTTAATATTGTTCACCTCAGATTGTCTGTTACAGTCCAACTAAATTTTATGCACTACAGAGTCGTTATCCGCATAGGTTTTCTCAGTCAATCCAAGTGTATAGGGTCTACTCTTGGGATCTAGGATCGGGAGGTTGTTTGGCTTGAATCAGAAAATTCTTGGAGTCATATCACACGTTGCAGTTGTTTGACTGGAACTGGTTTAATTGGTATCAGCTGGCTTAGATCATTTTTGAAAGGAGAAGTAGGTGTTTTTGCCTTGTGAATGTATTAAGTCTTACTTTCAGTTGCCACTGGTTCATAGTCATCTAGCATAGAAAAAATATTATATCATAAGATGGGAGGATCTACTGTATACACTATGCACATTTAATGAAGGATATCTATATGCATTGCAACGTTTTGATTTATGCCTTTGATACCTGTTGGTTGCTTTCAAGATAGCTTTGTTGGATTGTATTTACACTCATCTGTATAATAATGAATGCTGAGTTAAACATTTGAAATAAATCCACCATGTTTTTGAACATAATGATTTAAGAAGGCCTTCAAAAGACCTAGTACTGACATGTTTTGTGTTTCTATGTACCATGCAGATTTTTTATTGCATTATTTGCCGCCTGTTTTTCATTTGTCATCATAGGAGGCTTCCTGTTCTACAGATACAGGTACACCATAGGAATCGCATATTTTCCATTTACCATGAAACATTATGCACAATAGCCATTTATGCTCCAAAACATAACTTTTTTTTTGAAATGCCTCTTTTTTTGGTATATTTTGTCGTTTCAAATAAATCAATTATTAGCGCAAAGCCAACAGCTTATGTTCTCAACATTACCTGAATTTTTGATAGAGAAATGGGGATCAGGAGAGGTGACGTTAAAGTAGAGATAAACTATGCTAACATCTATTTGAAGTATTTTTGGACAAACAATGGCAATTTCTTGTTGAACGTTGTATTTGACTATTTGCATGTTATCATTATGCCTCTTGCTACTAGGCTGAGCTATCAGTAGTTCAAGAACAACAGATTAGGATTTAGTGGAAAAAACAAAGCAGGCACTTGTGTTGATCAGATATAGAGAAGAGATGAAGCAATTACATGACTGCTAGAAAACCTTGTGTGATAACCATGTACTCTATCAATATAGTGTATACCATAGGGATAATCCAAAGTAGTCAAGATGAAGAAATCATGTTCTTAAAAGAAAAAGGTTCTTCCTATCTTTTACTAGACTCTTCGAGCTGAAGAGCATTAGTTTTAGAAACATACACACTCTGTTGATTCTGTATGGCTTGAACATCACGAGATCCTCCGCATAAAATGCCCTTAAATTAAATGGGAGGGAAACTTTTGCACTCAATTCTCCGCATTCATAGTAGCTCTATAAAAAATAGATCAATTAACCTAGCTAAGAATCTTCTTACTTTGCTCTCTTTTCAAAGCTATGTGCCTGTCTTAGTCATTAATAATTGATATTCTATAAATGCTTCTATTCGTACTATTGTGAGTCATCATCATCCCTCTCATAATTTACCTTGAGTCCAGTGCTTCCTCCTGGTCATTTTGACGTTAGCATAGTGACATAATTTTAATATTCCTCACATTGATAGGAACAAGAGAGCAAATCCTTATCTTTTTACTCTTGCAGCATTCTTCATAACAATTTAGTAGCCAGAATTTACATGTGGGGATGAGGGTTCTCCTTATTTGAGACCTCCCTCATGTGGGAAAGTATGTTGGAAATTTCTTATTTGCCATGGCAACAAATCTGGCAGTAATTAGAATTATCCGAATGAATCTACTTGTTGTCAAAATCCAGTTAATGAACTATATGGAAAAGACAGTTTCAACTCACTTTGTTTTAAGTCTTCTTACAGTCCAGCTTGAAAATAGAGCATCTGATTTCTTACAGTCGTTATACTCGCTGTCACCGTGATACCATCTTTTGCTTTCATCATTTTTATCTGTTGCATTCAGAGCCTCTTTGCAGATGCCAATCTTTAACAAGCTCTTGCCTCACTAATCTAGGAAAAAGCAACGATCTCTGGGAGACTGTATCTGGGATGCATGGGCTTGCCTTTGCTCATCATCTACTCATTTAGGAGTATGAAGTTTCTTCAGATAGAGCTGCTATGATTTTTAACTTATATTTGGTGAAATTGAGGTTTTTGACATTATTTGTGCTTTTATACCAGCAAAAAACTCGTGGTGAACGTACTATTGGTCTTATCCTTGCTGTGTGGGGAATATTATTTTATTCACGCTTGTTGAGTACAATGACTGAACAATTTAGAGTGAGTTTTTCCTTAAATTTTGTAAACTGTCCTTTAATGATATTGGAAGAATGTTGTCTCTGTAACAAGTATTTTCCACAGTACAATATGGAAAAGATTAGGGAAGGTGCTCAAATGCAAGTCATGGAGAGTGATCATGTTATTATTTGTGGGATAAATAGTCATCTGCCTTATATACTCCAGCAACTAAATAAGCATCACGAGTCTGCTATTCGAGTTGGTACTGCTACATCGAGGTATATATCTTTGTCAAGCAGTTGACATTGCTTGTAATTTAAGATCAGATCAACTAATTATCAATTGATGAGAGGCTTATAAAGTATTTGTGTCTGACATGAACATTGTAATTTGAAGGAAGCAAAGAATCGTCATCTTGTCTGATCTTACACGGAAGCAGATGGAGAAGCTTAGAGATAATGTTGCCAAAGATCTGAAGCACATTGACGTTATAAACAAAAGGTAACGTAATTCAGCTCATCTTGCCTCGTTGCCTGCCAAATAGTTCATACCTTTTATAACTTTGACGAGATGCATTAAGAGTCAACGTTGGCACTTTTCATCTGTTCTAGGCCATAGTGCAAACAAAGCTGGTCAGAACCTCAAATAATACTGTTTTTGCCTGTTTTGGAATTGTCTATATTTGATAATCAATTTTATGTTTTTTTTTAATTAACCTCTGTTTGTGCAATGGTTTGATTTGTGAAAAATCTTTAATTTCTTTCGAAGCTTGAGTCCTGTGGACAGAATCTATTAGAGGCCATATTGAAAATCGTTACTTTGCAGTTACTCTCTCTTAGGATTAAGATATAATTTAAATTCTTTTCTTGCTTAGAAAAGAACATTGGTTTTTCTAGTGGAAGTAAAAAGGTTGCTTTTTGACCGCAAAACACAACCATAGCTGAACTGAGAAGGAGTCATGCCGGAAAAAAAATCTAGTTTTGTAAATCTACTCTTGCCTTCCTCCTTTTCTTTCTCAAATAGTGTTAGAAAGAAAACCTGTATAAATTGAAAATCATTGCTTTGGACAGTATTATACCTTACTATCATGACATAATTTTAACTCTTTTCTAGGTTAGTAGAAAGTATTGTGTCTTGTGGATGTGAGGAAAGCTTTCTGTGCGAAATCAAAATAAAATCATAACTGGAGTTGGAACTGAAACAACTTTTTCTTGTTTTTTACACTTTTTTCTTTCCTTATTTTTCTTATATATATATTTTTCTTTCTTAGATAACGGACGAAAACTTTATAACTGTTTTGACCGGTTTCTTATTGATTACACGACTTTTATATTAAAATAAGCTTTAAAACACATGCCCTTGGGTTGTTGCCCCTTTTTAATGATAGTTTCATGTAAAATAATTTAGGTTGTTTTAATCTCATTCTCTAAATGAAGATGCAGAACCTAAAAAGCTATTTATATCTTTCTACGAATGTCATCTCACTTTAGAATTTTTCATGTGCTTCATTAGAGTTGTCAATGGGCCGGTAAGGGTAGAATGCAGTTTTATCTCAGGTTTGGCCCATTAATCCTGCTACAAAATAGGAATAAGCCCATCATGCCACCTTCACCAACATATCAAACCACAACCCCCCCTCCCCCCCCCAAAAAAAAACCTCTGTGGTGACATATACCCTCACGAATAGCTGCAAAACCTCATTGTTTTCTTCCACCTACATAGTGCTGCCCACTCTGTCTGGCTACACGTACCTCTCTCCCAATATTGCTTCTATCTTTGGCATGCAAACAATGGAACTTTTCCTCCAGTTGGCCCTTAACAGTATCTACTCCCTTATATGGGTGTGACTAAACCGCATTCCGATCCCCCCTCTACCCCACTCTTCCAAAGCAGAATAAAGAAGCGCTTACTTTCCTTTTCCCACACTGGCATGTTCCCCAACTTTTCACTCACATGCCCGCAACCCAGAAACAGTTGCCAAGAATGCTGTTTGTCAGGCCTGACCCGATCGGGCCTCTTCGTGTTCTTGGGCTTGGGTCACTCTTGGCCGGGTACCTCTATATATATGATTTTTTTTTATGCAATACTTCTTCCAAGAAAGGGAGTTATTGCATTTTTATTTTCGGGTCAAATGATTTCTTGAAAACAAATGCATATGCCAAACCTGGCATCATTTCCTCTCTGTTGCCTGCTTTAAGGACTGTCATATATAGACAGTCCTTAAAGCATTTAACTATATTTTTTTGGTGGAACTGATCGATAAATATACTAGTTTAATTGGTATTTTGTAGCGTGCAATAAGGTTTAGTTATTGACGACTCTCTATGAACATCTTGGTCTCTTTTTATGAGCATCTTCCCTTAATACTGGGGATATGTGACCTTTGATATTGTAAGGATTATCTCGGGAATAGTTTCTAAAGGGTCACCTTGATAAAAATTTATAATCATAAAAGTTTTGATACATTGGGGTTCCTATTGTTCTGTAATATTGTTTTTGGCATGTGGCTTCTGCCTCTTCCTATTGGGCTCACTGGAACTGCCATTGTTTCCCTTTGCTTTTGCTTCTGCTGCCACTGTCTAACCCAGTTATTTCTATTACTTCTACCACTACCTACATTTCCTGGTGCCACATTGCTCTCTACTTTTGCTGTTAATTCAGGCTTCTTCCTCGTGTCCTGTGCTAAAGGTTTATTTGTCCTTATTATACTTTTCTGTATCCAGCCAGTTTATGCCTTTGTTCGGATTGGAATTATAAGATGAATGCACAAGGAAAATCTAATGGTGCAGTCTCCTGTCAGGATTTATCGTATAAACTTGGTGATTATGATCCTGTTCTTTGGAAGAAACGAATACCTTTTTGTCTTTTCCCAATATCGGGGTTCTCCCCAGTTTCAGCTGTTTGACTTAAGTATGTCGACTAACTCTAGAACTTATTATCGTCTGTCTCCAGCTGTAGTCTTAGCATGACAAAATCTTTTGAACGAGCTGCAGCAAACAGGGCGCGCTCTATCATTATATTACCTACAAAGATCGACAGGTGAAGTCTCACTGTCTTGAGTGCTGGGGATGTGAAATATATTTGATGGTTGGACTAGTTGTAATATTTTGTGTTCATTGAAGCCGATGTTATTTTTGGTTGCACTCCTGATAATTGTCTATACAGATACGTTAGTGTTTGGTGTAGTGCTGGATACTTAGAAAAGTGATGCATATAGAAATGAATGGTGATTTCGTTTCAATTTCAAGTCATTTAAAGCCATTTTCATGCTGAAAATCCAGAGTGTTCTTAATCATCTAACTTACTCAGGTACGAAGTTGACACGGATGCTGTTCTCTCGTTACTAGCTCTACAATCTCTCCCTGGAATGGCATCCATACCAGCTGTTGTTGAGGTGTGCTTCTTGCTGAGTGCTAAAATGAGAACCGTGCCTTGTCAAGATGTTAGCGTGCAAAAATACCGAAAAGATTAACCCATTCATTCTTACTGAGGCTTTAAGGACATTAATGTGTATCACAGTGAATTTTAGATTAAGAAAATAAAAGTCGCTCTATTGAAAACCATTTTTTTCCAAATGCTACATCGAAAATTCCATGCCAGCCAACATTTATTTGTTTCAGTTTGCATCAGCTCGTTTTCAAGATTGCATTCTAACTTCCACGGTTCTTGGTAAACTCTTTGTTCAACTATGTGCCATCACCGTTATCATATATGGTTTGAAGTACCTGTATAACTGCATTCTCTATGGAAAAGAAGATACCTTATTTTGTATTTTTGAGAAAATCTTCGTTCATTAATTGGCATTCTTGTGGATTCAAATGAAGGTATCAAACCCAAGAACAAGTGGGCTTTTGAAATCAATCTCAGGCCTGAAAGTTGAACCTGTTGAAATGGTTGCGTCAAAGCTGTTTGTTCAGTGTTCTCGGCAAAAAGGGCTTATAAAGATCTACAGGCACTTGCTTAATTATCGAAGTACACCTTCTTTCTTGAATGAATTCTTTGGTTACCATACTATTTAATATATATCAAGAAGGTGTAATGCATCTGACTATGTGCTTACAGCTTGATACGTAACTGTAGCTAGAGTATACCTCGTCTCTGAAGTTCGTTTTTAGTGTTCTTCACAGCATCATTTGGGCTTATTTGGTTTAGCATTTTTGGATGCAATCTGATTGTATGTTTTTCTGTTAAAACAGAAAATGTATTCAATCTCTGTAGCTTTCCAGAACTTGTTGGGTTAAAGTACGAGCATGTGAGACGTGGACTAAAGGATGTAAGAGACTGCTAACTTGTACCAACTTTTTTGGTTCGTTACTTAAGGCTTTATATACCAACGTTTCGTGCAGGTAGTGGTATGCGGCCTTTATAGAAGTGGGAACATGTACTTTCATCCAAATGATAGTGAAGAAATGCTCCCTTCTGATAAAGTATGTAAGAACTTTGGGTTGATGCCTGAAAATGAAATGAAATTCTATTTACTTTTAGACGGCTACCCTGAATTTCTGAGATTACCAAACCAATTTTTCTCATATTTGTGGAGTTTCTGTTCAATAGGCCACGGTAGGATATTTAATCAGGTTTACACCAAATTAGTCACAGCTGTTTCTTTTATCTCTAGAGTATACAGATTCTATGGTACATGGTTCCTTTTTGTAAAGGATATTTCCTAGTGGCTTCTATCGGCATCTTTTAACCCACAATAACAAACTTCTTACCACTGTGAAACTTCATCTCACATCTTGCCTAAAAATGTTGAGAAGGAATTGCAATGCAGTTCAGGTGGCCAAGGTGTTGGAGAAATATAAAATAATCTTTTGTGGGGCTTTCAAGTTATCTTCAGACATTGAATGCCACATACTAGTTGGAGGAATTTGTCTTCAGGTTATAGAGTGGCGTATTTGATTAGATTTGCAGTTGATAAAAAGAAGCTGCAGCAGATGTAAACAACGCAATGAGATGGAAAATAACATTAAAACCCAAAAAGAAAGGACTTGTAACAGATGATAGCACAGCTTAGCATGAAATATTTCGTGAATATGAGAAACAATTGTAAACAGAAGGAAGACTAAAATCAATATATATATGCCCTCATAAAGTCAACGCAATCATGTCGGTTCATTTTGAAGATTGTTAATCCTACGGGAGTTTAAATCGAAGTCAATTTGGTACGAGTAGAGTCGACCCATATTTATAGTCATAGGTTAACTTTGTGGTAACCTACAGAGGATTACTCTAATCACATGTCTTCATGCATATGCCGACATTTTGTCTTTGACATGTGGTCAATATGAGTGCAGACCCAGAGCGATTATCAGCTCTGAGGAAAGTTATTGAACCATTCATCTTCAAAGTAATTGGCAATGTGTGGAGTATCATTGTAATTACTAGTTTACTTCTGTGGGAAGTGATACAGTTGAATTCTTAGTAAAGGTCTTGTTTTTGGTGCGGAAACCTTGAGAGGAAAAAATGGTTACCCTTATCTCTGAGTACAGTTCAGCTGCTGTATCCTTTAACCTGCTCAGCCAATGAAGATAGTGCTGAGGTACACGGAGGTCCATTAAGACTATTAAGAGTCGGGAGATGGACATGGATAGATGAAAGAAATGAAAACCTCTGGGATAACTGGTCCACTGATGGGATTATATTATGATATTAAAACTTGGCATAGGAAAGTAGAAAAGGCAGTAGTTTAGAGGGCATTGTTTTTATCTCAGCTGAAAAGTAGGAAATAGCTTGAAAATTTTAGGAGTCTAGAGGGAGCCTAGACTCAGGAAGAACTCCTTCAAATTAAGGATTGAAACATACAAAGACTAAGACAGGAAAAGGTAAGAAACAAATCAAAACTATCAAGTGATGAAATTTCAGATTGAAATTTAACTAGGTTTACTTTACTTGAGCTGATGAAGAGATATTTGATCAACAGTATAAGGATCGTCTAGCAGCTTAGCCAAACTGCTGCAGAGATCGATCTCTTCGTGCATGCAAAAGTTTATGGTAGTATACATGTGCTACTTATGAACATTTTGGTAAAATAATGGGATGGATCCTTTTGAGCATACCATCCAATTGCAATCCTTCCTTAATTGTAGAGGCCTCTGTCTAGGGTTCTCCATATTCCATCCTCTTATTTGTCGTGGTTACTCAGGTTGCATACTTACTGGGAGGATGAAGTCATCACGTGTTTCAGTCCAATGTGTTACATGTTACTTATCGGTGAGATGTGGATAACCGTAGAGTATGTTTATTCTAGAATGAGAGAACTGTGTTCAAATAGATGCCTAAATCTTTGGTGGAAGGGGATGGGCTGACTCTAAAAAAACGTTAATTTGTTGGACTAATAAGGAGAAGAGGTAACCCAAAGTGCTTCCATAGTTTTGGATGTTGTATTGGAGAGTTTTTTATCACGCCTTTAGGGCAAAGTTCGTCGCAGGAGTGAGTGCTGTAGAATAGAGGTTGAAAGACCTTAGTATAAGCAGTTTCTTGTGAGCTTGGCATGGTTGACGGGAACCATCAAGCGAGAAGGGCAGTAATTGAGGATGGTGTGAGAAAATATTAGGGAACCAGAGTATAGATGTCAAACCTGAGACGTTATGGATCTCCTTTTTTGCTTATAGCTTTTCTTGAACTTCGTTATGTGATGTTTGCGAGAAGTATTATCAAATTAGGAAATGGGAAATTACAGCCATTAATGTATGGTGTGAAAACATAGTAAATGCACACATGTTCTCACTTGCTAAAGAATCCACCCTAATGTTGTGCAACAGAGATAATGCCATACATGCAGCCGGTGGATAAATGAGTGTAGGTGGAAGTTATATCATGGGGAGGGGTGAATTTAATGGAATTGGTGTAAATGTTAGGGGGTCCTTGCATTGCTGGTAGGAAGAGGACACATCAGGACACCTCCACGGTAATAGAACTCCCATTTACGTTAACATAAATCATGTGGTTTTCCTGCCGCGGGCAAAGCCATTTATCAGCATTCTCTATTAAAGGTGAAATTCTTCCTATGGAGGATGAACCATATGGTAGCTGCTGACATAATCCAAGTCCCATCCATGTGATAGTTCTTGGAATGCAGCTCCAATGAGTCAGGATCTGAGGAGATATAAGACAAGCTCCTTAATGGACGACATTAAATAGCTATGACGGGATTATTATTTAATGGCAGAGAATGTGGAATCCACAAGAAGGTCCGGACAGTAAGTTACCTGGTTCTTCATCTCCGTGACGAATTTTTCAGGAAGGGATGTCATGGCTCTCAACATGCAGAAAATATCTTGTTGGTGTACTGACATTTGAGTGGGAAAATTTTATTCGTTACTGGGGAACACTCAAGTGGAGTGAGTAGGTAATAAATATGCTAAATAGAGGAGCTTGCAGGAGCTCTGTGCTGGGACTATCTTCCGATGTATGTGTACCATTTTTAGTTTTTGAATAGAACGTTGGGTATTGTCAACCGTGTGACAATCATAATCCATTTCTATCAACAGGTGGTCAGCCATGTTCAATGAACTCAAAAAACTTGGCAAAGGCTGTCTGAGCATGCTCGGCTTTAACTTGAAGAAAATAAATCCTTCACGAAATGTTGACTGACTTAAATTTTCTGCTGCAGCTGGTTTGCATCTCAGGATGCTTAGGTTTATTCTTCACTATTCGATCCCTGTTTCTCGTCGTCCTTTCTATTTCGTTTCCATGCTTGTTTTGCTCTTTGTTTATGGCATAAATGCTGCCGTTTCTAAAACTTTTGCATATGTCATCCCCTTCCGAAATTATTGATGTTTTAAAGGATAAATTTCATCAAGAAAAAAGTTATGTAAGATGAAATATTGGGAATTCGATTACACATGTTTCTGTGGTTAGTGTTGGACTATAGTTGATTTTAATAACTCTTCTATTCCCATTGAAGTTGTTGTTCATATCACCTGTTTATGGAAAGAGAAGACCAGAACTTTTACCGTCAGACAATCCACAAGAAAGTCAATCGCCACAAAATCTGGTGTCTCAACAAACGAGTTTATCATCACACAAATCATTTGAATTGAAAGCACGTGTTGCAAACATCGTGAAGCGTCCCTCGAAGTCAAGTTCAAAGGTATTCCTTTTCGCAGAAGAGTGTGAACGTGATTCTATATGACAGGGTATTTGATATCCAAGGCCTTTGCAGACATCGGATTCGAATCTAGGACCAAGAGAGTGTGTACTTATTCTGGGATGGCGACCAGGTGTTCATGAGATGATTCGAGAATACGACAATTACCTCGGTCCTGGCAGCATACTGGTACGTCCCACTTTCTTCTCTTTCTCTGTTAAAACGTGGATTTGCGTACGATATCCATATACGTTGACGCTATCTTCATCTAATATTAAAGAGAAAAAAAAATGCCCTCTTTCGTCTTTTATGAAAAGGATTCTGGGACCTCTTGGACCTTTTTTCCCAGTTTCACCGTTTTCATGATATTGATATTTAGTAAAATTATCTTTAATAATGAATTTAATTAATCTACTTCTGGGTGTCAATTTTTAGAAAACAATATTAAAAAATATTCGCTGCTATTTTTTTGGATAAATTATTTTTCATCATTTTCCAATTTATTGGATGTGATAATTTTAAAGTTGGATTTCTTCTGATGTTGAGGAACTTGATTTCAGAGCACGTTACATTGAAATTTCCAGTGTTTCTCAGTAGGTCATTTCTATTCATCATACATTGGCTAAATAAAATCAGGTCATATTTTTTCAATTTTTCATGAAATGCCACTTAATATATTATGTACCCGTCATTAGATAGTTTCTGCTGTCCATGGTCGTGCTGAGATATTTGATGTCTGGGTAGTTTTTTATTATTGTCTTGAAAATGATAATTCATCATAACTGAACTCTTACATTGGGCTGTGAAGTAGACATCAAAGAGCCAGATAGCACACATAGCCTGCAGATTTGAACCTGTTTAATGGGAATCGAACATGTTGACAATGTGCACCTGACTGGTTTCATTGATGTACTTCAATCCTACGTGCGCTGGGTTTCAATTATGTACTTGACAACTCAGCGCTCTGCTGCCCCTGTGGTCTAAAGATAGAACTCAATCATAATTATTTTCAGTATCGCTACCAAATGGTTTCAGATAATTAATTGCTCCGAAAGTTACTTGCAGGAAGTACTATCCGAAGCTCCTATTGCTGAGAGGATAAGCTCAGCGAGCTCTCCCATGCGAAGTGAACTGACGCACATTAAGGTTTCCCACAAGGTCAATCTCTATGCCTACTTAATTAACTGATACGTCCTATCTGAGCCATTTATCTTCATTTTTTTGTATGTTCATTTTTATCTAGTCCTTTGTCTCTCTCCCACGAGAAAACTCATGTATCTCAGGTTGGAAACCCAATGAACTACGACGACCTAAAGGACACAATATTGAACATCCGAAAGTCCATGAAGGGTGCTCAAGATGTCCCTTTGACAATAGCAATAATATCCGACAGGGAGTGGCTTGCTGGAGGTAATAACATATGAAACCAGTAATGCTAGAGCTGTTCTTTGTTTGACGAATATTTCTGTGCAGATCCATCGAGGGCGGACAAGCATTCAGCATATACACTTCTTCTTGCTGAAGATATTTGCATTAACCATGGGATTAAGGTTAGTGGCATATTAATTTTTAATAACTTATTATTTCCCACATATTTATAATTTTTTATGCTTCCGAATGCTAAAAGCATCGGGGCTCATGATCTTGCATGTTCATGGTAAGCCCACGATCTGAAATCACCATAAGAGATGAAGGTCACTGTTGACAATGGGCATAGTAGTGAAGCAGTAGAATAGCATGCCACTGTCCGGATGACGAGGATTGTGATTTTAATCATCATGAAGAGTAATTGTCCCTAATCCATGAAATCCATCACACTGCATACCCAACTGGTTTACTCCCATGTACATTGACTTCGCCCACTTTATAAGACAAGTGGACATTTTTGGTCCTGAATTTGGAAAAATCATTTCTGAGGAATTTCTCACATTTAATACTCCAGCATCTTCTTCACTATGACAATGGCAATTTTTCACATTTAATAATATAAATGACTTGTTTCAGTGCCTTTTGCATCATCGTGATTAGCCTCCACATCAAAACTTGTGAATTTTCTCTTTACGATACAAGTAGACTAGATTCAGCATGCTATGATGAATCTATATGTTGGGAACATGCTTCTTGCAGGTGGCGAACCTGGTTGCCGAAATCGTTGATTCTAAACTAGGCAAACAAGTAAGTATACCCTTCCTTTTCTCCTCCAGGCTCCGTTAGAAATTACTGATCATGATTGGCTGACTCTGCAGATCACCAGAATCAAGCCATCCCTCACATTCATTGGTTCAGAGGAAGTAATGAGTCTCGTGACTGCCCAAGGTTTGCCACCACCACTCTCTTCACCGAGAGCATGCAGTCTTTCATGAATCACTCTTGCTATTTACACAATTCCAGTAAATGACAGTTTCTGAGAGTTGTGAGCTGAATAAGGTGTGGACTGACATTCTTAATGCCGAGGGAGACGAAATATATGTTAAGGTGAGTATCTAGATTCAAGAAACTGAAGTAATCAGTGAGGTTATAATTTCCTCTTAAATACTGTGTACTCTGTAGCTCATCATCTAGGGTTTTCGCCTACTTTATTTCTACATTGATTTCATAGGATATCGGGCTCTACATGACGGAAGGAGAGACCCCATCCTTCTATGAGCTTTCTGAGAGGGCGGTCTTGCGCCGTGAAGTCGCCATTGGCTATGTAAAAAATAACAGGAAGGTAACCTTACTAAATTTCTATTATCTTCTTCTTCACCATATGCATATAAATATATCTACTCTAAAAATACCTTATTTTACACTGTCTTGGCAGGTTATAAACCCCCAAAACAAACTGGAGCCTCTTAATCTTGAGATGAATGATTCCCTTATAGTGATATCTGAGCTTGAGGGCAGCTCAACGACCGCCATTTAAGTATGCATTTTTTCACCAATAATCCCTTATTTACATGACTCGTGGAATATGAATTATAGTGTATATGATATATTTTGTAAAAATATTCTTCATTATTTTTATCTTGAAATATTATCTTAGAGAAACATAAAAGACACAGTGTGAATTCCTTTAAAAAGAAACATTATGAACATGGCTTTGGATTATTTTAGCACAGCAAAACCATTTTCTGATGAAACTTGTGCTGATTATATCCAATACTTGCAGGAAAAATAAAGTAAAAATGCTCTTGAGTGAGGTTTTCAAAAAGAGGGGCGTGAGGTATACTGCGTAATATAATGCGCTGTTTTTAAGATCATTAGTTTGGATTTGGTGCACGGCTTAGAAACACAACTCATGCCCAAGCTTCCAAATATTTTGGACGTAGAAATTCATGGGGCTAAGAGTTTCATCATATGGATATATAATACTCAATTTAATTTGGATGAACCAAATCATTTTTTATTATTTTTACTTATGATCCAATCTAAAGTTGATAATTATTGGGCTAATGACTTCACAATTATAGTCTATAACATTCATGCCTTAAGTTTTTAATTTAAAACTAGTTCATTGAACATAATCAAAAGTATCAGTATAAGTGTGCAAATTATAAGTTATGATCCTTAAATGCTGAGTAGTTATTTTCTTCCTAGGTATCTCTCTATTTTATTTGTGTCTTCATTTGGGTCGATGAAAAGGGAGTAAGTCTTGACTTGATCAATTGACTCTCTCTAATGTTTGAGGTTTATGTCTGTATCTGATTTCAAATATCTAAAATATCTGAACTTTTCAAAGATCCATTATCAAAGTGATATACTAACAATTTATAAATATCAAGGAAATTCTAAGAGAAAATGACCATTTTATTGGAAAACCATATGAAATTACATGTTCTTGCTTCAAATATGGAGAATCAGATACGAGAATGGGTTGGGTTGCACATCTCTAGTTTTCTCTCCTACTTGGGTTATGGGGCCGCCCTATCCACAAAGGGGACTGACAAGAAGATGTACTTGCCATAATGGCAAATGGGGGTGGCAGCATCAACCTTGATGTTGGCATTGTGCTCAGGGCAATGTGTTCATACAAATGATAATAAGATGTGGACTTAAATCCATAAGGTATGAACCTTGATAAAAAAATAAGATTCTAAATCCATAGAATAAGATACTTTCACTCTTGAATCTATAAGGGGGTGTCCTAGAGTCCACAAACAACAAGAGACAATTCCAAAATGAAGGAAAATTTAGAATAGTCAAATAAATCTCATAATGGTACAACAATGGGCCTTACTATAAGCTTAAAAAGGAGGCAAGATGTCCCCAAAAGTAAAGATATTTTGAAAAACAAAATAAACTCTAAAATCTAATCAAAATAAATTCTAATATAACAAAAATCCTCTTTTTATAACCCAATTAAAAAGTGATTGTGTCTCCAATTTGAACTCCTCTTAATATTCTATGTTATGGGCTACATTAGTTTACTCTTGTGTGTTGTAGGAACCTTGGTAGAGGGTGTCACCTCATCAAAAGTTGCAGAACTTAGAGAAGAGGTTTTTGCAACTAATCTTTTTGTTCTTTCTATTACCTAGCCTTTAAGTGAATAACAAATTATGATGTATGGGTTGTAAGAGTGAGTTTTCTAGTTGAGAAATTGAGGATGACATAAATGTCTAAAATTAATATGATTTTGTTTGTTTCCTTTACAAGAATCTATATTTTGTAGTGGGAGGGTGATAAGTCTTCATTATCATGAGTTAATAATTAATAAATAATATATTTTTAGCCTTAACTTATGATAAATAGATTTATATTTATGTTAAAGTGTGAAAAGTGGTTTTCAATTGATTAACGTAAATTTTTAGCTAATTATGTGATTTTATATAAATTTATATAATTTTTATAATCTTATTTTTGAGATAAATAAAGAAAAAAAATAAAAATATAGTAAAATGAGGGGTACTCGTCGGCCAACTGAGCCTACAAGTAGGTCGAAAGTGCAGTCAGAGAGTAGCCGCGAGTAAAGGCTCGAGCGACTAGGATTGATAGAGGCACGTGTACACTACTTTCTTTCCACATCACTAGTGGCCAGCCAACTATGGGGCAAGGAGTGGTCGTACATGCGAGAGAAATGGACTTATAAATATAATATTATTATATATTTACTTGAAACTTCAATGCACAAATGATGTAGGACTAAACTTGCATCACACCTTTCTCCGAAAGACTTCGATGATTTTAATACCTACAATATCCTTTATTTATAAGAGAGATATACCATGATGATGTCACTTGATAAAGATATTAGAATACTTATTTTAATCTCTCTCATATAGGTGGACAACTAATGCAGGTTCGAATTTTTCTAGAGCCAAAACTCATATTTTTATCTAATTATCACGACTTTTCTGATCACTGGTAAAAGATTAAGTTATCAGAATTATTAGATTATTGATAAAAATTTTGTCAACGCAATTTGTGGAATATTGTTACTAAAATTATTGAACAATTTGTGATAAAAGGATCATGAATGCATTGAATAAATTATCTCCAATTGATCGATGAATAAATCGCCATCGAGAAGAGGATGATCTGTTGAGAGATGAGTCACCACTTCTTGAGAACATGCCGAATGTGATGAAAAGTCTCTTCTTTCTACGTTAACTTGAAGATGAAGCTCCTTGACACGTGCCCCACCTCTATCCAACTCTTCTTTGTTGAGTGACAATCATTGGAGAACTACAAAGTCGTCATCTTTCTACTCCATCAGGTGACAGTTACTAAAGATAATTTGACAACTCATTTCATTGATCTCTAGACTTTGCAAAGAGATCTAGAGATTGCTCATATCATCCTTATCCAATGAGAGCCTTCGAGGCCATGGACACTACACGACGATCCTCTTGAACGCTTAAGATTTTGGTGCATCGTTGATGCATCATCAGAACTTTGTTTTTCTGCTTTCAACTTAATTTTTGCTTCATTTAATGATAATTTATGTGATTTAAATTTACTAAGCTATATTTCATTCAATTACGATTCTTTTGACTTTTACATTTCTTAATTTGATTAATTAAATCATCTGTAATCACTTATGTAAGAATCACCGAGTATAACTTTATTTCTGCTTGATTTACGTTCGTCGAGCACTGACGTCATCTTGACGTCTGCACCCTTATTTTCTTTTTTTGTGAATTTTAAATATAATTTATTTTTATTATTTAGTATAAAATTTATAAAAAATAATTTTCTTTGAGAAAACTTTTGAATAATTACCAAATATTATATTACATCCTTGTGATAGACTTAGAAAATTACCATTATTTTTGGAAGTTTTATTAAATTATAATTGATATATTTGTTCAAAAATACTTCTAATTATCCTAAAATTTGTATTTTCTAGTTTTATAAATTTTGAAGTTTACATGATTTACGATACAATTACTAAGTCATGTCAGAGCGCATCCAAATAATTTTTATTAATATAAGATGAAGTTGTAGTATATCTAATTCTCCATTAGATTTAATTGTAGTCATGTTTGCTTCTAACATTTAGTTGGTCAACTAAAATTACGATTTTGATGTTATTTGGACATATGAAAGATATCTTTTGTTTACTTATTAACAATGTGTTGGTAGTTATGATTTTTTTTCATTTCTTTGACCAAAGGGAACACTTTTACAAAAGATATGTTGTACATGGAAAAATTACAAAACTAAGGTCACACATTGGGTTGTCTTCTATGTGAAAGGCAAATTAAAAGACATTTCATCACTTTTAGCTTCTAATAGAAAAATAGAGATCAAAATTACCTTCATTCATCCAAATTGATAGGATTTAACAATACACTACTACTAACAAGTTCTAGGTCTTCCAACTTGCTTTAAATTCTCAACTCTTTTATCATCAACTAAAGTCATATTACAACATGGGTTTAGTTTATGCTAGGTCAACAACCAACAAAATAATTTTCATGGGGAATGCATATGTGCAGCTATTTTATCAACTCTCTATGAAATCCATCTTTTTTATCAATGCTTATTTGGCTTATAATGAGAGTTGATATTTGGCTTGAGTCTCCCATAATTATTTAAATAAAATATGATTTGCTTGATGTATTAATACTATGTCTTTCAACCTATGCAAGTTTCATTTCAACCAATATGTAGTAAATACTCTATATAATGTTATCAACTTTTTAGTTGTTAGAGTAAATTGCGCTAATTTTTTTCCTTAAAAAATAATCAACTAATATGTATTAAATCATATTTGACCATCTTGACGCCATTTCAAGAAGATATCTTTTGTGGTCCCCATCGATAAATGATGAGTAATGTTATATTAGAACTTGGTCCAACTGAGCCAATTACTCCACTATTTGAGATAATCGTGTACGAAACACCTTAATTTGGTCATCTATTTGTGGGTGATAAGTGTTGTTCTAGAAAAGAAAATTTTCTTATATCTTTAACAATTTTCATGAAAAAACCAACACAATCATTGAGGATTATAATGAAAAATCTATGTAGGCACACAATGTGTTGGATGAAAACCTTACAACATCTAAAATTGGAAATTAGTGTTTATGTGGAAAAATGATCATACTTAATTAGTCAACAATATCCATCTAACTTGGGTAATCTTTTGATAAAATCCATTCATCCTCTTGGGGATGTTGGGTAGTTGGAGAAGGCTAGATGTATATAGAGCTTCAATCTTATTCTTATGGCACATACAATGTTACTGACCATATTGATGGATTTTTTCTTTTATTCCAAGACAATAGATGTTCTACCTAATTTTCTTTTAGGTTTGTAGGCAAAATGAATGTCCTATAGGTGATTGAAGCATAAAATTCTTATAAAATCTGAGGGATGAGTGCAAAATCCTTCAAGATCACCAAACATCCTTGACATAATAGTTCTGTACTACAAAGAGAACATGAGAAATTCTTGAAGTTTCCTTGTAGTCTAATAATT